TTTCTTATCCAGCTTAAAGTATACCTACATAAAGTTTTGTCAATACAATTACTTATAAAGCTTCAACTGAATTTTATCTTCATCAAAAAATCATTATAACTTTTAAAAATTTCAAAAATCACATGTTATGGGAGTATTAACCTCTTAAGTGGCCATATCAATATCCTAAAGTTACATTTCTGATGGCTCACTATTTTTCCGGATGCGAACATATACGTCATGTGCATTACCTAATTAATCTGCCGTATATATACGTCGTAATCGAGCACTTTTTCAAACAAACGTATATATACGTCATATATGTTTATAAAAAAGAAAAAGTAACTAAAACATATTGGGTATAATAATAATAAGTAATAAGTCAATATGTTATTTATTTTACAAATCTACACAGTTAGGTAAATATATTATTATCTACTAGAAAAATACATTTTGTTTTTTGGTTTTGGGCATAAACCCTGTAGAATTAATAAACCCGATATTGTCTTGATTTCACTTCTGTTTTTCTCTGTCCACTTGTCGTTTTATGTTTGCGTGATTTCTCAAAATAAACTGTATAGCATATCTATTTGTTTCTTCCACAATTATACCAATCAAATTTTCGTCAAAAAAGTGTTCAAAAATGTCTATAGATTATATCAGTTAGATTATTTATCTGTACGCCACTGGTTGCCGTGAATTTAAAGGGTGGTCGGGGAATCCCATTATCAGTCCAAGGTCCTCGGCCTCTTCGTTTTCAGGAACATTATCACTTTCGTCATTATTACTCTCAAATTCTTCACTGCAATTTGAATCGCTTTCCGATCCATCAGAGCTAGTAAAATCACTATTTTCGACTCTAATATCAACACAATGCATTTCAGTAGGGTAATCCGATATAATATTATTATTAACAATATTCTTTTACCAAATAAACACCGGTTTTATTACAAAAAAAAACACCAAGGAATAACTAGTACGTGCTGCGCAAACAAATAAAGATTGTTACTGCGTACGCCCAACACTATATCGCGTTATTTTCTCATCAAGCTATCGAATAGGCACCCCCCTACACTGTAAACCACCGCATGCGAGTATATGCGGCATAACCATTAAATGCTCGAAGTAAAATTTCAATGCGAATATATCCGTCATAAGCGCTGGAATATAAACTTTAAAATCCGGATATATACGTCATAGCCACTTAAGAGGTTAAATATTTTTACATTGCATGTATCTCTAAATGTTGTTAGTTTCCTTATAATCTAACTTAAAGTAGGGATCCCGAGGTATGCACAAGTTTTGTTGTTAGGAGTATAAAAGCTTTAATTTAATTTGAACCATATTCAACAATTATTTAGTATATCTATATTTATATGACCATATTAACACACTCTTCCAAATAATTTAAAATACTTATTTATTTTGATCAAAATAGATTTTTCTAACCTTAAAAATTCAAAATTAGATGATATTTTTTGTTATAATATATTAACCTAACTTTGATACAGATATTCTTATTCCATAATAAACAAGCTAAATTTTTTTAATAAATGCCGTTTAGTTAAAACTATTTAATGGATAAAACCAGATATATGTAGACCAAATGCACAAAAATTTTACTTATTTGGCACTATACACTTTAGAATTTCATTAAATGCAGTATTTATACTCCTAAACTCTTAAACCAACCATTGTTACTGTGCTACTATAAAGATTTATTAACTTTTAACGCTTAAACATAAATGGTAACAGTATAAATATTATTTCTTGCATTGACTATACTTTGACAGATACATAACCTGAAAAGCCTTAAATGACAATTTATCAAAAGACTGCGTTCCGTACTTGGTCACGTGGTGGGACTTTGAAGTGTGGAGCATAGTACCTATCTCCATTTGAAGAGCTTGATAAATAAATAACAGTAGGCCGTGAATTCAGCGGTGCTAATACAGTAAAAATAAAACGTTGTATTTTAATTAATAAATTACTACTTTATAACAAATAAAAGTACCATTAAACACTTAAAACAACATAAAAAGTAAAAAAGTAAAAACATTAATTGTTTATTTGTTGTTATAATTGCAAAATTATGGTTTAAAACTGTCATATTTTTGTGTTTCTCATGTTGGCAGTACGAAATTTGAATGTCAAGCACACGACTAAAAAATTTTTTCTTACTACCTCGACTCAAAATACGTTGTTTCGTCCCCGATTTCACGGCAGAAAGTTTACGTTTCTTGCATTGGTCAAGCTATACGCGCACACTCTAATAGCGGGAGTAAAAATTTTTTAGTCGTTAAGCACAATTCAAATTTCGTACTGCCAACATGAGAAACACAAAAATATGACAGTTTTAAACCATAATTTTGCAATTATAACAACAAATAAACAATTTATGTTTTTACTTTTTTACTTTTTATGTTGTTTTAAGTGTTTAATGGTACTTTTATTTGTTATAAAGTAGTAATTTGTTAATTAAAATACAACCTTTTATTTTTACTGTATTGGCACCGCTGAATTACCATGACAACGCTACAGTTTGATTGATTTTGAATGTAAACGTCAGAATTAAATTAAACGTCAGATTTTAATTTTGACACAAGTTTTTTTATATACATTTAATTTTTTCCCGTATTTTCTGCGGGGTAGCAAGAAAAATAGTATACACTACACGGGCAGAAAGTGTGAGAGTCCTGAACTGCGCGCCATGATGCCCTCGGCTTCGCCTCGGGCATTATGGCGCGCAGTGCAGGAATCTCACACTTTCTGCCCTTGTAGTGTAATATACTATTACTCCCGCTATTAGAGTGTGCGCGTATAGCTTGACCAATGCAAGAAACCTAAACTTTCTGCCGTGGAATCGGGGACGAAACAACGTATTTTGAGTCGAGGTAGTAAGAAAAATATATAAATAGAATAAATATATTTATAACACTGGATCAAATACTTAAACCAAGGATCATTGGTCATGTTGCTATAGCATATGGGTCCTAAATTAGGTCTCCTAATAGAGTCAAAAATAATAGCTACATTTATGGGCGCCGACAGTAAATAATAATAAATAACTATTTTCTCTATGAAACAAACAAAACAAACAAAATCAAAAATAAATTAATAAAAATAAAATTTTTGTTCTTAGAAATAAGGGGAGGGTCTACATGCAGCAGAAAAAAGGAGGATTGATGTTAACAGTAAATAATACAATAGTATTTTTAAATAAAATTTGATTTCTTTATTGAATGACGTTATTTCGTACAGGGCAATTATGTGTGGAAGATAGGGTTGCCAGATGTGCTGCAAAAAAAAACCGGACATCCAGACAAACGCCAAAAAATATATATACATTTTTATTAAAAAAAAAATAACATGACGTCAGAACCACACAGAACCACACAGTAACCAAAGAACTTTACACTATATTATACACAATAATAAAAAACAATCAAACAACTATTACAAATTCGCATAAAAACAGCACAATAATTGCAAACAATAAAATTGTACGAAATGAAAATGGCGACTAAAGAATGAATGTATACTAGGTTGCCTAATTTCGTGATTTTTAACATATGCGCGATATTCGATCGGAATATTTTTTGTAGCGCCACCTATTATTTAGAAGCAAAATCTAAACCTATTAATAAAGCCTGTTATTTTCTCAAATTACACGATTTTTTATGAATTCAATAAAAAACCGGACATTCTGTTGTCCGTTTTATCAAGATTTTCTCGACCGGGCGGACAGCAGAAAAACCGGACTGTCCGGTCGAAAACCGGACATCTGGCAACCCTAGTGGAAGATAATTTTGAAAAAATGTTCGCCAAGGTGGATGAATCCACTTAATGGTCCAAATTTTTGATGAAGTCTAATACCTCCTTTATCTCACCATATATGCCTTAAGGCATACCTTCAGGATAATTATCCTGTTAAAGGTGCCTTATTATCTCGTACTTTATAAAAGCTATAGCGATTGAATTGTTGTTGGCTTGTTGGCAATGCCAACTTGGCATAGACCTTAGTAAGGTCACCTTACTCTAGACTAGAGTAAGCACAGATTAAACTGCATGCCGCGCTGTTGTCATTTGCTATTTTTGTTTCCTAAAAGAGTTCTTTTCCTTACTTAAAAAGGGAAAATTTCCTGCAGTTGGGAACACTGCCCGCAAAGGGCACCACCTAAGGTATCTGCAAATTGAACTTCTTCTTCTTCATAAATCCGAACACAGAGCAATATGTGTTTTGGGGTTATGGCCTATAGCTTACATAAAAGTTATTTAGCCAGCTCATTGAAAAAAATAATATGATCATGCAAGATACATACCGGCTAAGGGTTTTGTTGGTGCTAGTGTGTGGATCGCTCAATGAAAAGTATGAAATATAGATGACTTTTCGACCTAGTAGGGACAAAATTGGATTCCGGGAATAGAAATATACCTGTATTTTCTTCGATTTTTTATTCAAATATTTTACTTAAGTAATTCATTCATACTTCACCACCTTCCCAGTTATATGTTGTTACAATATACTTTAATTCATCCATAGTTCTTAAAACTTAATTGATTTTTTACCAAATCGTTTTCTTTATAGGTATTTCTAGTTCAATAATTCTGTTTTTTACTTCAAATATATCTATAGGTAGCTTTAGTTCATTTCATTCAAATTACATTAAAACCCTCGTTAAATCTATATGGTTTTTGGCTATTAAATATATAAAATCAGATTAAATAGGTTACAAGGAATTTTCACAACGGATATATGGAAATAAGTCTGCAAGCAATATTGCCATATACCTATTTGATATTGAAACCTTAAAGCACTGTGCGTTAAAATTGATATGTGTAATTTGAGTTGCATACCAAATACATTACAATTGAGTTCTTTTTATTTTAAACAAATTTTCTTATTATTATAAGGTACATCAAAATATATTGTCTTATATATTTTCTTAAATGTTAAAATAAATTCTTAAAAATGATTATAATCCATAATTTAGAGGAAGAAGAAGAGGTTGATAACAAAAATGGCGTCTCTTTTGAATGAAGGTGAGTGCTTGCCGGCCAAAAAACGAAAATTGGACGAATCTAATGAAAAACCCAGTGTCCATGAAAAGTTAAACGACTTAACAGACTTTAAATTAGAAAAAATAATAAATAACAATACTGTTCGAAAAAGTGTTTGCCTAAAGGGAACTTTTGAATCACAGGAAGGTGATGTTTTAATACTTTTGGAAAAGACAGCATTTGCTGAAGACAGTTTGTTAAACAACAGCGAATATTTCACAGAGAAATGCCCATTGGAAAAAGTTTTTCACAATGATATTTATGGAGACTATAAATATTTTCCAAAGGTAGAGTTAAACGGTATGTATTTTAAGGTTATATAAAATATAAATGTATGTATTAACTTGTTTTTTCTTTTCGTAGGTATTAAAACAACAATTATTCACCCTGCGACAAGTAAACATATCACAAAATATTCAGTGCAAACAAATTATATTGTTGATGAAACCCCGCAAATTTATGATGAGATTGTGTTGCCTCATTTGATGGGCGAACAATTAAACTTGCAGGTATGATGGGACATTTTAGACTTTGTTAAAAATTCGATACCCAAAAAAGGTTTTATCTATTTTAAAAAATGATTTTTATAAGATAGCATATTTTCCAATTATGATTGTTTAAGTAATATTGGATTTTTATAATTATTTTGAATTTTATTTACATTTAAAAAAAAGCATTTTTTAAACGTTTTTTTTTTCAAATTAAAAAAAAAGTTTTTACATACTCAACTATTAATAAACAAAAGAAAAAACATTTATTATTTTCCGGAAACATTTCAAATTTGTTTTAGAGAAACAGTGTTTTTTTGAATATCTGATTTGTCTTAATAATTAAAAAAACCTTATTTTGTTTTTTTTTCTATACCTACTTTGGGTGTTAACAGAAAAAATTCTTAGCTTTTGATATATTTAGGTAGCTGTTATTTTGAAGAAGAATATAACACACCACTGCTTTTTATTGTTTTGATAGTTGTACCAGATAAAACAATTAAATATAAGACTTTTTTGTGTCTTTACTTATTTTTGCCTTTTGCTTTGTATTCAGGAAAGTCAAATTTCTCTTTTATTTGAAAAAGGACAACTTTGGTGATGTGTTTAAAAACAAATATTACAAAAATTCCCCAAAACAAGCACTTTTTGTTTTGTTTTGGTGTTATTTTTAATATTTTAAATTTCTCTTTACACTTTTAAAGCAAGTGAGAAATAAACACAATATTTAAAAATTTAAAAAACATTTTTTTTATTAAGAAATTAGTTATACTTTGTAAGGGGTTTTCAGATACATGCTAGGAAAAAACATCTTAGAAACAAAGAGTTAATAGAAAGTTTTTTTTATTATTTTTATGACACCATTATTATAGTATATATTATTAATATATTAAAAAACTCTTATTCCTTTAAAAACGTGATAATATTATACAGGGTATTAAATTAAATGAAAAAAATATATACAGGGTGTCCGGGAAAAGGAAGTCAATCCGTTAACCATATATTCTTTGAGTTAAAACAATAAGACTTTCATAATACCATTTTTCAATTTAGAGCTTCATGTTCGATATACAGGGCGACAAAGTTTGAAATTTAAAACTGATTTTTTTTAATAATTCGAGTAATTGATAAGATATTAAGTTCAAATTCGGTACACTACTTCAACATAAATAGTTACATGTTTTAAGACCAACAAAACAAAAAAACAATTGTCAAATAATCAAAATAGTACTGACTGATTCCCCCTATTTTTAGTACGTGCGCCAATGACTTCCAAACGGTATTTTTTCAGGTAATCATTTATTGTTAAAAAAAAATTGTCTCTTATAAAATTTTGATAAAATGATTTGTTTTAGAGATAATTTGTAAAGTATGGGTCAGTCCATATCAAATCAACCAAAGGTTCTTCCCCCACCATCTCCGATTTTGATAATTTTTGGTAAATTTGTTTACCTCACTAAAAAACTCAAAAATCCCATATATGAATTTTTTTCGATGGGTGGTTTTTGTTTTATTGATTTTTGAAAATCAAAAAATTCCGATAAATTTGGGTTTTGCAAGTACTTACAAAAATAGCGATATCTCGTAAACTATTAAAAGTAGAAAGGTGAGTGATGGCTTATTTTAAAGGCCTATTAGAGACCTTTTTTATGATATATCACATGACCTAAATTTAAAAAAAAAAAATTAATTTCAAAAATTTGATATACATAGATTGACCCATACTTTACAAATTATCTCTAAAACAAATAATTTTATCAAAATTTTTTAAGAGACAAAAACTCAAAACTCAACAATAAATGATTACCTAAAAAAATACCGTTTGGAAGTCATTGGCGCACGTACTAAAAAATAGGGGGAGTCAGTGAGTACTGGACACCCCTATTATTATTTGACAATTGTTTTTTTGTTTTGTTGGTCTCAAAAAATGTATCTGTTTATGTTGAAGAAGTGTACCGAATTTAAACTTAATATCTTATCAATTACTCGAATTATTAAAAAAAATCAGTTTAAATTTCAAACTTTGTCGCCCTGTATATCGAACATGAAGCTCTAATTTGAAAAATGGTATTATGAAAGTCTTATTGTTTTAACTCAAAGAATATATGGTTAACGGATTGACCTCCTTTTCCCGGACACCCTGTATAAACACAAAGAAGTACCTATTTCTAAAAAAAACTAAAAAAAGCTATATAATAGTTGATATTGATAAATTATCAATATATCTGTATTTTTTAATCTAAGTTTGTATTTTGTAAAAGTGAATTGATTCAAAATAGTCTTAATTAATTAAAGAAGTTGACTTTTTATGCCATGACCCTGATACCAAATACCATGTGATAGGGAGGTCATATTTTCTTTAAACATCTTATTATAGTATTTTAAATCATTTTTACTTTATTCTCTAAAAATTTTAACATGAAAAAAAAGGCATATTTTACGTTAAAATCTACTTGCTCAAAATTTGGCTTATTGTGGATATTGGCAGCTCAATGATGATAACAATTAATAAAGCCCTAATTTACAATATCAATAAATTATATATTTTAGTGGGTTTTTAATATTTTGGAGCACAAATCAGAGGTTGAAAGAATTGTCTTTGAAGATACAGATCCTGAAATTGGTTTTATTTTAATTCCTGATTTAAAGTGGAATGGTGAAGCTGATACATTGTATTTATTGGCTATTATTAACAAAAGAGGTATCAAGTCATTGCGTGACATTACTCAGGAACATCTGCCCTTATTAAAAAACGTACAAACAAAAACATGTGTAAGTACCTGTATATATTTTTTTATTTATAGTAAAGTAATTATAACCTCTGCATAAATAATTTATTTATTGATTACAGAAGTATAAATTAAAATGGAATGCATATAAAATTTGTTTTTTTTAATTTGTTAATTTTAGAAAATAATAGAGGAAAAATATGGATTGGATTCGTCTCAATTAAGAATTTATTTCCATTACCAGCCATCTTTTTACCATTTGCACATTCATTTCTGCTACCTTCGACATGAAGCTCCTGGAATTTTGGCGGAAAAGGCACATTTGTTGTCTAATGTAATAAGTAACTTGGAAATTCTCCCTGATTATTATAAAAAAGCTACTTTGCCCTTTACTGTCAGAGAGAGCGATAATTTATTTAAGAAATTTGAAGAAAAGGGAATTTTAAAGAAATTTAACATTAAAAATGACTAATACTTGTAAAGATAAACTGTTTAAAACTCTGGTGACAGAGGTAAGACCTAGATTACAAAGTGTAAATGTTTTTATTTCTTATGAGAAAGATATAACAGGTAATTTGAAAGTAAACTTAAATAAAAATAGTTTTGATATTTTAATAGAGGATGACAAAGTTTGTACTATACATTTCAATGGTATACATTTTAAAAGTAATAGCTTAACTTCTTTGACTAAAGAAGGGAATTTTATTTCATTTAGATGTGCTACTGATGCGAATATTAACAATTTGGGTTCCTTTAAAACGGAATTATTAAAAAATGTATCTGAAAATATTCAGTTACCCAATTACCCTGTAATTTCTAAAGAAACAAACTACACCCTATACTGCAGTAATTGTAATAATCCAATAACAAAATCTCATATAATATTTCAACGAGTTTTACCCCTACCCTCTGAAAACATGGATTCTAGTGACTGGTTTTGTCATGCTCATGGAAGCAATAACAAAATAGACCTAGATCCTAGTGAAAATGATGCCTTTTACTCCTGTTCTTATATTCATTTAAGTAAAAATAATTTAGATAATGTTAAGATAAATAGTAAATTGCTTGTCTGTAAGTTTTGCCAGTGTTGGTTAGGATTAAATTATAACAGTAAAACGGCAAAAATTTGGTTTAATACCGTTAAATTTGTAAGCAATTCCTATTCTCTGCACACCAATCCTTTAAATGATGTATATTTAACTATCAGAGAGTTATTACAGAATTCTATATTTGGCAGTGTTAAAATAATATTAAGTTGTCCAGTTTCTGATAATGAATCAAATCATTTGCTAATTTGGATTCTAGAAAAAAAGTTGTGCATTTATTATGAAAATGTTAATCAACCGCATCAATGTTTTGATGTAGCAAAGGTTTTATTTAAATTTGTTAAAAACAGCGATAGTTTATTAGATCAGTGGGAATCAGAATCCTCCACACAAAATGTTATTATTTCGAAACCAATGATTTTGGAAGTTTTAAAACATTTACATAAGTTTAATAAGGTCTTTCCAAATCAATTTAGAATATCTTACGGTATGAATATATCTTACCTATTTTTGTACAATTAATTCAGTTATAATAAATTACATTAAGATACCTATTTTAATATTGTTTTATTTGTTTAACAGTAGTATTTGCTTTATTAAAAATTATAACACTAAAAACTAACTAAGCCAGCACTTAGTCCTGTTTACCATTGGAAAGAGCGGAAAAATTTAGACAAAGAAATGTGTAAGGTGATTTTAAAAAAGTGAACTTATAATACAGTTTGGCTCTGAGATGTATACAGTATATAATATATTATATTCTATAGAGATCAAAGTTGAGGTCACATCATTATCTTTTGACAATTTAATATGTTCACCATTGCCATTTTAGCGTTGTAGCGCAGAATAGTCGATGCGAAGTCCATATGATATCATAAGTGCATTCATGTGATATCATGTTGAACCTACTTGTGATATTAATATGCAAATTTGCAAAATCAGCTCATTTCCAAGAACGATGAATTAAACATTTTTTTTTTTAATTTATTTAATGGAATCGAGAAGAAAAACTTAATCTCAATTAAGTTAAAATAAAACAAGTTGTGGCCTGGCATGCATGCCCCTCCTCACCCTTCCAAAAAATAAACAAATTTTATTTTATTTAATATTTATTATTTGAAAAAAAGATGTGCTAATAACGTCAATAATAAAAAAAATATCCTGAAGGTACTCCCAAAAATTCAGATTATTAAATTAATTTTTAACCTGAGCACCCTCCACTTTTAATAAAAATTAAAACAAATCCTAATAAAAAAGTGGGAAAAACTCATAATTTAAAAAAAAAATTCAAACGAGGTTTTTTAAATATCCTAAAGGTAAATTATTAATTAACTTTTAAACTGAGCCCCGACCACTTTAAAAAAATAGAACAAATCATAAAAAAGTGGGAAAAACTTATACTTGCAAAAAAAATTCAAACGTGGTTTTTTTTTACTTTTTTACTTTTCTGAAGGTACTTTTAAAAATTCAGATTTGTAAATTAATTTTTAACCTGAACCCCAACCCGTTTTTTTTTAAATGGAAGAAACCCAAAAAAGTGGAAAAAACTCAAACAAGTTTTTCTTTACTTTTTTACTATTCTGAAGGTCTTCCAAAAATTCATATTTTTAAATTAATTTTTAACCTGAGCTCCGACCACTTTAAAAAAAAAATTAGAACAAATCCTAAAAAACTAAAAAATTTCAAACGAGGTTTTTTCTTAATTTTTACCATCCTGAAGGTAGTCCCAAAAATTCAGATTTGTAAATTAATTTTTAGCCTGAGCACCGACCACTTTTCCTAAAAAAGTGAGAAAAAGTCATAATTTCTTATATATATTTTTTTCCAAACGAGGTTTTTTCTTACTTTTTTCTCTTCCAAAGTTTTAGATTTTTAAATTAATTTGTAACCTGAGCCCCAACCACTTAAAAAAAATGCAAAAATTGTCAATAATAAAAAAAAATAGTATAAACCAGGACCAAATCTGCAAAACCAGGACAAAACCAGTACATAATTAAAACCAGAACACATTAGCAAAAACCAGAACCTGTCCTGGGTAAACCAGGATGGTTGGTAACCGTAGGTATAACTACCTGCAAACGGCAGCACTGATTATACACCTATAGGTACTTATAAGTACTTAGTATCATGGTATAATGTCATATATAGTATCATGGTATAATGTCATATAATGCATACCAGATACATCAACCCTTGTCTCTGATGCATACAATACAACCAATCGAGTTGCCTATCATGGGTGCAGATAATGGACATTCGTTTCATCCTTGGGTTTCGGGGAATCCACTTTAGGGTTGCCACCTGCCACTTCTTGGTTATCAAATGCATATAGGGTTTTAGATTTTTTACGGGAGACAATTAACAGCATTGTTTAGTGACAAGTTCCTGCTTTTGTAAATTTATTTTTATTCTTTAATAAAACAGCTTTTAAAGGCTTATCGTTTTGAAAGGTAAATGTTTTAAAATCTTGTACTGGTTCTTATATTGCCATAACCTGAAAAATGGGGTAACCCGTTAAATAATAATAATCTGGCATCCCTATAGTTGCAAGAGAGTAATTACTAAAGCATAGAAAAAGGATATACAAGGAGGTACTAAAGTATGTCGATTGGAACAAAGACAAGTTGTCTTTTATTTATTTATTTCCTGTATGTTGGCGACTCTGTGAGTCACGTCATTGACAACCAGGTTATCCAATATAACCAGAGATATCTCTGAATATAACACATTATTCTTTGTTGTCATTGTAGATGTCAAAAGTTAATGATTCGTAATAGGTAAATTAGCGAAATAATCTTTTATAATGGTTGACGAAAGTAGACTAAAGTTTTGGTTATCTAAGGTAAACATTTTCGGTTTCATACTTTAAGTCTTTTGTATTAATATTTCATTTCTGTAATTTTGCAGTATCAAAACCCAGACATAGTTTTAAGGGACATCTTGACAGTAACAAATTTTTATCATGGACTTATTCCTACCCAAGAACTATACAGTAAGTTAATTTAATTGCATGAGTCATACTTTAATATCACTAACAATTTTAATTTTAGCTTTTAATGATGGGAGTCGAAAGGAATTGGTTAATTTAAGTGGTACAATACCAGTCAGATTTAATGGCACCATTTACAATATACCAATATGCATTTGGCTGGTTGATACTCATCCAAACAATGCACCTATATCTTATGTTAAACCCACAGCTGATATGGCCATAAAAGTTTCAATGTACGTTGATCACAGTGGAAAAATATATTTGCCATATTTAAGTGATTGGGTTCCGGTAATGATTTTGTCTATTTTATATTTTTACTGATTTTTATCATGTTTTATTTTAGAATTCTTCTGAGTTATTGGGATTAATACAAGTTATGATTGTTACTTTTGGAGAACAACCACCAGTATTTGCAAAATCAAAAGAAAATGATGTTCCTTACCCCACAGGATGTAAGTATTTATACCAAATCTATATCTTACTACATAATATACAGCATAATTTTTTATAAATGTATTTTAAAAAATTTAATATAAGACCAATACAATTTTTTGTAGCATAATTTTTAACTGTAAAAGATATTTTTTATTAAAATATTTGGCAGAAATGTCCCAAAATTTAAAAGCTAGAATTCATTAAAATCCAGTAACAAGTTTTATAAATGCTATTTAAGTAGTTCACAAGGTTACTAGCACAGCTTGTAGAACAAGTTTTTAATAAAGAAGTTTATTAAACAAATTGCGTACCATATTAAGTAAAGTCTTTATCTATGAAAAATACAAAGTAATGTTTTTTTCAGAATTTGAAGCCAATTTTATTTGACGATTTATCTGACAAGCAGAGGCGTGTTTAACATCAGTTTTTTCCAATCTGACAAATGTCAAACGGTTTTAACCTCACCTTTTACCAATTTAAACTTAAAGCTAGCTAGCCTGTGTTTTAAAGTATATTGTGTATTAAGTTTTATAAAAGCCATTTTTAGTTACTAGTTTTATTAGGCACGAGCGAAACTTGCGAGCGAGTGTTTTTCGTATGAGAATTAATGAAAATGATTAAAATCATATAAGTTTATTGTAAAAAACTTATTTTATCTTAACTTATCTACTTCTATGCATAATATTGTTTTTTTCGTGAATAATGATAAACATTATAAATTCCCTGCCTAACAATGGGAATAATGAACTCATTATTCACATTGTTAGGCATCAGTGATTTCAATATTCACTTTGATTTAAATCAATTGAGTTTTAAATTGGGAGAAGGCGACTATAATAATTAAATTTGGTAAAAAATAAGGTTAACCATTTGATAGATGTCAGATTTTATTTATTTATTTTTTTTAAATCAGTTAAATATCTACCTATTGGAGTAGATAAAGTATGGTATTACATATTGAAATTGCAGTTTTACTGTGAAACGATACATTTTACAAAGTCAACTTCAGGATGACTTTTTGTTTGTAAATGAACTACCTACTTATTTTAAAAATGTTAAAACAATTTTTTAGATCATTGGTGTAGGTACCTTTTTTTCTCTAAAAAGGGATATTATCACCCCCATTGTAACGCCATTGCTTAGTATCAAAACGAATATTTAATGATTTAATGAACGAAGTTTAAGTCACATAAAAATTCCGCCAAAAACTGATTGCAGTTTCTTGTTCGGGACCCTTCGGTGACTTAAAAATGTTATTTACCAAAATCCTAGCTGCTCCTCTTTTCGATTTTTTTTTTAAATTCATGATTTTTTTTTTAAATTTTTGACAGAGTACACATTTGTACACCGATTTTTATAATATTGGAGTATATTGTTAAGGAGATTTTGAGAATACTTTTTTATACTGTGAACATCATTTAATGTACAGGGTTAGCCAAAAATCGCTTCATTTTATAAAGCAAAAGCTATAACTTCATGATTTTGGCATAACACGCAAAAAAGATATATACCCACACGTGTTTTTTTAGATATTTTTATGTTTATTAGGCTACAGAATAAGCCTTATAAGAAAAATTAATTTTGAATAAAATTAAATAAAATAGCATTTTTTGTGCATTATGCTTTTTACTATATAAAAAAGTAATTTTAGGCTAACCCTTTATAAATCTAATGATGTGCTCAGGTAAGGTAAGATAAACAAAAATTTAAAAAAAAAATAAAGAATTTTCAAAAAATTTCGAAAAGAGGAGCAGCTAGGATTTTGGTAAATATTATTTTAAAGTTACCAAAGGGTCCCAAACAAGAAACTGCAATCAATAAAAATCGGTGTACAAATGTGTACTCTGGCAAAGGTAGACTTTGCGATAAACAAAAATTTAAAAAAAATTATTTTTTAACAAATTTAAAAAAAGCAGTTAGAATTTTGGTAAATATCGTTTTTAAATCTCCAAAAAGTGCCCATCAAAAAACTTCAACCAATTTTTCGTTCAAAATTGAAAACTACTAAAAAGCCTAAATTAAACAACATTTTAAATATTCTCTAAGTGTTATTTTATTTATTTTTTTATAAAAGATTAATAAGAATACCATTTTGTAACCTGATAAACGTAGAAATATCTAAAAAAAATGTGGATAAATCTTTTTTGCGTGTTATGCCAAAATCATGAATTTACGTTTTTGCTTTATTAAAAATAAGCGATTTTTGGCTCACCCTGTATATATCAAATTATGTGAACACTATAAAAAGTATTCTCCCCAATAATATACTCTAATTTTATAAAAATCGGTGCACAAATGTGTACTCTGTCAAAGGTAGACTTTGAAATAAACAAAAATTTAAAAAAAAACATGAATTTTCAAAAAATTTCGAAAAGAGGAGCAGCTAGGATTTTGGTAAATATCATTTTTAAGTCCAAAGGGTCCCGAACATAAAACTGCAATCAATTTTTGGCGGCATTTTTATGTGACTTAAACTTCGTTCAGGCACACCGTGTGGAATAAAAAACAATACTCACAAAATGTCGATAAAACACCTATGTTCTTTAGTTTGGGAGACATTTTTTTTATATAACATCTTCAACATATGTTTTATATAAAAGTAGTTTTTTGTACTTAACTTTGTTAGTTTTATGCATTACATTTTTATATAAAAAAATTTTAACCTAGTCATTGGTGTGCATAAATTTTGAACTAAAAATTAAAGCAAGATCAGAAACAAATTTTATTAGAAGTGTTTTTATATTTTTGATAATAGAATCATAAACCACTAAAACTATTATCGTAATTTTCTTTACGCACTTCAATATTATTTTTTAGCATTTATGCCCCAACCAGGTGGTAACTACAGGCCTCCTTATCCAACAGGTGGTTACCCACCATCATCAGGATACGGTAACTATCCACCGTACCCTCCAAGTTCCGCCTCTGGATACCCTGCTTACCCTACCCCATACCCTCCTTACCCCACTCCTGGTGGATTTGGAACTCCAGGTTCGTTGGTTCCCGGTACAGGAACCATCAAGGAAGAACACATCAGGGAATCGTTGTTGACTGCCATCGAAGAAAAATTGCTAAGAAAAATGAAAGAACAGTTTCAGCAGCACCAGGCTGAAATGGAGACGCTGAAAAAAACACAGGAGGAGCTAAGACAAGGGAAAGTTAAATTGGAGGGTATATTGGGCAGGATGGAGAAAGAACAGGTGAACACTACTAAGGATTTTTGTTGGGATTTTACATTTCATATTCGACTTTTCTAGAGCGACTTGGACAAAAACATCACATTATTAAAAGATAAAGAACAGGAATTGGACAAAGCAATCGAAAAAATTAGCAATCAGGAATCAATAGATGTGGATGATGCTGTAACAACCACTGCACCTTTATATAAGCAGTAAGTTATTTAAAAGTTATATTAATTTTGTTTTGGGTAAGATTAGTTTTTAAAGTTTACTTCAATAGAATTTAAATGAAAAACCTGATATGCTGGAATTTTAAATATACATAGTATGCATTAAGGTAAGCTAAAAAAACTTTTAATTTTCTTTTCTTTATCTATCAAGAAAATATCGTCCAAGATGACGAAAAAAAAAATTCTGATAATGTTTGAGCTCTTAATATCAATATCTCATCGCGATTTTTTATTTTCCATTTAAATAACACTGGAATAGTATATTCGGTAACAAGTTTGGAATACAGCATATTCCGCTAGAGTGAAGAGTTTGTCACACGAGCCGAAGGCGAGTTTGACGGTTTCACGAGAGCGGAATATGCTATTCCAAACGTGTTTCAGACTATACTTTTTCTACGTTTACAAAAAATACCATAGAAAAATAATTTAATTGGAAGAAAGTGAGGTTGGATCGGTCTAAAATTTGTTAGATATTAAAAACAGAGATGTCGCCACGAGTGTTTATTCTGTCATCAGATGATAGAATATTTCATTCTGTAACACTTTACGGAATATATGTCATTCCATAGATAAAAGTTATATTAGAAGGGTCAAATTTCGTAATAGGAGTAGAAAAAATACATTTTTTGTTTGGAATTTTATTGCGTTTTAAAGAATCAGTGAGTTGTAGAAATCAATACATATTCTTGTAGGGAATTGAACGATCTACAAAAAAGATCTGATATGATTTTTTGCATAGTCGACTCTTTTAAAAGTTATTTGAGGTTAAAGTTCAACTTCAAATAGTAAATGATGACTTATAGTTTTTCATACTCTCATCACGAAATATTGTCTCAAAAACATGAAATATAATATTTAAGTTTATCGAGTGTTCTCCGGTAAAACAATACAATTTTTTCATATATTTAATTTTTTTTTTAATTCGAAATTTTTTCTTTACCTGAGTAATGACAAAAAAAATATTCATTTTCTTAAAAAATATTAAATATTCTATTTACACTTGACTATTAGGTAATGTAGAGTAATAAAAGCTATGATTCAATAATTTTTCAATTAAAATAAAAAATGTTATTCCATAACTTGTACTTTTTCACTATCTTAGAATCAAACTAAATTTTTCTTGTTACAATTGGGATATTTTTGCCGGTGGTTTTTAACTACTTAACTATTTACCCATTGACTTTATCAAGAATGTAAAATTTTGTACACAGGATGAAACCTGTCAAGATAATCTAGTATTTTTCAAACGTCTTAGCGTTCTCAATGATGTAAGAAAGAGGAGTTGCATTAATAGAAGAGTACAACAAATGTTTGATTCTAAGATAGTGAAAAAAGTTATGGAATAACATTTTTTATTTTAGTTAATAAATTATTGAAACATAGCTTTTATTACCTAATAGTCAAGTATAAATATAATATTTATTATTTTTTGAGAAAATATATTAATTTTTTTGTCATTACTTATGTAAAGAAAAAAATTCGATTTTTTTCTACATCAAGTATAGAAAAAAAACGGTTTTTTTCACGATTATTGATATTTCCACAGACAAAATAGACTTGCCTTAGGGAGAAAATGATACGGCCGGGCGGATGCCTGAACGGGTGCCTGTTTTCCAGTTCGCATCATTCATATTTGAGCAGTTGACCTGTGAGGATATATTATTTATGTAAAATTCTTTGAACATTATGTGTTGTCAAAGTGTGTCCTAGTCGTAGTGAAACTAGTTCCAGCCAATTTCAATCAATTTCCTTTTTCCAGTAAGTAGTAATTACGAGATAAATTTTAAGCGATTTTATTAATTTTGCATGTCAATACCTTGCGTGCGCACACAGATGTTGTATTGTTCTCTCCTGTGCACAGAGCCGTACTTCGTTCATTCTGGAGCGTAAAACTAGATGAATTTCTTTGATAATCCACTAGGAATATTTTAAATTAGATACAGCTCGTACGAAATTATTTAATACGGGCCTGGCAGAATACATATCTTCTCTTATATAATATATAATATAATGTATACATTCCCTTGCCCCCCTTCTCCGATTTATGGCACGCTGGTTTCATGTTAGCGATACTGAACAGGGCAAGTCTATTTTGTCTGTGGATATTTCGTAAAAATTGTATTGTATTACATGTTTTTGATCCAATATTTCGTAATAAAGTATGAAAGTATTTAAAATTGATCTTTTAAACGAGTCGACTAAGCAAAAAATCATATCAAATTTTTTTGGAGATCGTTCAATTCCCTACTAGAATATGTATTGATTTATACAACTGGTTCGTTAAAACGCAATAAAATTACAAACAAAAAAATGTTTTTTTCCGTGTTATTTAAATGAAACATAAAAAATCAGATTTTTTTTTCGTCATCTTGGACGACATTTTCATGGTAACTAAAGAAAAAAAATTAAAAGTTTTTTTTTGCCCACTCTAGTTTTTAAAAATGTGTTGGTATTCATTATTTAATCTAATTCCTGTTTGAACCACATTTCGACGTTAAAAATACGTAAAGGAGTATTTCGTTTTTATTTGATATCGTAATGCAAATAATTTTAAAAAAATGTGGATTTGACAAAATTTTGTAAAAATTTCCCATTATTCCCCTTATAAAAATACAGTGAGGTTACGTTGTTGGGCTATGCTATTATGCTAAAATAATAATTAATAATTAAGCGACTTGCGTTACATCTCTCGTAACGTACTATACGCTAAAGAAGCATCGCTTGTATCGCCACCACTTGGTCGTTATCATCGTAACAAAACTACAACTTTCAATAATCAGCTGTTAAACGCGTATGTTAGTGTTTTTGAGAAAAAAAACGGAAAATGTTAAAAATATATCGAAAAAAAAAACCGTGGCACGATTTGTTGTGTTGTCGGGGTTTTTTCGAGAGGAAATCCTGGGTTGAGTTTTTACCGGTTTCCCAATAAACAGTGTTAATCCGAATGAAGAAATAAATTCCTACAGTCCCTGTAAATATAAATTGTACCACATTTTAGTAATGTTTAACGTGAAAAGTGTAAACATTTTAATTCAGTAAAAATCTTCAAACAAATAAGTCGTCTAAATTCAAACATCATTTAGCATTATTAAAAGCGTGAATTAAGAAAGTTTCCACAACGGTAGAATACCATTATTTTATGTATTATATATAATATTATGTTGCCATGAATTCGTAGGTATATTTTGTTTTTTAAAATGCAGTTTTTTAGAGGACCTAAATATAAAAAAGTTCGATTTTAAGGTTATGTTTGAGCAACAATTATTTTCTACTAATTTCTTAAAAATGTCCAAACTTAAATATAAATTATACTTATTAGTTAATTCTGCACCAAAAAATATATGTACCGAATTGAATCCTTTGTCCTTAGCGTATATACTATTTTGTTTAAGCATTTAAGGTAGTATCTTTATTTCAAGAGTTTAATAAATAAATAACAGTAGTCCATGACAGTAAATTCAGCGGTGCCAATGTAGTAAAAATAAAACGTTGTATTTTAACAAATTTCTACTTTATTATAAATAAAAAAAACATCATAAACTAAAAGCAACATATTAAGTATATAAGTTACAATATAAATTGTTAATGTGCTGTTATAATGGCAAAATTCAGTTTTAACACTGTTATATTTTTGTGTTTCTTAAGGTGGCGGCAGAACATTTGAAATGACAATTTTAAAAAGTGCTTACAAAATTGTTTTTTGTGATTTTCATAAAAAATATTCTGTAATAATTTATTTTTAATCCATTATTAATACAATACATTATTCTTCTTCTTCTTGTTTATCGAGTTTAGAAACGAATTTTTGAAAGAATCGAGTTTAGAAACGAATTTTTGAAAGAATCTATGGAAAATAACACTTGTGCAGAAGTGTTATTTCGCACATATTTTCCATAGATTATTTCAAAAATTCGTTTCAAAACTATATAAACAAAATAGGATCATGTTAATATCTTAAAGATTGATTATTATAGTTTATTTTTTATGTAAATCTCATGAGATACAAAATACACTGTGGCGTATGAAAACAAATATTATTTTCTTGGAATCTTTGCTGTAAAAAAATCCAAAATTACTGGTGCCTCACAAAATCATGTACTTAATTTTGAAGATATTTTATAGAAACTCTTCAAATGGAGATACTACATTAAGCTCGATTTAGGGCGTATTTTTCTAGTCTAATAATAAATTAAATTAAAATACCTTTATATTTGTTCAGAAAAATAAAAAATGCGTATAACTAAAGAATGTATTTCTAAACAAGAAAAATCTATTATTTGTAGTAAGTGTAAATAAAATCATTTTCGACCTTGCGTTATTTTTTTGCTATTTCAGATTATTAAATGCATTCGCAGAGGAAGCCGCTTTGGAAGACGCAATCTACTACATGGGAGAAGCTTTAAGATGTGGAGTAATAGATTTAGATATTTTCTTAAAACAAGTCAGAACTTTGTCAAGAAAACAATTTATGCTTAGAGCCGTTATGCAAAAGTGCCGTCAAAAAGCCGGCTTGTCTTGTTAATTAATTGTAAATATTGCTGTATTTTTTATGTTATGTATTAAGTTATATTTAATTATTTGTAGATTATATAAGCTTACAGCAGTTAAATATATAGATTTTATCAATTATCGTTATTTTTTTATATAATTTTTTACCTACAATTCCGTTTGGATTTACATCTCATTTTAACAAAATGTTATTCGCGAATATTAAAAAACAATGACAATGGTAAAATGGAATCTTAAACATCTGATTTTGTTTAAGATTGTATCATATGTACTTAATCAAATTTTGATATAAATTTATATCTGTAATGACAGAACGCTCGAATAGGTCAGACTTTTTACAAAAGCGCTTCCATAAATCATTTAAAAAATATTCAAGACAAAAGTGCCTATTAAACTTATGAGTGCTGTGCGATAGTGCAGAAGAAAACATAGCGTCGGCTTTTGAGGGAAATAAACAGATAAGTACAAGAGCTTAAAAAATCAGTGCTGGAGGGGGATACAGCCAAAACATAGTATGTGAATTGTTGAATTGGGAACAGAAAAAAAAATGCAGCGACATAGATGCGACATAAGATAGACAAACAGTCCTCTCAAGTAGATCGAAGTCATGTTAAACTTACTGAAGGGCTCAACGACACATTAACGATCTTCACACAATGGGTTATAATAATTTTTTGTACAAATATGTTTCCTACATTTTCAGCTTAGTATAATAACGACCGGCTGAATAAGGCTGAATTTTCTCAAAGGCAGTACTGGAAAGGAGCAGCTGAATCTTCCTTGAAGTCAGCTGCTACTCGATGTGGACGGCAATATTGAAGACAAGTAAAGGTTTCGCCTAGTGGGGTAAATAATTTGCGCATATCTGCTTAATTACCTCAGCTAAATGCAACTGAATCTTCCTTGAAGTGAGTACTTGAAATGAGCAGTCGAATCTTCCTTGAAGTCAGCTACCAAATACCGAAATATCTGAGAGAAGACGGACACAGAAGAACACTAAGGTGGATATCCGCATTCAGCAAACACAGGTGAAGCTGTGCTGTTGCTGGGTGCGGAAGAAAATCAGTAAGCAAGGGCGCCGATAATTTTTTCTTTGGGGGGGGTAACATATGGGCGAATTTTCGTTAAATGTACATTTTGTATATATATTTTGTCCAGGCAGGTCAATTTGATCGATTTTTTTCCTTTGTGATAGAACAGTGTAATATACTGCAAAAAAATTCTATAAGTTTATAAATAACAAAAATAAACTTTAAAGAAATAAAACTTATAGGGTTAATCTGAAATAGGGAAGGAACACAAGGAAGAAATTAAACATTGTCCTCCTCCTAACGCATCTTCCTGAACGTTTTATGCCACATTGCTTTTGACTTTTTCAAACGTTATTTTTCAGAAATACTGTTAAATGTAAATATCTTTCGGCATTTGTTTGGAATTTCTACTATATATAGCATATGCTATAATACAAAATGAAAATAAAAAAGTTAACTTCTAAAACAAGAGTTTTATGTAGCGTTTTGTAAAAGACACCAAAAGTGTACGCAAAAAAATCTTACCTTTAAAATATTTATAAAAAAATTCACACACTTTACACGTGCTCACTTGTTGTTGCCGAACTATCAAACATGTATGCCCTCTAGAAATAACACGATAGTATCTCTAGCTCGTGTCTCTATTTCGAAGCAGTCGGCATAGAAGACGACGTTAGGAAAAAGACAAGATTTTTGAATGTCAACTTTAATATTTTTTTCTGTTTAAACTACTTTGTAGAAAACTTTTTTATTTTTATATACGAATAAAAGAACTTTCCATTGTTCAAAAATAATTTATTTTTTCAGAAGAAACCTGCAAATAAGAAGAATATAATAATTTAAATTAAAAAATCGCCTCTGGGGACAGTTAGGTTACAGGACATTTCACCTAGTTTTTCTACCATATATAGAAACATAAAGTAATTACAAAAAAATACGATGGGTCCTAACAGGAAGGGGGTATTTAAATATACCTAATAAATACAAAACTTATCAACAAAGGTCAAAAATAAAAATAAAATTAGCTGGGGACAGCAAATGTACATTTAACGAAAATTTGCCCATATAAGGAAAATAATTTTGCAAAACATGTTTATATATATATATATATATATATATATATATATATATATTCTTTTTTAAGTACCTAGGTCATGTTTTTAAATATAAAATTGAAATTATAAAATTATAATGTATTTTTTTCATTTTTTCAAAACGATCCAAAACCTTATCAATATTTATTTTTAAATCCCTATGTACAAGAAACAATGCTAATCCTACTAGTCTTTCTTCACCTGGAGAAGCACTTTCAGGGCCCGAAAGAGACGATGCGTATGGGGCCAGCTATACGGTCCCTATGTTCATGTTTATGTTCGAAAAAAACTTCATACTAAACTAACTTTCGCAAATAATATTTGGTTTAAAACAAAAATTAGACCACGTCATTTAGGATTCGGTTTTGGGTGATCAATTTAGTTTTACTCTACTCTTTATATACATACAATGCGGTGCGTTTTTTTGTTTTAAACCTTTAACTATGGATATAAAAAAATAATAAAGCTCTAGTGGCTAAACAAAGCAACTTTTAATATTTTAAGCACACGAATACATATTTTCTTCTTCTGTGTTTTTAGATTTATCCAGCTGAATCTTATTTTTATCCGGAGGTACTTGAGCAAGCGAGGATTTCCTTGATTATATATTTTATTTAAATGTCCATCACTTTTACTCTAATCTTCTCTTCAGTTCATTCAGTTTATTTTTATAACAGGTTTTATTTTAGAATTTCAGTTTGTTCTTAACACAATTTTAATACAGTTAATATTCTAAGCATAAAGAAGATCACTGCAAAGGCAAAAGAAATAGAAAAAATAACAACCATGCACTACATGTTTGCACAAATATATTTAATCTTCCAATACTTCGACCATCCTTTTTGGAAATCCTTTGCATCTTCACCAATCTAATATAGATTCTGTAGTTTCGGCACTGGCAGCGCTGCTGTGGGCACCATATTGTCGTTTATTTTTACACTGTTTCATTAGCAGGACTTCAGCGGACAATACTGAACTGGAATACATATTTTAAACACAAAACAAAGTTATTGTCCCCAACCGCCACAAGTTCTTTTAGCTTTTAGCGCTACTTTCTCTCTTTTAAATTTGATTTATGTAGTGGTACACACTGGGTATAATAATGCACCATGTTATTTAAATCGTTTATTGAATAACTAAACAATTATACAGTAAAACAATATTTTAAAAATTAAACTTTTATATATGCACCTATATTTTCTCTAAATTTAAATTCATAAAATATTGTTTTTAAGTTAATTATAACAAATAAAAATAAATAAGGCACTGCATTACATATAAATATGAACGAGTCTATAAATAGTAAACTCAACAACAGCAAAAAAAAATTCAATATATTGTTATATTATAATAAATATCGTATTCGTATATCAGTATATGAGATACTAGGCTCACTGTAATAAATTCATAATCAGTATCACAGTATGTATTCTTTAAAAAAAGAATTCATTCATAAAATAAAATCGTTTGTAGTAAAACAACTTTAACAATTAGATTAATTTCTTTTGTTGGTAGCTCGCAAATCGCAAATCTCTCGTTAATGATATTCTAATACAAACGCTTATCATAAAGTCCATTATCGGGTAAAAAAATCTATCTAAATATTCTAAAATTATATACATCTTAACAAATAATAAATTAATAGTTTACTTAAATAATTTGGTGGCGTAACACCATATGCGGAAGAAATATTCGTCCTTCTTTAGCAAATTTCCCTTTGCGTATGAACGAATATCTGCGTCCATGTTCGCTTCGCGCAGCCAAGAAGACGTCGGTAAACTTTCTGTGCTGTAAGACGTTGGTTCACGCTCTGTTGCTTCCTTGAAGTCGTCTTGGTCTGCATCTAAATAGTGCAATAATTAATTTCTGCTATAATTTTAACAAAAATATGTAATTTACCTCCCGATGGTAGAACCTTGAAGGGTTCCTCTGATTCTAAAGGTTCACTGAGGCCGATTTCGTTCTTGGCGAAAATTCTAAATATGTATTCGTGATCTTCTTGTAAATCTCTAATGGTGAACTTCTGTACACCTTTACCGACTCTACCGATTTCCATCCACATGGTTTTCTTCGTATCCTTAATTGCAATATTGTATCCAGTTAATGGCGAACCTCCATCCCATTCCGGTATTCCCCATTCAATAACTATGGCATTGGGTCCAATTGTTCGTATTTCTAATGGGGCTGTTGGAGGCGATGGAACGGCTAAAAATATTTATATTTAAAAAGTGCCAATATATTTTTTTTATATTAAACTTACTGGCAGAAGACCTCATTTTCACTACTTCGGTAGCTACAGGCGCACTAAGACCTACCGCATTTTCAGCGAAAACTCTAAACACGTAGTCGCTCTTTTCTTTCAAGTTCTCGAATGTGTATTGAAGTGTGTATGCTTCAAGAGTAAAGACTTTCTCCCATTTTGGTAAGAATTCAAGTTTCTTTTCGACCACGTATCCAGTGATTTCAGATCCGCCATCGTTAAGTGGAGGCGTCCAGGTCAGAGTGGCACTTCTGCTGGTTAGGTCAGTTATCTTAACATTTTCCGGTGGAGATGGTGGTGCTACAAAGTCAAAATGTTATTGAAAATATGGGTTGAGTTGGACTTTTAAAACTTACTGCGCGTGCCAAGCTTAGCAGGAGGAAATATCCCCAACAAGCAATAAAGCGACTCGTCAGTCTTTTCGAAATGGTAGTTTATTCCTAATTAATAAAGCATATATTAGGCTTAAAGCTAAAGCATTAGTTCTTAATTAAATTAAATTTCAAATAATTAAAAGCTATGTTAAGTAACAATTAGTATACTAGTACAGCTGTATAGTTCTTGTATAACAGTCTAAGTATACAGGGTGTTTCTTTTAACTTGAGACAGCTCAATATCTCGAGAAATACGCATTTCACGGAAAAATGTCCTAAATAAAAGGTTAATGTGACTAAAGGGGACATTATTTGGTGCTACCGCTAGCCACCCCCTACCCCTCCTTAAGGGTGAAACGGGGGGTAACTTTGGAAAGTCAAATGGAATGACCCGATTTTTTTCACAGAGTTTGGTAGTACATAAAAAAATAAATAACTTTTATTTAAAACTTTTTCAATTTATCAACAGATGGCGATGTAATTCAAAATTTAAGAAAAATGAGTTTCCTTGTAAAATGTATTATTTGAAACGTTTGAAAAACAAAAATTAACATTAACAACAATAGTCGGCTATGAAAACAATTTATAACAAATGTTCGAAATGTCGTCATTCCATTTCAACACATTTTTGAATGCGGGTAATGAATTCAGCACACAACGCGCCAACATGTCGGGCGGTATCGCCGCACAGGCGTTCCTGATCTGCTCCACCATGTCCTCCCAAGTTGTAGGAATTGCAGCGTAAACTTTTTCTTTCAAGTAACCCCACTGGAAGAAGTCTGGTGGCGTAAGATCAGGTGATCGAGCAGGCCAAATTACTGGACCACGTCTACCGATCCACCGCGGTGCACCGGCCATTGAACTCCCGATCCAACACCTCTCGAGCAATTGCCGAATAATGTGCAGGACAACCATCTTGCTGGTACCACATGTTTTGGAGCCGTGCTAGTGGTACATCCTCCAAAAGATCCGTCAGATCGTTTTCTAGAAAATTCCGGTACTTTTCGCCATTTAATGCACCGTCAATAAAGAAGGGTCCGATTAATCGTTCGCTTAAGGTACCGCACCAAACGTTTACCGACCAGGGACGCTGGTGCTCCACTTGGTGTCGAAATGGAAGGACGACATTTCGAATATTTGTTTAGAGCCGACTATTGTTGATTTAATGTTAATTTTTGTTTTTCAAATACATTTTACAAGGAAACCCCTTTTTCTTAAATTTTGAATTACAGCGCCATCTGTTGATAAATTGAAAAAAACTTTCAAATAAAAGTTATTCATTTTTTATGTACTACCAAAATCTGTGAAAAAAATCGGGTCATCCCTTTTGACTTTCCAAAGTTACCCCCCGTTTCACACTTAAGGAGGGGTAGGGGGTGGCTAGCGGTAGCACCAAATAATGTCCCCTTTGGTCACATTAACCTTTTATTTAAGACATTTTTCCGTGAAATGCATATTTCTCAAGATATTGAGCTGTCTCAACTTAAAAGAAACACCCTGTATATATAATTTAATTTTGACAAGTCATTTTCTAAAATCAATTTCAAAGTTCAAAATACACTTTTGTAAGAAGATATAAATCATTTTACAGAATATGGATATTATAAAATAGTTAAAATATTTTCACAGAAATGCATTTAGAACTATAAATCTTTTTTTTTTAATATTTTGTCAAAATTTTAACTTTTGGACTTGTAATGTTATTAATCCCACCGATTCAATTGTTGTTAAGAATAATATAACATACTGTACTTACTAATTCTGGAGCCAGCTACTATAGTTTCATCGGGTAGATATGGGTCGCTAACTCCAATAGCGTTTCTAGATGTAATTCTGAATTTGTAGCCATGATCTTTTTCCAAGTAATTAATTGGAATATCTGTTACGTCTCCCTTGGTAGCACCAACCTTCTTAAATGCTTTCTTACTATTAGCTTCTTTCATTTCGACAATGTACTCGATGATTGGAGCGCCACCGTCCGATTCGGAGGGTTGCCATTGAAGCGTGAAGGAAGTGGCAGACATGCCGGATACTTCTAAGGGTGCCCTTGGTGGTGAAGGTCTTTCTCCAACTTTAAGTTTGGAGGACGTAGATATGGTTTCTACCGAGCATGTGTATTCGGATTCGTCCTCTTTGGTAGATTGTACAACAGTTAACTTTCTGAATGTTTTCTCAGATTTTATTATGTATTTTGATGATGTTTCAATAACTTTTCCGTTACGAAGCCATTGTACCTCGGCATCTTCTCTTGAAATTTCGCACTGGAATTCGGCATCTGTATTTGTTGGAACAACGGTAAATTCTGGCAGAGGTGTAAGGAACAAAATAGTAGGAACTCTGACCCTAAGGTTAGCGCTGGACGACTGTTTTCCAACCTATAAATTACATATTAAAATAACTATTTAATACAAATAATAAATTTAATAATTACCTCACACATGTATGTTCCTTCATCTTCTGGAACTGTGTTGTAAATCTTAAGTTTCTGCCTCTTACCATCAATAGATAATTGTATGTGATCGGAAAATTGTAATTCCTTTCCGTCTTTATACCATTTTGCCAAAGCATCTCCTTTAGACAGTTCAATTTCAAACACTGTCTTGTCTCCCTTTTTAACTGTTTGATCTTGAAGTGGGCCAATTATTTCAGGTGGAAGTTCAATAACTGTTACATCGCCCTTACAATCTTGATCTAATAATGTGCAAATGTATTCTCCTTCATCGTGTATTGATGCACTGCGGATAATAAGTTTTCTAACTCCTCCATCTTTTTCGAGAGTATATTTAATATTTGCATCATCAAGAACTTTACCCTCTTTTTTCCAAACAACATCGGCAGTATCTGAGGTAATTTCAACCTCCAACACTGCCAATTGTTTTTCAGTTACTTCTAAATCTTGTAACTTGCGAACAAATTCAAGTTTTCTTTGTTCAACCTTGACAGTAGTTTCAGTCTTTTGATCTTTAACAGTACATTTATATTGACCTTCGTCATTCTTATTAATTTTCTTAATTATAAGCTTATGAATTCTTCCATCCTGTACAACAACCCGATGATCCAATCCACTGATTTCAGTTTCGTTGTACCACCATTTAGTTCTTACGGAATGCGATGTTTCACATTCAAGTTCTATAGTCTCGCGTTCGGTGGTCTCATAAACCTTCTTTAGTTTCTTTGTAAATTTAACGGTATCCACTTCAATGGATACCTTAGCTCCATGAGAAATTTTACCCAATGGATTCGAAGCAATGCATTTGTAATCTCCTGAATCAAGTTCGGAATTAGTATCGTAAATCACTAATTCAATATTTTCTCCATCGAATGTCATACGGATTCTATCTGATGGTTCAATAGGTTTATTATTTCTTAACCAATATACTTCCGGAGTTGGATTTCCAGTAACTTTAGCAGTTAACCTTAAAACGCTCTTTTCAGGAATATTTTGTTCTTCGAATCTCTTAATGAAAAGTGGAGGTTCGGCAGTTTCAGGATAATCTAAAATGTATGTAAATAAATAAGTGCATATTATCAAATAATAGTGCTTTTTAACAATTAAACAAAACAAAATAAAAGAATAATAAATTGAATATATTTTAATGTAATAAGCAAAATATACATTGCGTCAATAATTATTATAATAAGTTGTAAGAGCATTAGTCGCATTAAACCTAAAAAAAATGCTAAGCATGTGTTATGTAATAGACTAAGCATACAACATTTTAATTCCAGCTTATATTTACCTTCAACAGTAATAGAAGCAGTTGTTTCCGCAGTACCACTTAAGTTTTTGGCTCTTATTGTGTATTCTGCGGTATCATCCAAAGTGGCGGCATGAATAGTATAAGTATAAACATCGCCATCTTTTTTGGTTCTTTGTTCCGGTATTTGTTTATCATTTTTGAACCATTTTATATTTGGAAGAGGAGTTCCAGTAATAGTGGCTTTAAGAGTTATTCTGTCGGATTTTTTGACTGTAGTAGATCTTAGTGGTTTTATTATTTGAGGAGCTTCATTTTCATCGGTTTCAACTTTAATAATAAATTTAACTGTCGCCTCTCCTACCTTATTCTTAGCAACTATTTTGTAAATGCCTTCTTGAGTTTTTTCAGTTTTTGTAATTTTCAATGTTGTTTCGTATTTATAATGAGAAGTGCTTGTTGTTTCAATGGTAACATTATTTTTGGTGGTGATTTTCTTTCCATTTCTATACCATTTGATTTCGGGTTTAGGGTACGCAGTTAAACTACATGAGACGAATGTCTCAGTTCCTTCTGGTATAGTTTTTGATTGTGGTTCTTCAGTAAAAGTAGGCGGAATACCTTCGACGATGTCAACAAATGTTGCTTCCCGTGTTAAAGTTTTCCTAGATATCACATTTAGGTCTGTACCGTGGTTTGACAATGGATATTCAATAGTCAGTTCGGTAGAGCAAGATGAAAAACCGGCTGAGTTTTTAGCAACGCATGTAAAAGTACCGGCGTCTTCGGGGAAAACTTCCTTTATTAATAAAGTGGCAATATTATTATCATCATAATACATTTGGTAATCAGTAGATGATTTAATTACGGATGTTTGTTTAAACCAAGTGATTTGAGGACGTGGAAAACCTTCAACTTTGCATTGGAATGTGACAGTATATCCGTCGGGTGAAGAAATTGGTTTTAATTTATCCACAAATTTGGGTGCTTTGGTCCTATCTATTTCTTCTGGCTTGGGCTCTATAACAATAAATATTAATTAGTACCTTAATTTTATATTTTTATAAAGAGTCTTACTTTCTAAAACTGGTAATTTGTCAATTTTTTCATTTAATTTTCTTTGTACGTATTGAATATATTTTTCTTCATCCATAAGAACTTGAGCGGGGACCCATCCTTTTTCTTCGGTTAGATGTTTCTTTACAAACCACCAATCAGTATTGTGTGCTTCGACGACATATACTTTTTCGCCTTCGACCATATCAATGGCCTGATCAGCTTCTGCATCGTAAATATAAATTGAATAATAAATGTCCCCCTTGTGAACTTCCTCAATTATATGCTCAGTTTCTTTTATAATTTCTACCTCCTTAGTAATTTCTAACGATACGGCTTCTAAAATGTAAAAACATATTTAAAAATTGAAATTATAAATTACATTTTTGATTTCTTACCTGTATCAACGGTTGGTTGAGATGGTTTTCGTTTTGGTTTAACTGTAACAGTTTCTTCTTGATAATCAGTAAACTGCTGAGGTTTTCTTAGACTTAGACTTACATCTTCTTCATTTTCTTCAAATACGGAATATTTACGAGATGGTCTTCTCTTAAACACAAGATGGAAGTTTTCTGAAACTTCATCGTCATATGGAAGTTCTTCAGCATCACTGCCTTCATCTATAATTTCTTCAATTTGTGGACCTTCCTCTTCAATTTCTTTAGTTATTTTAATGCACGCCTCTCCAGCTTCTTCAGAGTACGTCGATGGTTTACGACTCTTTAATTTAATTTTACTGGACAGGGAAACTTCCTCCTCTTGATAAGAATCTAATGATATTCTGAATTCTTGCTCTACTTCTTCTTTAGTTTTCTTTGAACGTGGCTTAAATGTTACAGTTTCCACTTTTTCTTCTTCTTTAATTTCAGGTTCTGATGCTTTTCGCATTGGTTTAAGGCGTTGAACTGTAAGCTCTTCAGATTGCTCATCTATTGATGGTTTTCGTTCCGGTTTCTTTTTAATTGAAAGTTCTTCGGAGACTTCTGATTTTCTTCTTGGCGGTTTTAATGTTATTTCAGCTTCAGGTGTTTCTGGTTTATTTTCTTCTTCAGGCTTAACAGGAACCAATTTTTTAATTGTAATTTCTTCTTCGGCATCTTCTGTGAGCTTCTTTTTAGGCTTTTTAAAAGATATTTCTGCTGTTTCTTCGTCTTTTGGACTGAGTTTAATGGCAACCTCTTCTTCAGGTTCATCTTTTTCTATAGGCACTATCTTTTTAACAGTTATTTCATCACTTGCATCCTCTTCCTTAGTTTTCTTAGGTCTTTGTATTTTAATGTCTTCTGAAACATCGCCACTTTCGGGTAATGGAACTGTTTGTTTTTCATCTTCCTCCTCCTTTTCAGTTGGAACCATTTTTTTAATGGTTATTTCATTTTCATCTTCAACTGGTTTTTTAATTTTTGGCTTTTTAATCGTAATTTCTTCTTTCACTTCGTCATTTTCATCAGAAGTTTTAAATGGTTTCTTGATAGATATTTCGGTTTCTTCTTCAGTAACATCGGTTTTTTTGGGCACTGTAAATTTAACTTCGACAGATTCCACTTTGTCTTCTACGGACTTTTGCGGTACCAGCTTTTTAATTGTGACTTCTTCTTCGGCTTCTTCAGTTGTTGGTTTTTTGGGTTTCTTAATAATTATGTCCTCAGAAACGTCATCTTCTTTTGATTTTGGCTTTGGCAAAACTTCTGCTTCTTCTTCCATTACAGGAGTCTTTTTAACTTTAACTTCATCATCTTCTTTTAGTGTTTCAGGTTGCATCTCCTCTTCTGGTTTTGGCTCTTTTACAACTATCTTCTTAATTGATATTTCTTCTGAAGCTTCTTCAGCTGGTTTCTTAACAGGCTTTTTAATTTTTATTTCTTCAGAAACTTCATCTTCAACTACTTTAGGTTTAGGAATAATTTCCACTTCTTCGGATTCAGGTGTTTTCTTTTTCTTAGGTAATTTAATTTTTACCTCATCTAATTCTTTAGTTTTTTCAGGTTCTTGAGGTTTAATTATTTTAACTGTTTCTTCTTCTTCAGTTGGTTTTATTATTTCTTTAATTTCTTCTGTTTGTGGTTCAGTCATATCTTTAGGAATTTCTTCTGGCACATCCTGTATAATAATTTTTTTAATTGAGAACTCTTCTGCAGATTCTTCAACTGGTTTAGTAACTGGTTTCTTTATTTTAATTTCTTCTGATACTTTATCCTCGATAAGTTTAGGCTTGATAATAATTGCTTCTTCTTCTGATTCGGGTGTTTTCTTTTTCTTTGGTAATTTAATTTTAACCTCTTCCGCTTCAGCAACCTCTTCTGGTTCTGGTTTCTTTATTTTTTTAGTCTTTTTCTTAATAACCTCAGTTACTTCTTCAATTTCTTCTTTTTGTGGTTCAGGCATATCTACAGGTATTTCTTCTGGCACATCATTTGGCTCCTGTATTATAACTTTTTTGATTGATACCTCTTCTGCGGCTTCTTCAACTGGTTTAGTAACTGGTTTCTTTATTTTAATTTCTTCTGAAACTTCATCGTCGATCACTTTAGGCTTAGGAATAATTGCAACTTCTTCTTCGGATTCGGAAGTTGCCTTTTTCTTTGGTAATTTAATTTGAACTTCTTCTGATTCGGTAACCTCTTCTGGTTCTGGTTTCTTTGGTTTTTTTGTTTTCTTCTTAATAACCTCTGTTACTTCTTCAATTTCTTCTTTTTGTGGTTCAGGTATATCTTCATGAATTTCTTCTGGCACATCATTTGGCTCCTGTATAATAACTTTTTTTATTGATACCTCTTCTGCAGCTTCTTCAATTGGTTTAGTAACTGGTTTCTTAATTTTTATTTCTTCTGATATTTCTTCCTCGATCACTTTAGGCTTAGGAATAATTGCTACTTCTTCTTCTGTTTCGGGTGTTTTCTTTTTCTTTGGTAATTTAATTTCAACCTCACCTGCTTCGGTAACCTCTTCTGGTTCTGGTTTCTTCGGTTTTTTCGTTTTTCTCTTAATAACCTCAGTTACTTCTTCAATTTCTGGTTGTTCGAGAGCAGGTTCCTCTATGGTAAATTCGGCTTCCACTTCATCAAATTGTTTAGTAATTACAGGAACAGGAACTTCTTTCTTTATTGTTATTTCAGCGGCAACTTCATCGACAACTGGTACTGTTTTTTTCTTAATTACTATAGCTACTTCTTCCTCTTCTTCTTGCGGGGTATCTGTTCTCAATTGAGGTCTCTTTTTAATAACTACTTCCTCAGGTGGCATTTCTTCTGAAGTTTTTTCTTCTGGAGATTTTGGAACCTTTTTCTTTATTTTCTTCTTTTTAATTGTGTCCTCTGGAATAGGCTCGTCTATTGTCAATTCTGCCTGCTGTATACTTTCAACAACTTTAGCTTCATCATATACTGTTTTGAATTCAGTAACTACGAATGTTTCCACATCTTTTTCCTCACGTTTAAATGGTTTTAGCTTAAATTCTTCTGGTTCTTCCTCAGGCTTATCTCTACGAGGAATTTTAAATTGTACTTCTTCTTCTTTCTCTGGTTGTGTTGGTTTAGGTTTACCAGGAACTATCGGAATTTCTATAGTTTCAGGCGAAGGCTCCTTTTCTTTTATTGGTTTTTCTTTAGTTTTTTCTTTATTGGACTTTTTCTTTTCTTTAGGTTCAAATTCTAGGGTTTCTTTGTCAAGAGTATCTGGTTTTTCTCTGTCAATGTCAATTGGTTTAAAAGGCGGTACATCAATATCCTCATCTTGTCGTTTTTCTTTATCAATGGGGACTTCAGACTCAATTATTTTTTCTTTTACAATATCTTCCTTCTGTTCCTCTTTCTCCTTTTGAGGAGGTTTCTTTAGCTTAATGGTATCTTCACCATCTTCTGGAACATCTTTCTTTTTGCCTTTAGTAATTTTAATTGTTTTTGGTTCTTCCACGACAGGTTCTGTTTTTTCTTTTAGTTTTGGTTCATACTTGTAGGCATCATCAACTTTTTCTAAATCTTTCTTTTTTAATTCATCAAGTTCTAAATCCAATTTCTCTAAATCCTTTAGTTTTTTGTCTACATCCTTAAGTTTTCTTCTCTTTGTTTTGGGTATCTTTTCAGCTTCTTCAAGAGTTCTGGAAATTACACCATTTTCAACAAATACAGGTTCCATTTCAGTTATAACGGGTTTCTTTTCTGATTCAGATGCAGGTGGGAAATCTACATAATTAATTCTACTTTTAAGTCTTGGTATTTTATCTTTTTCTTCCTTTTTGGGAAGAATTTTAGGTTTTTTAATAGTTTTGGGCTCCTTGGGAACTTCTTGTTTTTTCGGTTCTTCAGGCTTAGGTTCCTCTTTTGTTATTACTTCCTTTACTGGTTGTTTAGGAATTTCCTCTGATAAATTCTTTTGTTTTTCTTTTGGTTTTTTTGGTTGTTTAAACACATCATCAACCTTTTCTAACTCCTTCTTTTTCAATTCTTCCATCTCCAAATCTAGTTTTTCTAAATCCTTAAATTCATCATCCACTTTTTTTAATACCTTTTTCTTTGGTTTTTGCTTGGTCTTAACTTCATCAACATTTTTAGAAATAACTCCATTTTCAACTATTGCAGGTTCTAACGTAGTAGCTGAAGGTTTCTTTTCGATTTCGGATATTGGTGGAAAATCAACGTAAGTAATTCTACTCTTCAATCTAGGAATTTTATCTTTCTTTTCTTTTTTCTGAGGAATCTTGGGTTTTTTTATCGTTTTCTTCTCATCAGGAGATTCTTTTTGGTGTTTTATTTCAAGATCAGATTTTGGAGTACGTTCATCTAATATAGGATGTTCTTCTGGAATTTCGTCTGGTTTTTTGAATGGTTTTAGTGTTATTTCTTCTGGCTCTTCATCTGGTTTCTTAGGTGTTGGTATTTTAAATTTAACGTCCTGCTCCTCTTCATTAGCAGGTGGTTTAGGAAAACCTTTTATTAATGGTATTTCTATATTTTCTGGCGTTGGTTCGATCTTATTTTTTCGTTTATATTTATCTTTTTTCGGCTCAGGTGATTCTTTACTTTCAGTTTCATCATCAGGTTTTTCATAATTTAATTTTTCTGGTTCTTCTCTATCTATATCAAACGGTTCGTATGGTGGAACCTTAACGTAATCATCTTCCTCTTCTGGCTTTTTATTTTCTTCTTCTTTAACTTTAGTCTTTGGTACTTTTAATGGCTCTAAAATTTCTTCTTCCACTTTTGTTGGCCTTTTCTTTAAAACAATGGCCTCGGTGTCTTCAACATTTTCTGGAACTTTACCCTTGCCTATTTTTATATTAACTGTTTCTTCTGGTAAATCTTCAATTTCAGGCTTGGATTTTCTTTGGTATTTCTTTTCTTCAGGAGATTCATTTTTCTCTACCTTTTTGGGTTCATCAAATTCCAAGTCGGATTTTTCTAAAGGTATTTTATCCTTTTTAATTTTCTTAAGTTTTCTTGTTCTTGTTTTAATTACTTCGAAAGCATCATCCACATTTCTTGAAATAACTCCATTATCCCGTATAACAGGTCCCAAATCTGTTATAACCGGTTTCTGTTCTATTTCAGATAAAGGTGGGAAGTCAACAAACACAATTCTACTCTTTAATTTTAATTTTGGCAATTTAACACTTTCGAGTTCTGCTTTTTCTTGTTTCTTTGGCTTCCTTAGTTTAATATCTGCTAAATTAATAACTTCTGGAGTAACATCGATTATCTTTGGTTTTTGAATAGAAATATTTACACGCACAATTTTCATAAGCACTGGTTTTGCTTTTGGTTTTTTCTTTACATCTGGTTTCTTTTTATATTCCTCATCAACTTTTTCTGGTTGGTATTTAAGTTCTTCTACCTCCTTATCCAATTTTGTTAAGTCAGCTATCTTTTTAATTTTCTTTTTCTTTGGTTTAATTTTATCTGCTTCTTCAATATTTCTAGATAATACGCCATGATCACGAATTACAGGTTCAAGGATAGTAATTACTGCTTTTTGTTCCCGTTCAGAATGTGGTGGAAAACCTGTTGGTACAATACGACTCTTTAATTGAATTTTTGGTACCTTAACTTCTGTTTTTTCCTTTTGATCTACAGGTTTAGCTTTCTTTAATTTAATTTCGGCAAAGTTTACCTTTTCGGGCTCCGATATTTGTAATTTGATTGGTTTACTTCGGTTGGTTACTCGTTTTATTTTCATCAACACAGGCTGTTCTTTATCATCTTCCAAAACCTTAGGTTCTTCAATCGGAGTTTCTGGCTTTACTTTCTTTACCCTTTTTTTTTCACTCTTTGGTTCTTTTCCGTCAGTTTCAAAAGACATTGGTATTTCTTTTTGTTGTACCTCTGGTTGGGGTATTTCTTCTTGAGGTATATCAAGAACTTCATCTTCAGGTTCTTCCATTATTTGTTCTGGTTTTTCGTTAATTATTTCTTTAGGTTTTTCTTCTTCTTCGACTGACTTTGGTTTTTTAATAATTTTTTTCTTTATTATCTTTTTCTTCACATCTGTGGGTTCTTCCTGATACTCAATAAGTGATACTTCAGCTACTTGGGTCTGTAATCCTTCATCAACCGAAACTTTAAATACTTCATCAGTAGAATCCTTTTTAAATGGTTTAAGCTTTATATCTTCAGGTTCCTCCTTTGCCAGCGGCTTTTGTTTATATTTCAAATTAATATCATCACCTTCTGGTTCCTCCTTGGGTTTTGGTTTATTCTTTTTTATTGTTACCTCTGTAGTATCTGGTGTAACCTTCTTTGATTTCTTTTTGGGCTTTTCTTCTTTTGGTTTATCAATTTCACTTTCTTCTTTTTCTATTTTTTCAGGTTCATATTTCGATAAATCAGGTTTTTCTCTGTCGATGTCAAACAATTCAGGCGGAGACATTTTTGTGTTATCAGATTCCTCTTCTATAGAAATTGTTTTAGGGACTTCCTTGTGTTTTGCAAACTTTTTATCATCTGGCTCGTCCTCATCCTCTTTTTTCTTTGGAGTTTTCTTTAATTTAATGGATTCATCTTCTTCCACTTTTTTTGGTACTTTTCCTTTACCCAATATTATTTTATTATCTGGTTCTTCTGGTTGTACTGATTTTTTTCTTGGAATTTGTTTTTTAAATTCTTCATCTACCTTTTCTTTTTCTTTCTTTTTTAATTCTTCAATTTCTAAGTCAAGTTTTTCTAGATTTTTTAAATCGCTTTCATATTCCTTCACACGAATAGGTTTCTTCTTACGTACTTTCTGAGCTTCGACAACATTTCTTGAAAGCTCGCCATTTTCACGATAAACTGGAGGCAACTCAGTTATCTTAGGTATTTTTTCTGCCTCATGTAGAGGTGGGAACGGTACATGGTTTATTCTACTCTTCAATAGGAATTTGGGTTTCTTGGAAACTTCAGACTTGGGTGGTATTTTCTTTTTAATCTTTGGTTTATCTTCAGGTTTTTTAGCATCAGTAACTTCTTTTGCCTTTTCTTCTTCTTTAGGTTTTTCTATAGTCTCTTCGGTAACTTCAGTTATTTCAGGTTTTTCTTCAATTTCTTCGATTGTTATAGCAGAGTCCTCTTTATTAAAAAGATCAATTTCTTGTACTTTAAACTTTTTAACAATCTTTTTAATTTTACTCGTCTTTTTAACATGTGTAGTTTCTGGAGATTCTTCTTCAGGTTCTTCAACTATAGGTTCTGTACCAGTTGCTTCTTCAACCAAAGGTTCTTCAATTATAGGTTGTTCTTCTATAAAAGTATCACCTTTAATGATGTCAATCTCTTCGCTTTCTAAAGTTTGTATTTCTTCAATTTCAACAATACCAATTGTGCTGTCATCTTCTTTGCTCTTAGATTTTTTAACTTTGACAACTTTTTTAAATTTCTTTTTCTCCAACTCATTTTTGGGAGTAGAATCTTCATCGGTGTGTTCTTTTAGAATTATAACATCCTGCACCTCAATACTTTCAACAGCTACTTTAAAAGTTAATTCTGGAGATGTATCCTTTCTAAAGGGTTTAAGAGAAATTTCTTCTTGGGGTTCGATATCTTTTGGCTTTTGTTTGCGTTTTAACGTAACTGGAATTTCTTCATCTTCTTTTTGAGGTTTAGGGATACCTTTTTCTAACTGTATTTCTTCAATTTCCGGTTCAGGTTTTGATTTCTTTTTCTTTAGTATTTTCTCCTTTTTAGGTTCTTTATGCGCAGGTTCTTCTTTTTCGATAGGCAAAGGTTCATATTCTTCTTTTTCAGGAGTTTTGCGTTCAATGTCATATGGTTCAAATATAACTTTATCCTTTTTATCGGGTCTTTCTTCTGGTAAAACTTTTTCCTTCAACGGTTTTGGTTTTTTAGGAACCTTCGCTTTTTCATCTTCTTGGATTTCGTCTTTAAGCTTTACAGGTTTTAATTTAACGCTATCATCTTCATCAGGTATTTCAGGAAGTTTACCTTTACCTAATTTTAGTTTTTTAGGGGTTTCTTCAGAAATCGATTTTTTTCTCGGTTCAGGCAGTTTTCTGTATTCATCGTCAACTGTCTCCAATTCAGGCTTTTTCGCTTGTTCAAATTCTAAATCTAATTTTTCCAGATCTTTCAATAAACTGTCTGAATCCTTTAGTTTTCGCCTTTTTGTTTTTGGTAATTTATCAGCCTCTTTAATATTTCTTGATAAAACGCCATTTTCTTTGTAAATTGGTTTTAGCTCTGAAATTTTTGGCATTTTTTCCTTTTCATGTAGTGGAGGAAATTCAACACGATTTATTCTACTCTTTAGCAAAAATTTAGGTAATTTAGATTCTTTCTCAATTTTCTTGGAAATCTTAGGTTTCTTAAGTTTTACTTGAGAAGGTAAATCCTTTGCGTCTACTACTTTAATTTGCTGTGGTTTAATTTCTTTTATTTCGATAAGCATTTTATCCTTTCGTTTTAATTTTGGTACTTCCTCGACAGTTACTACGTGCTCGACAGGTTTGCCTTCTTCTTCAACTGTTATTATAGATGTTTCTTCTTGTTTACTTCCTTTTCGTTTTGCAATTACTTTCTTTTTAATAACTTTTTTCTTTGGTTTACCTGTTTCGTCTATATCTTCTATTACTTGAACTTCTTCTGGGTATTCTTCCAAGTATATTTCAGGTTTTAATTCCTCTTCTGGCATATCAATTTCTTCTACTACAATAGAAGACTGAAGTGGTTTACCTTCTTCTTCTACTAATGTTATTTCAGTTATCTCCTGCTTTTTACCTTTTGGTTTCTTTATAACCCTCTTTTTAACAGTTTGTTTTACAGGTTCTTTTGAATCCGATATAGTTTCAATTATCTTAACCTCTTCAGGTTCTTCTTCTACCAGGAACGGTTTGTATTCTTCGATATACTCATTTTCTGGGAGATCATACTCTTCTATTACTACAGAAGTCTGAGGTTCCTTTCCTTTTTCTTCAATTGTTACTAATTGTGTAATTTCCTGCTTGTCCCCTTTTCTTTTTCTGATTGTTCTTTTCTTTATAACCTGTTTGGTAGGAACACCTTCTTGATTAATGATTTCTACAATCTTTACTTCTTCGGGATACTCTTCTGAATACTCAGGTTTAAATATTAATTCTTTATCTGCAACTGTAATTTCTTTTAAAACAATAGCAGTTTGTGGCTTTTTACCTGTTTCTTCGATAGTAACTATTTGAGTCAATTCTTGTTTATTACCTGTTTGCTTTTTAATTACCCTCTTTTTAGTAGTTTTTATAGTTGGCTCGCCTTTTTCAGAAACACCTTCAATAACTTGTATTTCTTCTGGTAGTTCTTTTAGTTCTGGTTGTTTAAATATTTCTTCTTCGATTATAGGAATTTCCTCAATTGTAACCGTTGTTAGTGGTTCTTTTCCAGTTTCTTCGGTAGTAATTAATTCAGTAATTTCATCAGTACTTCCCTTTCGTTTTTTAATTACTCGTTTTTTAATAACCTTTTTACTTGGTAATCCTTCCTGAGATAATATTTCAATTACTTTTACTTCTTCCGGGAATTCTTCAACATAGGTAGGTTTAAACACTTCTTCAATTTCCTCTATTACAACTGAAGTTTTGGGCTTCTTTCCCTCTTCTTCAGTCACAAAAATTTTGGTAACTTCCTGTTTATGACCCTTAGGTTTCTTTAATGTTGTTTGTTTTATCATTTTTTGTTTAGGTTTTCCTTTTTCGATTGTTTCAATAACATGGACTTCTTCTGGTAATTCTTCTATATTACTAACTTTAAATTCCGGAAGTATTTCGGTAGACTCAATTTCTTCAATTAAAACAGTTGTTGATGGTTTTTTACCTGATTCTTCTACAGTTGTAAGTGTCATTACCTCGTTTTTATCTCCTTTATGTTTTTTAATAGTTCGCTTTTTAATTGTTTTTTCAGTTAACTTACCATCTGATATAGTTTCAATTACTTTAACTTCTTCTGGTAGTTCTTCAATAAAGGTGGGTTTGAATACTTCATCTATTTCTTTTACAATTACAGCCAACTGAGGTTTTTTACCATCTTCTTCAGTGGTTACTAGCTCTGTAACCTCTTGCCCGCTTCCCTTCCGTTTTTTAATTACCCTCTTTTTAATAATTTTTTGTTTCGGGCCATCTTGATTCATAGTTTCTATTATTTGTATTTGCTCAGGTAATTCCTCAACTTCATCTGCTTTAAATTCTTCTGGAAGTTCAAATTCTTCAATAGTAATACTGGTTTGAGGTTTCTTTCCTTCTTCTTCGACTGTTATAAGTTCAGAAATTTCTTGTTTACTACCTTTACGCTTTTTCATTATCTTCTTTGTCACTACTGTTTTTTTCGTAATTCCTTCTTTATTAATAGTTTCAAATTCTTCTATTTGTTCAGGCGTCTCCTCAATAAAGCTTGGTTTAAATTCCAAGGTATCCTCGATGTCTTCAATCTCTTGAATAATCACCGACGTATCTGGTTTTTTACCGTCTTCTTCTATTGTAGTAAATTCGGTAATTTCATGTTTACTACCTTTTCTTTTCTTTAAAGTTTTCTTTTTAATGATTTTCTTTACCGGTACGCCTCTCTCATCAATAGTTTCAATAATTTCAACTTGCTGTGGGGATTCCTCTATATCGCTTGGTTTGAATATCAATTCACTTTCAAATGATTTAATGTCTTCAACTACATATGATACCTGAGGTTTTATTTCCTCTACCATTTTCACTTTTCCAAATATTTCCTTTTGTGGCTCCTTGGCCTTTACTTTCTTTTTGGGCTTTTCATCCAATTTTGGTTTTAATATGGGCAAACCTTCTGGTAATTGAATATCTTCCACAGTAACTACGGTTTGAGGTTTCTTTCCTTCTTCTTCTATAGTGACAAATTGAGTTATTTCATGTGTACTACCTTTTCTTTTCTTTAATGTTTTTCGTTTGATAGTAGTTTTATGCGGCATTCCTTTTTCGTCAACAGTTTCGATGTACTGTATTTGTTCAGGTAATTCTTCTATTTTATCCATCTCTAGAACTGGAATTTCCTCAATAGTCACGGTTGTTTGTGGCTTTTTACCTTCTTCTTCGACAGTTACAAATTCTGTTATTTCCTGTATACTACCTTTACGTTTCTTAAACACCTTCTTTTTAACGATTTTCTTTTCCGGCAATCCTTTTTCCTTTATAGTTTCAATTACTTGGATTTGTTCTGGAAGTTCTTCAATATATTCAGGAATATATTCCTCCTCAAATGGTACTTCGATTTCCTCAATCGTTACTGATGTTTGTGGTTTCTTTCCTTCTTCTTCCAAGGTTACAAGTTCCACAATTTCCTGTTTGCTTCCTTTTCGTTTTTTAAGAGTTTTTGTCTTTAATATTTTTTTATGAGGTATTTCCTTCTCATCCAGTTGCTCAATTACTTCGACTTTTTCTGGCATTTCTTCAACATAAGTTGGTATAAATTCAGCTATTTCAATTTCTTCTATAGTAACTGATGTTTGAGGTTTCTTTCCATCTTCTTCTACAGTGACAAGTTCCGTTATTTCATGTTTACTACCCTTTCGTTTTTTAAGTACTTTCTTTTTGATAACCTTTTGATGTGTGATACCTTTATCGTCAACAATTTCTGTTATCTGCACTTGTTCAGGCTCTTCTTCTATGTAACTAGGTTTAAATTTGTCTACTTCTTTAGGTTCATCAATTTCCTGAATTGTTACTGTTGTTTTAGGTTCTTTGCCTTCCTCCTCAACTGTAATAAGCTCTGTCAATTCGTGTTTACTTCCCTTTCTTTTTCTTAATACTTTCTTTTTAATTACTTTATGTTCTGGTTTGCCCTGTTTATTAATTGTTTCAATTATTTGAACTTCCTCGGGCAGTTCTTCGATATAATCCGGTTTTAACTCAGGAACATTAATTTCTTCAATTGTAATACTTGTCTCTGTCTTTTTACCTTCTTCTTCCACAATTGTAAATTTGGTAATTTCTTCTTTGCTTCCTTTACGTTTTCTCAACAATTTCTTTTTAATAACCTTTTTAACCTTTTTACCTTCCTTATCTACAATTTCCTCAACACGAACTTCCTCTGGTGATTCTTCTATAAATATAGGCACATATTGTTCCACTACTTCGGGCAATTCAATTTCTTTAATTGTAACAGTTGTTTGTGGTTTTATTCCCTCTTCCTCAACAGTAACTATTTCTGTTATTTCTTGCTTATCTCCTTTAGGTTTTTTAAATACTTTCTTCTTAATTATTTTTTGTTTCGTTATACCTTTATCTATAATTTCAACAACTTTGACTTCTTCTGGTATCTCTTCGATAAATATAGGCTTGAAATGAGGTATCTCGATTTCTTCTACTGTAACTGTTGTTTGAGGTATTTTTCCATCCTCTTCTACTGTCAAAAACTCTTTAATTTCTTGTCTGCTTCCTTTTCTTTGTTTTAAAACTTTCTTTTTTATAACTTTTTTCTTAGGTAAACCCTTTTCATCAATTATTTCAATAACATCAATTTGTTCTGGAACTTCTTCTATAAAGCTAGGTTTAAAATCAGAAAGATCCTCTAAAGATTTAATATCTTCTATAACATAAGAGATTTGTGGCTGTTTGCCTTCTTCAACTTTAACCTTTTTCAAAATGTCTTTATCAGTGGTCTTTGGTTGCTTGGGCTTTTTCTTTATTGTTTTTTCTTCAAGTGGAATTTCTTCGACAATAACGCTCACCTCTGGTTTTTTTCCTTCTTCTTCCACTGTTACAAGTAACGTTACTTCTGATTTACTACCCCTTTTCTTTTTAATTGTTCTTGTTTTAGTGACTTTCTTTCCCTCATCCCTCTCCTCTACCTTAATGTCTTCAGGCAGTTCTATTAAGTAGGGTTCATTATCTTCAGGGATTTCTTCAACAATTACAACTGTTTGTGGTCTTTTACCTTCTTCTTCGGTTGTAATTAATTCGGTTATTTCATGCTTGCTTCCTTTTCGTTTTCTTATTGTCCTCTTTGTGACAATTTTCTTCTTAGATTTACCCTTTTCAATAGTTTCAATTACTTTTACTTCTTGGGGAAGTTCTTCTATATTAGTTGGTTTAAATATAAGAACCTCTTCTGGGACAATTATCTCCTCTAAAGTGACACACGTTTGTGGTTGTTTTCCTTTTACCTCAATTGTTAATATTTCTGTTATCTCTTGTTTTTTGCCAACTTGCTTTTTAATTACACGTTTTTTAATTTTCTTTTTAACTAATTTTCCAGTTTCATTTAAGATCTCTTCTTCATTTATTTCTTCTGGTAATTCTTCTATAAATACTGGCTTATCTTCCAACTCTTCTGGCATCTCTATTTCTTCAATGGTCACTGTTGATTTTGGAATTTGTCCTTCTTCCTCGACAGTTATAATTTCAGTTGATTCTTGTTTTCCATCTTTATGTTTTTTAATTACCCTTTTCTTTACTACTTTCTTTAAAGGCAGGCCTTGGTCTGAAACAATTTCTGTTATTTTAATTTCCTCTGGTGATTCTTCAACAACTATAGGTTTTTGCGTTATAATTTTTACAAGGTCTGGAGTTATTATCTCCACTGCAGAACCTGATTTTATAATTTTCTTTGGAGTGGCATCGGCAGCTCTTTGTGATTGAACTTCTTCAATTATTACGTGTTCATGTAATTCCTGAACGCGCTTTCCTTTAGCTTTCACGGGTTTTTGTGGCATTTCCCCTAAAATTTTAATACAATTAGGGTTTTATCATAATTAAGTTTAACTAACAAACTGGCAAACTTGTAAATATGTAAAACTTATTATGTATATATTGTTTAAGTATCTCATTAACAAACTTATGTAAATATGTTAAAAATATATGTATTGCTTACCTAAGGGTGTATCCTGTGTTTGTTCAGTTGTGTGTACTTCTGTAATTATTTTAGTGGATGTCAAAGGTGAAGTTTCAGTGGGTGTTATATTAACATTTGGATATGTAAAATCGAATGGTGTTAATAATTTATCTACAAACGTTTGTAACATATCTGAGTCAGTGGTAAAAACATTTATAACAGTTTCTGTTGGTTTGTCGTCTTCCTGGATGCTTAAAATTTCTGTTATTTCCTTTTTATCATCTTTGTCTTTCTTAAATAGTCGCTTTTTAACAGATTTCTTTGAAATTTTACCATCTTTTATCTCTTCAATTTCGTCTAATTTTTGTGGTAGTTCCTCAATAAAAATATCTTCTTCCCTGGGATATAATTCTTCATCTACTTCGGTTATAATTACTGTTGGTTTTTCTTTATCTTCTTCGATTATTTCAATTATTTCTTTGGGTTTTTTAATTATTCTTTTCTTTACAATTTTTTGTTTTGGGCCTTGTTGTGACAAAACCTCTGAAATAGTTACTTTTTCTGGTAATTCTATTACTGTTGGTTGTGATTTCATTAATTTAGGAGTTTTTGTCTTAAATGGTTCTGCTTCTGTGTCTTCTATTGGTTGTAATTCAAACACAGTACATTTTTGTATTACAACCGAAATCTCTGGAGTTTCTTGAATTTCTATGATTTCAACCTTATTTTTATTTTGTTTTTTGTAAGTTTTCTTCTTAGGTTTTTTAATATCTTGGTTATGTGTTATATCAATAAGAATATCACCCTGTAATAGGTCTTCTAGATCTGTTGTTTCAATCTCTTCTATAGTTACTTCTGAAACAGGCTTTTGGAACTCTTCGTATGTTTTAGTTATGTTAACTATTTCTTGTTTGGGAACCGTTAATTTTTTAATTTTTCTCGTTTTTATTATCTTTTTAGACGGCGTACCATCTTCAGAAATTTCTTCCAAAACTTTAACTTCTTCTGGAAGTTCGACCGTTAGACTATTAGCTTTTTGTGGTTTTATTTTTGGTGGGAAAATAGGTTCACATTCTTCAAAAACAATATCTATTTCTGTAGTTGGTAAACCCCATTTATCTTTTTTCGTTGTAATATTAGTAACCTCTACTTTATCCCCAACGCGTTTTTTAAGAACTCTTTTAACCGTTTTTTGTTTTCTTGTTCCTTTTTCATATTTTTCTTCAATTTCGAATTCGGGAATTTCTTCAATTTGATCATTTTCCAAAAATTCGGATAAGTTTGGAGTTTCTTCTTCTGTTATAATATAGGTAATTGGAGTTTTACCTTCTTCTTGTACAGTTTGAATTGTAGTTACTTCTTGTTTAGGTTTTAGTAACTTTTTGATGCTCTTTGTTTTGACGGTTTTAGGTTTAGAGTCATCAGAGGGTTGTTCTTTTTCAGGTAATTCCACAATTATAGATTCTTTTTCTTCAAAAGGTTCTTCAGAAATAGAAAATATGACTTCTGGCTCTTTTCCTTCCTCCTCAACCGTACATATTTCAGTTATTTCCTGATGTGGGCCTTTTTTCTTCTTTAAAACCCTCTTTTTAATTTTTTTAGTAGTAATGATATTATCGACCACTTCCTCTATAATATTTATTTCTTCGGGCATTTCAATTACCTCTTCCAGATCTTCAGGTAGAAATTCTTCAGTTTGTTCTTGCAACTCTTCTGTAATAGTTACTTTACATTCCGGTATACCTTCTTCTGGTATTACACTTTCCAATATGGTTGTTTCTAAAACCGGTCCTTTTTTCTTTTTATAGATTATTTTCTTTATAGTCTTTTTGATTGGTTTTCCACTAGGAGATGTATCAACAATTTCAAAAACTTGCTCGGGTAGTTTAAAAATTACAGTTGGGATGGAATATGGAATTTTCATAGTACCAGATACTTTATAGTAAACCTCTTCTTCTTTAGGTTTTTTAAATGGTTTTAATTTTATAGCATCTTCAGTATTTTTTGGTTTATTACCATGTTTAGGCTTAAATGTTTTTTCTACTTCCTTAACTTCACTTGCTGGTTTCGGCATACCTGGTTTAATTTCCATCATTTCTGTTTCAGGAGAAAGTTTAGTTTTAGGTTTCCTCTTATATTTTTTAGTTTTACCCTCATTTATACTCTCGGTGTCATCTTGTTCGATTTTGTCGGGCTTTTCTAAATCCACTGGACTTCTGTTAATATCGTACGGCTCGAATTCAATTTTTTCGGACGGTTTTCTCTTTACCTTTTCCTTAACATTAGTTTCTAGAGGAATATCTTTATTTACTAATTCTTCTTTCACTGGTTTTTCTTCAGTTTCTTGCAATGGTACCTTTTTAAGTTTTATTGTTTCAATATTTTCTTCATTTACTGGAACTTTTCCTTTTCCTATCAATAATTTTTTATTTTCCTCTGGCGTGTCAATTTTTTTCTTTAAGCTGGTTTTAGGTTTCTTTTTATCTTTTTTTCTATCACACACATCTTTTTCGGGCATTTCGTATCTTTCAACTTTTTCCAATTCTGGCATATCTAAATCTGGGATTTGTTTAGGTTTATACTTTCGTTTTTTAATAACTTCTTCAGCTTCTTTTACATTTCTTGATAAAATTCCATTATCCTTTACACATGACCTTAAATTAGTAATAATAGGTTTTTGTTCTGATTCTTTCTCAGATGGGAATGTTATAAATTTAATTCGACTTGTAAGTCTAACCTTTGGAAACTTTTTTGTTTGTTCTATTTTTCGAGAAACTTTGGGTTTCTTTAACTTTATCTGAGATAATAGTGGTAATTCTTCCTTGCTAATAAGTTTGGCTTTTGTTGGTTTAACTTCAACAATTTGAATTGGTTGTTTAATTTTTTGAAGTTTTTGTTTTATTTCAGACTCTGGGTATTCTTTTAAAACTACTGTTTGCTCCGGTTCTTTACCATCTTCCAAAACTGTTATTATTTCAGTTGCCTCTAAATTAGGACCAACTTTTTTAAGCAATGTTCTTTTCTTGGTTATTTTTTTCTTTGGTATGGTGTCTGCTGTACTTATTTCTATAGTTTGAATTTCTTCAGGAAGTTCAATCATGGGTATTTCCTTATACATTTCAGAGAATTCTGGAGATTTTACCTCCTCTACACAAATGTTAACCTCTGAAGGTTGATCCTCCTCTTGTGTTGTTGTAATTGTTATTATTTCATCTTTGTCAGAATGTTTTTTCTTAATACGTCTTTTACGAATTTCTTTTCTTCCAGAAGGCGTCTCAACAAAAGTTACTTCCTCTGGGAGTTCGGACATAAAAGATTCTATTGCCATTTGCGAAATATTAATTTCTTTTGGATATTGAGGAGTGGGATGTGATAAAGCTTTTTTAACAACAACTAGTCGGACTAAATCTAATACTTCTTCAACAGATGGTGGCTCTTCTTTTTCGGAAAGTGATGGTATAAATAGTATATTTGGTTCTGAATCAGCCGACTTTGGCTTTTTCTTGTGAGTTTTTTTAGTAGGTGTTTTAATTTCGCTTACAGAAACAACAGTTTGGGGTTTGTTATCGTCTTCTGCGATGGAAACAATATTTGTAACTTCTTCTTTATCACCCTTCCTATTTAAAATTTTACGTCTATTAATAATTTTTTTGGTCACTCTACCATCTGAATTTGTTGTATTAATAACTTCTTTTTCTTCAGGGAGCTCTTCAAGTTCTGGTAACAATATAATTTCATCTTCTGTTAAATCAACTTCCTGAATTGTTACAGAAGTTTTTGGTGATTTTCCTTCTTCTTCCTCTGTACAAATACTAGTTATTTCATTTTTCGATCCCTTTCGTTTTTTAATTGTTCTTTTCTTAAATACTTTTTTAGAAGGTAAACCTTTATCATTTATAGTTATAACTTCTTGTATTTCTATAGGCATTTCTACAACTTGTGGTAACGTATTTGGGGTTTCCAACTGTTTATTCACAGGTAATTCTTCGACAGTTACATCAATTAGGGGTTCTTTATAATCTTCCTCTACTGATTTAATTGTTGTAATTTCTTCCTTATTTCCTTTTATTTTCTTAATAACTTTCTTTCTAATTGTTTGTTTAACAGGTAAGCCATTTTCATTAATGCTATCAAAAACATCAACTTCTTCATATACGTTATTTATAGTAGCGGGTCTACTTTGTGTATAGTCTGAGGTTGGTTCAATTTCTTCAACAGTAACACTAATTACAGGCGCGTTTTCATCCTCCAAAACTGTTACAATATTTGTTTGTTCTATTTTTCCATTTTTATGTTTTTTGATAACTCGCTTCTTTTCGGTTTTTATTAGAGGCCTTCCATCTGGTGATGTCTTTTCAGTAATAGTAATTTCTTCAGGAAGCTCTTCTAAAATTTCAGGTCCAACATTCTCTGGCTTTTGGTCTGGTTTCTTTTTAATAAGAGGTTTTTTCTTTTTCCTTTTTTCTATAGTTTCCTCATCAATTCCTATATTTTCATCTTCGGGTTTTACTAACATCTTTTTTAACATCTCTATCCTAATTAAATCTACAACTTCTTCATCATCATTTTTATTTGCAAGGCTTGGAACAAACAGGATTTTTTCTTCTTTATCTGACTTAACCTTTTTTCTAGGTCTTCTCTCTCTTTTCCCTTCGGTAATATCCTTAATAGTAACAGTTGTCTCAGGTTTTTTACCTTCCTCTTCAATAGTAACTATTTCAGTAACTTCATGTTTACCATCTTTACATTTTTTAATAACACGTTTCTTCATAACTTTCTTAGATTTTTTGCCGTCTGGTTGAATTTGTTCAATTACTTTTACTTCTTCAGGCATTTCTTCAATTTCCATGGGTTTAAATGAAATTTCTTCATCTGTTATTTCTTCAACTGTTACGGTGGTTTGAGGTTTCTTACCATCTTCCTCAACAGTAACTATTTCAGTAGCTTCTTGTTTGCCATCTTTGCGATTTCTAATTACACGTTTTCTAATAACTTTCTTAGATTTTTTGCCATCTGGTTGAATTTGTTCAATTACTTGGATTTCTTCAGGCAATTCTTCAATTTCCATAGCTTTAAAGGAAATTTCTTCATCTGTTATTTCTTCGACTGTTACGGTAGTTTGAGGTTTTCTACCTTCTTCTTCAACAGTAACTATTTTAGTAGCTTCTTGTTTGCCATCTTTCAATTTTTTAATAACACGTTTCTTAATAACTTTCTTAGACTTTTTGCCGTCTGGTTGAATTTGTTCAATTACTTGGACTTCTTCAGGCATTTCTTTAATTTCCATGGGTTTAAAGGAAATTTCTTCATCTGATATTTGCCTAACAGTTACGGTTGTTTGAGGTTTCTTACCATCTTCCTCAACAGTAACTATTTCAGTAGCTTCTTGTTTGCCATCTTTACGTTTTTTAATGACACGTTTTTTAATAACTTTCTTAGATTTTTTGCCATCTGGTTGAATTTGTTCAATTACATGAACTTCTTCAGGAATTTCTTCAATTTCCATGGGTTTAAATAAAATTTCTTCATCTGTTATTTGCTCAACAGTTACGGTAGTTTGAGGTTTCTTACCATCTTCCTCAACAGTAACTATTTCAGTAGCTTCTTGTTTGCCATCTTTTAGTTTTTTAATGACACGTTTCTTAATAACTTTCTTAGATTTTTTGCCATCTGGTTGAATTTGTTCAATTACTTGAACTTCTTCAGGCATTTCTTCAATTTCCATGGGTTTAAATAAAATTTCTTCATCTGTTATTTCCTCAACTGTTACAGTAGTTTGAGGTTTTCTACCTTCCTCTTCAACAGTAACTATTTCAGTAGCTTCTTGTTTGCCATCTTTACGTTTTCTAATTACACGTTTCCTAATAACTTTCTTGGATTTTTTGCCATCTGGTTGAATTTGTTCAATTACTTGAACTTCTTCAGGCATTTCTTCAATTTCCATAGCTTTAAAGGAAATTTCTTCATCTGTTATTTCTTCGACTGTTACGGTAGTTTGAGGTTTTCTACCTTCTTCTTCAACAGTAACTATTTTAGTGGCTTCTTGTTTGCCATCTTTCAATTTTTTAATAACACGTTTCTTAATAACTTTCTTAGACTTTTTGCCGTCTGGTTGAATTTGTTCAATTACTTGGACTTCTTCAGGCATTTCTTTAATTTCCATGGGTTTAAAGGAAATTTCTTCATCTGATATTTGCCTAACAGTTACGGTTGTTTGAGGTTTCTTACCATCTTCCTCAACAGTAACTATTTCAGTAGCTTCTTGTTTGCCATCTTTACGTTTTTTAATGACACGTTTTTTAATAACTTTCTTAGATTTTTTGCCATCTGGTTGAATTTGTTCAATTACATGAATTTCTTCAGGAATTTCTTCAATTTCCATGGGTTTAAATAAAATTTCTTCATCTGTTATTTGCTCAACAGTTACGGTAGTTTGAGGTTTCTTGCCATCTTCCTCAACAGTAACTATTTCAGTAGCTTCTTGTTTGCCCTCTTTTCGTTTTTTAATGACACGTTTCTTAATAACTTTCTTAGATTTTTTGCCATCTGGTTGAATTTGTTCAATTACTTGAACTTCTTCAGGCATTTCTTCAATTTCCATGGGTTTAAATGAAATTTCTTCATCTGTTATTTCCTCAACGGTTACAGTAGTTTGAGGTTTTCTACCTTCCTCTTCAACAGTAACTATTTCAGTAGCTTCTTGTTTGCCATCTTTACGTTTTCTAATTACACGTTTCCTAATAACTTTCTTGGATTTTTTGCCATCTGGTTGAATTTGTTCAATTACTTGAACTTCTTCAGGCATTTCTTCAATTTCCATGGGTTTAAATGAAATTTCTTCATCTGTTATTTCCTCAACGGTTACAGTAGTTTGAGGTTTTCTACCTTCTTCTTCAACAGTAACTATTTCAGTAGCTTCTTGTTTGCCATCTTTACGTTTTCTAATTACACGTTTCCTAATAACTTTCTTGGATTTTTTGCCATCTGGTTGAATTTGTTCAATTACTTGAACTTCTTCAGGCATTTCTTCAATTTCCATGGGTGTAAATGAAATTTCTTCATCTGTTATTTCCTCAACGGTTACAGTAGTTTGAGGTTTTCTACCTTCTTCTTCAACAGTAACTATTTCAGTAGCTTCTTGTTTGCCATCTTTACGTTTTCTAATTACACGTTTCCTAATAACTTTCTTGGATTTTTTGCCATCTGGTTGAATTTGTTCAATTACTTGAACTTCTTCAGGCATTTCTTCAATTTCCATGGGTTTAAATGAAATTTCTTCATCTGTTATTTCCTCAACGGTTACAGTAGTTTGAGGTTTTCTACCTTCTTCTTCAACAGTAACTATTTCAGTAGCTTCTTGTTTGCCATCTTTACGTTTTCTAATTACACGTTTCCTAATAACTTTCTTGGATTTTTTGCCATCTGGATGAATTTGTTCAATTACTTGAACTTCTTCAGGCATTTCTTCAATTTCCATGGGTTTAAATGAAATTTCTTTATCTGTTATTTCCTCAACGGTTACAGTAGTTTGAGGTTTTCTACCTTCTTCTTCAACAGTAACTATTTCAGTAGCTTCTTGTTTGCCATCTTTACGTTTCCTAATTACACGTTTCCTAATAACTTTCTTGGATTTTTTGCCATCTGGTTGAATTTGTTCAATTACTTGAACTTCTTCAGGCATTTCTTCAATTTCCATGGGTTTAAATGAAATTTCTTCATCTGTTATTTCCTCAACGGTTACAGTAGTTTGAGGTTTTCTACCTTCTTCTTCAACAGTAACTATTTCAGTAGCTTCTTGTTTGCCATCTTTACGTTTCCTAATTACACGTTTCCTAATAACTTTCTTAGATTTTTTGCCATCTGGTTGAATTTGTTCAACTACTTTTACTTCTTCAGGCATTTCTTCAATTTCCATGGGTTTGAAGAAAATTTCTTCATCTGTTATTTTCTCAACATTTACGGTAGTTTGAGGTTTCTTACCTTCTTCTTCAACAGTAACTATTTCAGTAGCTTCTTGTTTGCCATCTTTACGTTTCCTAATTACACGTTTCCTAATAACTTTCTTGGATTTTTTGCCATCTGGTTGAATTGTTTCAAATACTTGGATTTCTTCAGGCATTTCTTCAATTTCCATTGGTTTTACGACAAATTCTTCATCTGTTGTTTCTTTAATGGTTACTGCAGTTAGAGGTTTATTAACTTCTTCTTTAACAGTAACTATTTCAGTATCTTCGGGTTTTACTAACATCTTTTTTAACATCTCTATCCTAATTAAATCTACAACTTCTTCATCATCACTTTTATTTGCAAGGCTTGGAACAAACAGAATTTTTTCTTCTTTATCTGACTTAACCTTTTTTCTAGGTCTTCTGACTTTTTCTTCTTCGGTAATATCCTTAATACTAACAGTTGTCTCAGGTTTTTTACCTTCCTCTTCAACAGTTACTATTTCAGTTGCTTCTTGTTTACCATCTTTAAATTTTTTAATGACACGTTTCTTAATAACTTTTTTAGATTTTTTGCCATCTGGTTGAATTTGTTCAATTACTTTAACTTCTTCAGGCATTTCTTCAATTTCCATAGGTTTAAAGAAAATTTCTTCATCTGTTATTTCCTCGACGGTTACGGTAGTTTGAGGTTTCTTACCTTCTTCTTCAACAGTAACTATTTCTGTAGCTTCTTGTTTGCCATCTTTACGTTTTTTAATAACACGTTTTTTAATAACTTTCTTAGATTTTTTGCCGTCTGGTTGAATTTGTTCAATTACTTGGACTTCTTCAGGCATTTCTTCAATTTCCATGGGTTTAAAGAAAATGTCTTCGTCTGTTATTTCTTCAACCGTTACGGTAGTTTGAGGTTTCTTACCTTCTTCTTCAATAGTAACTATTTCAGTAGCTTCTTGTTTGCCATCTTTACGTTTTTTAATAACACGTTTTTTAATAACTTTCTTAGATTTTTTGCCGTCTGCTTGAACTTGTTCAATTACTTGGACTTCTTCAGGCATTTCTTCAATTTCCATGGGTTTAAAGAAAATATCTTCATCTGTTATTTCCTTAACCGTTACGGTAGTTTGAGGTTTCTTACCTTCTTCTTCAACAGTAACTATTTCAGTAGCTTCTTGTTTGCCATCTTTACGTTTTTTAATAATACGTTTTTTAATAACTTTCTTAGATTTTTTGCCGTCTGCTTGAACTTGTTCAATTACTTGGATTTCTTCAGGCATTTCTTCAATTTCCATGGGTTTAAAGAAAATATCTTCATCTGTTATTTCCTCAACAGTTACTGTAGTTTGAGGTTTCTTACCTTCTTCTTCAACAGTAACAATTTCAGTAGCTTCTTGTTTGCCATCTTTACGTTTTTTAATGACACGTTTCCTAATAATTTTCTTAAATGTTTTGCCGTCTGGTTGAATTTGTTTAATGACCTGAATTTCCTCAGGCATTTCTTTAATTTCCATAGGTTTAAATGAAATTTCTTCATCTGTTATTTGCTCAACAGTTACGGTAGTTTGAGGTTTCTTACCATCTTCCTCAACAGTAACTATTTCAGTAGCTTCTTGTTTGCCATCTTTACGTTTTTTAATGACACGTTTCTTGATAATTTTCTTAGATTTTTTGCCGTCTGGTTGAATTTGTTCAATTACTTGGACTTCTTCAGGCATTTCTTCAATTTCCATGGGTTTAAAGAAAATGTCTTCGTCTGTTATTTCCTCAACCGTTACGGTAGTTTGAGGTTTCTTACCTTCTTCTTCAACAGTAACTATTTCAGTAGCTTCTTGTTTGCCATCTTTGCGTTTTTTAATAACACGTTTCTTGATAATTTTCTTAGATTTTTTGCCGTCTGGTTGAATTTGTTCAATTACTTGGACTTCTTCAGGCATTTCTTCAATTTCCATGGGTTTAAAGAAAATGTCTTCGTCTGTTATTTCCTCAACAGTTACTGTAGTTTGAGGTTTCTTACCTTCTTCTTCAACAGTAACAATTTCAGTAGCTTCTTGTTTGCCATCTTTACTTTTTTTAATAACACGTTTTTTAATAACTTTCCTAGATTTTTTGCCATCTGGTTGAATTTGTTCAATTACTTTGATTTCTTCAGGCATTTCTTCAATTTTCATGGGTTTAAATAAAATCTCTTCATCTGTTATTTCCTCAACCGTTACGGTAGTTTGTGGTTTCTTACCCTCTTCCTCAATAGTAACTATTTCAGTAGCTTCTTGTTTGCCATCTTTGCGTTTTTTAATGACACGTTTCTTAATAACTTTCTTGGATTTTTTGCCGTCTGGTTGAATGTGTTCAATGACCTGAACTTCCTCAGGCATTTCTTCAATTTCTTGTGGTTTGAAAATAATATCGTCCTTAATTTCTTCCACAGTTACTGTTGTTTCAGGTTTCTTACCTTCTTCTTGAATTGTTACAATTTCAGTTTTTTCTTGCTTTCCATCTTTGCGTTTATTGATTACACGTTTCTTGATAACCTTTTTAGATTTTTTACCGTCCGGTTGAATTTGTTCAATTACTTGAACTTCTTCCGGCATTTCTACAATTTCTTGTGGTTTGAACATAATGTCATCTTTTATTTCTTCTACAGTTACTGTTGTTTCAGGTTTCTTACCTTCTTCTTCAATCGTTACAATTTCAGTTACTTCTTGCTTGCCATCTTTGCGTTTTTTAATTACCCGTTTCTTGATTACCTTTTTGGATTTTCTACCGTCCGGTTGAATTTTTTCAATAACTTGAACCTCTTCTGGCATTTCTTTAATTTCTTGTGGTTTAAAAACAATATCGTCCTTAATTTCTTCCACGGTTACTGTTGTTTCAGGTTTCTTACCTTCTTCTTCAATTGTTACGATTTCAGTTGCTTCTTGCTTGCCATCTTTGCGTTTTTTAATTACACGTTTCTTGATAACCTTTTTCGATTTTCTACCATCCGGTTGAATTTGTTCAATTACTTGAACCTCTTCTGGCATTTCTTCAATTCCTTGTTGTTTAAAAATAATGTTATCTTTAATTTCTTCTATTGTTACTGTTGTTTCAGGTTTCTTACCTTCTTCCTCGATTGTTACAATTTCAGTTGCTTCTTGCTTGCCATCTTTGTATTTTTTAATTACACATTTCTTGATTACCTTCTTCGATTTTGTACCGTCGGGTTGAATTTGTTCAATCACTTGAACCTCTTCTGGCATTTCTACAATTTCTTGTGGTTTAAAAATAATGTCATCTTTTATTTCTTCTACAGTTACTGTTGTTTCAGGTTTCTTACCTTCTTCTTCAATTGTTACAATTTCAGTTGCCTCTTGCTTCCCATCTTTACGTTTTTTGATTACACGTTTCTTGATTACCTTCTTCGATTTTCTACCATCCGGTTGAATTTGTTCAATTACTTGAACCTCTTCTGGCATTTCTACAATTTCTTGTGGTTTAAATATAATGTCATCTTTAATTTCTTCTACAGTTACTGTTGTTTCAGGTTTCTTACCCTCTTCTTCAATTGTTACGATTTCAGTTGCTTCTTGCTTGCCATCTTTGCGTTTTTTAATTACACGTTTCTTGATAACCTTTTTCGATTTTCTACCATCCGGTTGAATTTGTTCAATCACTTGAACCTCTTCTGGCATTTCTACAATTTCTTGTGGTTTAAAAATAATGTCATCTTTTATTTCTTCTACAGTTACTGTTGTTTCAGGTTTCTTACCTTCTTCTTCAATTGTTACAATTTCAGTTGCCTCTTGCTTCCCATCTTTACGTTTTTTGATTACACGTTTCTTGATTACCTTCTTCGATTTTCTACCATCCGGTTGAATTTGTTCAATTACTTGAACATCTTCTGGCATTTCTACAATTTCTTGTGTTTTAAATATAATGTCATCTTTAATTTCTTCTACAGTTACTGTTGTTTCAGGTTTCTTACCCTCTTCTTCAATTGTTACGATTTCAGTTGCTTCTTGCTTGCCATCTTTGCGTTTTTTAATTACACGTTTCTTGATAACCTTTTTAGATCTTCTACCGTCCGGTTGAATTTGTTCAATTACTTGAACCTCTTCTGGCATTTCTTCAATTTCTTGTGGTTTGAAAATAATGTCGTCTTTAATTTCTTCCACAGTTACTGTTGTTTCAGGTTTCTTACCTTCTTCTTTAATTGTTACAATTTCAGTTGCTTCTTGCTTGCCGTCTTTGCGTTTTTTGATTACACGTTTCTTGATAACCTTTTTGGATCTTCTACCGTCCGGTTGAATTTGTTCAATTACTTGAACCTCTTCTGGCATTTCTTCAATTTCTTGTGGTTTAAAAACAATATCGTCCTTAATTTCTTCCACGGTTACTGTTGTTTCAGGTTTCTTACCTTCTTCTTCAATTGTTACAATTTCAGTTGCTTCTTGCTTGCCGTCTTTGCGTTTTTTGATTACACGTTTCTTAATAACCTTTTTAGATCTTCTACCGTCCGGTTGAATTTGTTCAATTATTTGAACCTCTTCTGGCATTTCTACAATTTCTTGTGGTTTAAAAATAATGTCGTCATTAATTTCTTCTATAGTTACTGTTGTTTCAGGTTTCTTACCTTCTTCTTCAATTGTTACAATTTCAGTTGCTTCTTGCTTGCCATCTTTGCGTTTTTTGATTACACGTTTCTTGATTACCTTCTTCGATTTTCTACCGTCCGGTTGAATTTGTTCAATTACTTGAACCTCTTCTGGCATTTCTTCAATTTCTTGTGGTTTGAAAATAATGTCGTCTTTAATTTCTTCTATAGTTACTGTTGTTTCAGGTTTTTTACCTTCTTCTTCAATTGTTACAATTTCAGTTGCTTCTTGCTTGCCGTCTTTGCGTTTTTTGATTACACGTTTCTTAATAACCTTTTTAGATCTTCTACCGTCCGGTTGAATTTGTTCAATTATTTGAACCTCTTCTGGCATTTCTACAATTTCTTGTGGTTTAAAAATAATGTCGTCTTTAATTTCTTCTATAGTTACTGTTGTTTCAGGTTTCTTACCTTCTTCTTCAATTGTTACAATTTCAGTTGCTTCTTGCTTGCCATCTTTACGTTTTTTGATTACACGTTTCTTGATAACCTTTTTGGATTTCCTACCGTCCGGTTGAATTTGTTCAATTACCTGAACCTCTTCTGGCATTTCTTCAATTTCTTGTGGTTTGAAAATAATTTCATCTTTAATTTCTTCCACAGTTACTGTTGTTTCAGTTTTTTTGCCTTCTTCTTCTATTGTTACAATTTCGGTTGCTTCTTGCTTCCCATCTTTGCGTTTTTTGATTACACGTTTCTTGATTACCTTTTTGGATTTTCTACCGTCCGGTTGAATTTGTTCAATTACTTGAACCTCTTCTGGCATTTCTTCAATTTCTTGTGGTTTGAAAATAATGTCGTCTTTAATTTCTTCGACAGTTACTGTTGTTTCAGGTTTCTTACCTTCTTCTTCAATTGTTACAATTTCAGTTGCTTCTTGCTTGCCATCTTTGCGTTTTTTGATTACACGTTTCTTGATAACCTTTTTGGATTTTCTACCGTCCGGTTGAATTTGTTCAATTACTTGAACCTCTTCTGGCATTTCTTCAATTTCTTGTGGTTTGAAAATAATGTCGTCTTTAATTTCTTCTATAGTTACTGTTGTTTCAGGTTTCTTACCCTCTTCTTCAATTGTTACAATTTCAGTTGCTTCTTGCTTGCCATCTTTACGTTTTTTGATTACACGTTTCTTGATAACCTTTTTAGATTTCCTACCGTCCGATTGAATTTGTTCAATTACTTGAACCTCTTCTGGCATTTCTACAATTTCTTGTGGTTTAAAAATAATCTCATCTTTAATTTCTTCCACAGTTACTGTTGTTTCAGTTTTCTTGCCTTCTTCTTCAATTGTTACAATTTCGGTTGCTTCTTGCTTCCCATCTTTGCGTTTTTTGATTAAACGTTTCTTGATTACCTTTTTGGATTTTCTACCGTCCGGTTGAATTTGTTCAATTACCTGAACCTCTTCTGGCATTTCTTCAATTTCTTGTGGTTTAAAAATAATGTCGTCTTTAATCTCTTCTATAGTAACTGTTGTTTCAGGCTTCTTACCTTCTTCTTCAATTGTTACAATTTCAGTTGCTTCTTGCTTTCCATCTTTGCGTTTTTTGATTACACGTTTCTTGATTACCTTTTTCGATTTTCTACCGTCCGGTTGAATTTGTTCAATTACTTGAACCTCTTCTGGCATTTCTACAATTTCTTGTGGTTTAAATATAATGTCATCTTTAATTTCTTCGACAGTTACTGTTGTTTCAGGTTTCTTTCCTTCTTCTTCAATCGTTACAATTTCAGTTGCTTCTTGCTTGCCATCTTTGCGTTTTTTGATTACACGTTTCTTGATAACCTTTTTGGATTTTCTACCGTCCGGTTGAATTTGTTCAATTACTTGAACCTCTTCTGGCATTTCTTCAATTTCTTGTGGTTTAAAAATAATGTCGTCTTTAATTTCTTCCACAGTTACTGTTGTTTCAGTTTTCTTGCCTTCTTCTTCAATTGTTACAATTTCGGTTGCTTCTTGCTTCCCATCTTTGCGTTTTTTGATTAAACGTTTCTTGATTACCTTTTTGGATTTTCTACCGTCCGGTTGAATTTGTTCAATTACCTGAACCTCTTCTGGCATTTCTTCAATTTCTTGTGGTTTGAAAATAATGTCGTCTTTAATCTCTTCTATAGTAACTGTTGTTTCAGGCTTCTTACCTTCTTCTTCAATTGTTACAATTTCAGTTGCTTCTTGCTTTCCATCTTTGCGTTTTTTGATTACACGTTTCTTGATTACCTTTTTCGATTTTCTACCGTACGGTTGAATTTGTTCAATTACTTGAACCTCTTCTGGCATTTCTACAATTTCTTGTGGTTTAAATATAATGTCATCTTTAATTTCTTCTATAGTTACTGTTGTTTCAGGTTTCTTACCTTCTTCTTCAATTGTTACAATTTCGGTTGCTTCTTGCTTGCCATCTTTGCGTTTTTTAATAACACGTTTTTTGATTACCTTCTTTGATTTTCTACCGTCCGGTTGAATTTGTTCAATTACTTGAACTTCTTCTGGCATTTCTTCAATTTCTTGTGGTTTGAAAATTATGTCGTCTTTAATCTCTTCTATAGTAACTGTTGTTTCAGGCTTCTTACCTTCTTCTTCAATTGTTACAATTTCAGTTGCTTCTTGCTTTCCATCTTTGCGTTTTTTGATTACACGTTTCTTGATTACCTTTTTCGATTTTCTACCGTCCGGTTGAATTTGTTCAATTACTTGAACCTCTTCTGGCATTTCTACAATTTCTTGTGGTTTAAATATAATGTCATCTTTAATTTCTTCGACAGTTACTGTTGTTTCAGGTTTCTTTCCTTCTTCTTCAATCGTTACAATTTCAGTTGCTTCTTGCTTGCCATCTTTGCGTTTTTTGATTACACGTTTCTTGATAACCTTTTTGGATTTTCTACCGTCCGGTTGAATTTGTTCAATTACTTGAACCTCTTCTGGCATTTCTTCAATTTCTTGTGGTTTAAAAATAATTTCGTCTTTAATTTCTTCTATAGTTACTGTTGTTTCAGGTTTCTTACCTTCTTCTTCAATTGTTACAATTTCGGTTGCTTCTTGCTTGCCATCTTTGCGTTTTTTGATAACACGTTTCTTGATAACCTTTTTGGATTTTCTACCGTCCGGTTGAATTTGTTCAATTACTTGAACCTCTTCTGGCATTTCTACAATTTCTTGTGGTTTAAAAATAATCTCATCTTTAATTTCTTCCACAGTTACTGTTGTTTCAGTTTTCTTGCCTTCTTCTTCAATTGTTACAATTTCGGTTGCTTCTTGCTTCCCATCTTTGCGTTTTTTGATTAAACGTTTCTTGATTACCTTCTTTGATTTTCTACCGTCCGGTTGAATTTGTTCAATTACTTGAACTTCTTCTGGCATTTCTTCAATTTCTTGTGGTTTGAAAATAATGTCGTCTTTAATCTCTTCTATAGTAACTGTTGTTTCAGGCTTTTTGCCTTCTTCTTCAATTGTTACAATTTCAGTTGCTTCTTGCTTTCCATCTTTGCGTTTTTTGATTACACGTTTCTTGATTACCTTTTTCGATTTTTTACCGTCCGGTTGAATTTGTTCAATTACTTGAACCTCTTCAGGCATTTCTACAATTTCTTGTGGTTTAAATATAATGTCATCTTTAATTTCTTCGACAGTTACTGTTGTTTTAGGTTTCTTACCTTCTTCTTCAATCGTTACAATTTCAGTTGCTTCTTGCTTGCCATCTTTGCGTTTTTTGATTACACGTTTCTTGATAACCTTTTTGGATTTTCTACCGTCCGGTTGAATTTGTTCAATTACTTGAACCTCTTCTGGCATTTCTTTAATTTCTTGTGGTTTAAATATAATGTCATCTTTAATTTCTTCGACAGTTACTGTTGTTTCAGGTTTCTTACCTTCTTCTTCAATCGTTACAATTTCAGTGGCTTCTTGCTTGCCATCTTTGCGTTTTTTGATTACACGTTTCTTGATAACTTTTTTGGATTTTCTACCGTCCGGTTGAATTTGTTCAATTACTTGAACCTCTTCTGGCATTTCTTCAATTTCTTGTGGTTTCAAAATAATGTCGTCTTTAATTTCTTCTATAGTTACTGTTGTTTCAGGTTTCTTACCTTCTTCTTCAATCGTTACAATTTCAGTTGCTTCTTGCTTGCCATCTTTGCGTTTTTTGATTACACGTTTCTTGATTACCTTCTTTGATTTTCTACCGTCCGGTTGAATTTTTTCAATTACTTGAACTTCTTCTGGCATTTCTTCAATTTCTTGTGGTTTGAAAATAATGTCGTCCTTAATTTCTTCTATAGTTACTGTTGTTTCAGGTTTTTTACCTTCTTCTTCAATTGTTACAATTTCGGTTGCTTCTTGCTTGCCATCTGTGCGTTTTTTGATAACTCGTTTCTTGATTACCTTCTTGGATTTTCTACCGTCCGGTTGAATTTGTTCAATTACTTGAACCTCTTCTGGCATTTCTACAATTTCTGGTGGTTTTAAAACAATGTCGTCTTTAATTTCTTCTTCAGTTATTGTTGTTTTAGGTTTTTTACCTTCACCATCTGGTTGAATTGGTTCAATAATTTGAATTTCCTCTGGCATTTCCATTATTTCTTGGTCATCATGTATTTCTTCTATGGTAACTGATGTAGTTTTGCTATAATTATCTGTAACTTCTTCTACATAAGGAGACAATTCTTCTTTACCTTGAGACATTTCATCATCTAAGACTTCATCAATAATGATATTATTTAAAGTTTTGTCCCTGCTTTTTACAATTGTTCGTTTTGTTTTTATTTGTGTTATATCGCTGTCTGTGTTTTTGAATTTGGTTATTATTTCATGTGTAACTTCAGTGTCTTTATCTTGTAGAATATTGGGAATGTGTTGTTCAGCCATGTGAGATAAGGCGCTTGTTTGTGTTATTCGAACTTGTGTTTTGTGTGGTTCTGTTTCTTCCAGAGGTCCTGTAATTTTACAGTGTTAAAAACTGAGTGTAACAATTTAAAATAAGTGTAATTTGTTTGCGCGTGTGTTTCTTGTTTGTATGCTTTGTTTAGGTGATTGTTATTATTTAGTTTTACCTTCTACTGTTGTTATAAATATGAACATGTTTAACTTACCTTCTTGTTCGTGTTGGTGAATTTCACTTATTTGCAAAGTTTCTGAAACATCCATTGACACTTTTACAGTCTTTGGTTTTTCCAAAATTACTTTGATGTCATCTAAATTACCCGTTGATGTTTGTTCATTAATTATAAGTCCATGCTTTGTTAATCCAGAAATATCCTGTTTAGCTGTTTCCTTTTTAGTTTTCTTTATGTCGATAGGAACTTGACCCTCTAGTATTAAATTTTCTTCCTTTACTCCGACAATCAATAATTGAGTTTCTTTTTGTGTCAACGTTTGGGTTGCAAAAGATTCTATCTGTGATTCACCGGTAGTAGCCTCGGAGTTTATTTCCGTAACTGTAATACCTTCACTTAAAGCTATATTTAAATTAGCATTTAATAGATTATGTTCTGGTATTAATAATGGCTTTGTACCGCCTTTCATAAAAGTATCGGTGTATAAAATAGATTCTTGCTCCATTGTTTTAACTTTTGCGTTACCACTAATGATGTCCTTAGGTGCATCCAATCTGTTTAAGGTTTCATATGATTTTTGTTCCATTTCTTCAACGCTAGAAAGTTCATCTATTACCGATGTTGCTATTTTAGATTTTGGTACTTCTTCTTTTAATTCTATTTCGTTTAGGAAAGTACGTGTTTCATGAATTAAGGCAGTTTTATTTGGAGCTTCCAAAGTCTTCTCCACTGTTTCATTATTTGGAGTTTTACGATGTTTTAATATGCCCTCTGATTCATCTAGGTTACACTCTGTTATTATAATTGAGTTTAGCGATGTTTGAGTAATATTTACTTCAGCAGAAGTTACCTCTTCATCTTTAAATGGAACTATACTTTGATGAGTCTTGGTCTCGGTTATTTCCACTACTTGCTGCGGAGAGTATGTTATTTCAGGTTTGCTTTCTGTCTTAAAATCCAAATTTTTTAAAGCATTTTCGGCCTCATTAATATTATGTTCTATTATATTCAGGTGCTTCTTTGGAATAATAAATAAATCGGCTTTTTCTTCCTTAATGTTTTCTTTATCCAAAATCTGTTCATGTTCTTGAACATTACTTGTCGATATAATTACGTGTTTATGTTTTTCCTGGGTTATACTAGCATCTTTTGGCTGTAACGGTTTAATGTTGAGGTTGTCAATATTATCATGAATATTTGTTTTTTCCTGAGAAACCGCCATTAAATCTGAATTAACTTTTTGAGTAGCAAATTGGGTGCTGCGTTTTACTTGGTCAGTATTTATTTCCTTTTCCTCGCTAGAAATTTCCGTTACATTTATGGAAATATTTTCTTCTACAATTGGTATTATTTGTTTACTTTCATTTATGGGCTCGATATTTAAATTTAATTCAGTTTCATTTACAATTGGTTGCGTATTAATTAATCCTTTACAAGTATCTTGAGTTATTTTTGCATTTAACGGATTTTCTTTGCTGGTGATTAAATTTAAAATACTATCAGACGGTATGGTTTCTTCGGATTTAAGAGCATAAACTGAATCAATTGTTGATTCCGGTACTTCTGTTACAGCTTTAAATTTTTCAAACTCCTTTGCAATCATGTGGCATTCAACCTCGCTTACACTTACACTTGATTTAGTATCAATATTTGCATCAGCTTTCGTAGCACTTGGGTTCCATTTTCCGCTAAATTCTTCTATGTTATCAATTATTATAGGTTGACTTTGAAGAAGACTTTCAAAAGTATCTTGAGATTTATTTGGTTGCTTTGTTGAAAATATTTCCTGTTTAATTGGTTCAGTCTCCATTATTGAGAAAACTTCGTTGGTTTGCGAAGAAAGATTAGTTGTTAATGTTTCAGTAGCCTTTGTAGCATTTGGGTTTTCTTCCAAATTTAGATTTGACTCACTTTCGACTGCATATACTTTACTTTGTACTAAAGAGATTGCTGTTTCAAAGTTGGGTTCAGCCTTTTTAAAATCCAAATTAATTTGTTTTGATAGTTCTTCTTCTTTTTCTTGAATATCGTGTATGGTATGAACTATTTCATTTAAAGCTATGTGGCCTGTGTCAGCAGTTTCCTTTTTAATTTGCATATCTGATACAGTACTAACGCTGCTTGATGAAATAATTTCTGTACTTTGTGGAACCTGAATTGTAGAAACATTTGGTGTAGCTTTTTGCTCTAAAGATTGGTCTTTAATTAAAAGTTCTTTTTCTTTTTCTTGAACATTAATTTCGGTTATATTTACTTCAGTATTTACTCCCTCGATGTTTGAGGTTGCTAGGCTAGTAAAAGGTTTAAACTTATCGTCAAAACTAACTTCTTTTTCTTGGGATAAATTTTCACTTACAATTAGTGGATTAAATAAAATGTCCTGCGCAGTAATTGTTTTACTCTCTGGTAACTTACTAACAATTGTATCAACATTTTCAGATACTTCAGGTTGAGTTGTTTCTGCAATTTCATGTAATTTATTTAAATGCGTTTCTGCTTTTTTATGTTCTGGTAAATTAGAAATATCTAAGTCTTGTTCTTTTTGACCAATTATCGATTCATGGGTGGAAATAGCTTGTGATTGCTCAAAATCTAAGGAAGCAGTAGCAGATAATGGTTTTTTAATATCTTCAAGCAAACCTTCTTTTTCATTTATATCCTGTTGTGTTGTTAATAAACTTTTAAACGGAACTGTCGACTTTTGTGCCAGGCTTGTTTTTTTTGGTTTTGTTTCAAAATTATCCAAAGAATCTATGTATTCAGTCTGTGAAGTCAAAACGACTTGATTTGAATCATTTAAAGATATATTAGCAGAAACTTGATTTAAAGGACTGATTTCTAATAATTTTTCACTATCGTGTATTGCAGCAGATTGTACAATAACACTTTGTTCCTCATTAATGGACAAAATACCTTTACTTGTTTCAGATGTTTTATCTAAGATATCTTTTTCAGACTCCTGTATAACTGTTTCCTGTATAGTTATGGTTGTTAATGGTAGAATATTTTGAACAGCATTTGAACTTTCAAATGAAAATTTATCAATGTCACTTATACCGTCAATTACATCAACATTTGTATGTAAAGGAACTTTATGACCTTCAAATTCAGTAGTTGCAAAATGTTCAGGTTGACTTTTAGACTTGTTTAATTCAGATTCTTTTTCATTGATATTAACTTCTGTTATCAAAACACTTTCTTCTCCTGTGTAAGAAAAGTTGGCTTGTTTACTATCAACACTATCTGCAGTAAAGGGAACCTCACTGTCATGTATTTGCAAATCTGATTGAAATACGCTTTCTAATAATGTTTGTGCAATTTCAGCTGTAGTAACATTTGGTGCTTCAATGTTGGTTTTGGTAATAAAATCTTCTGAGGTGGCTTGCGAAACTTGCGCAACACTTTGTGCATCCAAGTTTACTATAGCATTTTTAGATTCAAAAACTGTAGGTTTATCCAATTGGTTTTCTTTTTCATTAATTGCTATTTCCATAACAGCTGGGGCCATAACTTCTTCAAATTCTACATTAACTTTTTGAGAAATCGGGGTTTCTTTTTTATTTAAGTTCATTTCAGATTCGCCAACTATTGTTTCGGTATTAGACAAAGCTTTTAGTTCCATTTGGGACCTTATTGCATTTGCTGGAACATGTTTGAAATCGGCTAAGCTGGTTAATGTATCATTAGAAATGGTTTCTTTAATTTGAATTTCATTTTCTGACAAAATTTGAATATCTGCAGATGCATAATTAACATCCACTTTATCAAAATGACTTTCTTTGTCCGCTGTTGTTATAGATGTTACCGAAACTTCAACACCTAGCTCATAGTCATTGCTGGCAAATTTTTCAGATGGTTTATTTTGTTCAAAGTTTGATTCTTTTTCAGAGATAATTGATTCAGATGTAATAACACTGTTTAATGTATCGCAAATTGTTTCTGCTACTCCCGATGTTTGATCGCTCGTAGGTATTTTTGATACAGACTCATCGACTAAGGTTATTTCCTTAGATGCAACTTTATGTGTTGATATAGAAGGACTTCCTGTAATACTATCTGGTATGGTTGGAATTTTTAATACATTTTCCTTATCGTCTGATAAAACTTCAGTAACTTTTAAACTTTCAGATTCTAAGTAGCTAACATTTACTTGTTTCAAATCAGGTTTAACATCAGCAGAGGTATTTGATTCTTTTTCACCCGTAATAAATTGAGTTTGAATAACAGAATGTGACACGTCTTGTTGAGGTACTACTACGTACTTTTCTGGTGATACGCGTGTATAATTTCCTGGCTCAGTATTACTTATAGTTATTTCATTAATTGCGACTTGAGTTTCATTAACGTCTATATTTGCCTGAGATTGAATTGGTTCCGTTACACTTAAAATTTCTTCTTTATCGTCAGTTACAATTTCCGTCACGGATAATTCATGACCAGGTAATATATCCACATTGGCTTGTTTTTTATAAGGGAAAGTATCGGGTTTTAATTGTTTTTCTACTTCGATGACATTTGTTTCGGTTACTATTAGTTCTTCTTGTGGGCGAGCATATTTTTTAGCTTTTCCAGTTACAAGTTCTTCGGGTTCTATATTATCAGCATGAACTACAGTTTCTATTTCAGATTGCAAAATTACTTCCTGAGAACATATAGTGGAAGAAGCTAAACCTTGTGAAGGTTTATTTGTTTCCGAAAGTTCTCCTTCCTTTTCATTTGTTATAATTTGCGATATGTTAGCTCCCACATGTGAGTTTGTTAATTCTATTAAAGCAGTTTTTTCTTCCTTATCAGCCACATTTGTAAAATCTGACTCTCTCTCGCCAAGTTCACATTGTGTAATTTGAACCCCTTCCAAAACACTTTGCGCTGTAACTGCTTGTTCTAGGTTAGGTGAAGAAATGGTTAACTTATCAGTTGCTATATTAGCTTGAACAACGGTTTGACAAGCAATTTTCTTTACATCAAAATCAACGGATGCCTTTTGACCGGCCGGTGAATCACCAATTTTGTAAGGCTTCTCCTTATCATCGGTAACTACCTCGGAGACAGTTATACTTTCTGCTTGTGGTAAAACGACTACTGCTGTTTTTTCGTCAGCCTTTTGTGCCTTATGTTCTTTAGTATTTTCACTAATCATCGTTTCTAAAACTACTGTCTCTGTTAAATGTGGTTGTTCAATTTTAGCTATACCCTTGTCGGTAACTTGAACATCAAGTTGTTCTGTTTTATAATCCGGTATCGTTTGTTCTGTTACTCCTATTGACAGCATATGACTTGTAGTCGATTTGCTTTTATGGGATTCTGGAAGTTCAAACAATTCTAATTGTTTTTCCCTCTCCAAAATTCCAGATTCGCTTATTTCAATTTCTTCTTTTAACTTACTCATTGTTGGTTCTGCAGTTTGTATATTAGGTTGTTCTTGTATTAACATCATTTCTTTTTCCTCTGCCCTAATTATAGTAACACTTTGAGCTTCTTGGCTAGATATCTGAACATCTGCCTGATCTGTTTTATATTTCAATTTATCTGTAAAATCATAAGGTGTATCGCTTGTATTTATTTCTGTGACGCTTATAGATTCGCTTGGTCTGACATTAATATTTGCTAATACCTGGGTAGGCTTAGCATCAGTTGGTAATATGCCTTCAGATTCCTGAGCAGTAACTGTTGTATTTCCCCCTATTTCCAAGCAGTTAATCATTGTAAATGCCTGGCCTAAACTGGGTTGTTCACTCTCCTTGTACTCTGATTCTGATTCTGTGGGAATTATTGACTGCGAAACAAGAGGCTCATTTGATAAAATAGTCATACTAGCAACTTGTTTGATTATTTCTGATTCTTCTATATCTTTATGCCCTTGTTGTGACTCTACTGTAGTAGTATAAACACCTTCAGTTAATGTTATATTTATAGAGGCTGTATTTTTCTCTGGGCTAGCATCCTTTTTAAATACAGTTTCGCGCTCTTGGGTTTCGGTTTGAGATATTAAAATATTTTCGTTTACAGTAAAATCAGTTTGTGCTTGTTGGAAAGGAGGAAGGCGACCTGGAGTATATTCTCCTTCTAGTTCAGGTGCAACCATTTCTGATTGTATAACAGATTTTTGTGGTACAATGTTTTGGCTAGCAACTTCAGTCGGTACAAACGCTTCAGGTAAATGCTTACCTGGCCTTATTTCAGATAACACTTCATCAACTATAAGCGACTCGTTAACGTCCATTTTCAATTTGGATTGAGCCAATTTTGGTTTGTTTATTTCCAATTTGTCTTCAAATAAGGCCTCATGAATTTCCTCTACATTTACACTTTCTTTAGTTGTAAATGAACTAATACCTTTTACGCCAGATGGTTTAGTAAATTGTTCAAGACTCTGTTCTTTATCGGAAATTTCAACTTCTGAGACTTTTGTAGCTTCAAGCTCTCCAATAGATACTCTAGCCAGAACATTTAAGGTTTCTTTATGTGTTATGTTGGATGGAAGGTCGCCTGATTCAATCTCTTGAACAATTAAACCTTCATTAGGAATAATATTTCTTAAGGCATTTGCTGTATCTGAAGGAAAACTTAAATTTAAATCCTCTGATTTATTTTGATAATTAACGTCTGATATTTCAAGTGCTTCGAGCGTGTCTAATATTTTAGTAGCAGAATAACCTATTGTACTTTGTTTTTTATACTCATCTTCCTTTTCCTGTACGATTGTTTGCTGTTGAATCACCGCAGAGTGAGGTTGAAGTTCAACATTAGCATTACCCATTAAAATATTTTCATTATTTTGAACAACATTGCCTGACATAATAGCTTCTGAATTTAGGACAGCTGTATTAAGTAATGCTGCATTATGTGTATCTATATCTAAAGGAATTAACGGAACTTCTTTAGTGGCTGTTTCTACTTCTAATACATTTTTAGCTTCATGTGGCTGATAAGATTCTTGTATAATTTTTGATTTGACTTCTTCCTTGTCAAATTGTATGGTGTTATCTTGAGTTTGAGTTTCCTGAATAGTTACATAGTCCTTTGTAATTACCTCTGAATTTGCAAAAGATTCCTTAGGCTTAAATTCTTTATCAAATAATTCGGGAATATCGTGAACTTGCTGTTGAAATGTTTCATAAGCTTGGACAGTATCAAGTGATGGTTTTGCTGTTGTGGTTACTGTTGGTTTTTCTTCAGTAATTTCTTCTTTTTCATGATCCAAAACGTTTTCTTCGATAATTGCAGAATGGGGATTTATAATTACGTCTGCTGTTGCTGAAGCATCCGTTTTACCTGTAAGTGCTATTTGATCCGTAACAAAAGCTTCAGAGTATTGACCAGAAGTGTTAACAGGAATTTCTTGCCGAACAATTTCTTCTGAGGGTTTTATTTCAAAAGTAATTTCTTCATTTTCTTCTATTGCTTCCACAACTGTCGGCTGTACTATTTGTTTTTCATCTTCAGTTTTAATTATAACTTTTTCTTTAATATGTTTAGTTTTCTTTACTTTTGCAATAGACTTTCTTTCGGTATCTTGTTTATCAACGGGTAATTTTGTGATTTCAGTTACTTCTTCAATAATTTCTGTAGTCTTTGGTTGTGTAGTACCATCTTTTTTCCTTGCAGTTCTCTCTTCTTCAACTTGAAGATTTTCTGTGAAAGTGTAGGCATGATAGTTTCGTGTAGCGTATATTTTAATACTAATGTAAAAGTTTAAGGCTAAAGCGTAGCTTAAGCCTAAATTTTGTGTGATCTATGTCTAAGCAAAGAGTTGTTGATATATTTAAAAATGTATGAATTAAACTCACCTTAAGCAAATGCTAAAGCTTAATACACTACGAAGCCATGCTTCTCGAAATTTAACACTGCACTACGAAATAAAAGAAAACTAGTGATCGCAAATAAAAGGCATTTAGTTGCAAAATATACTTTGAATTGAAAATTAGCGGTGGTTATAGCGAAGTAGATGCGGAAATTGCGTCCATTTTCATATAGACATTATTGTTCTTAAATAGTGAACTTACCCACACTATCAAGATTTTGTATTTATAATATAAAAGCTATTACACAATAATACACAGCGGAAAATAAACTTACCGGTAATTTCTTCTTTTATTTTAATCTTTTTCTTGGTTATTTTGGTGGTATCTGGTTAAAAAATAAATAATCTTAATTTTTATTGCTTTAATATTTTATTGGTTAGTATAAAATTAAAATAAACACAACAAATATAAATAATTTATTAAAAATAAATAGGATTAGTATACATAAAACAATTATAATACAACTAGGATATCACAATAAAAACATTGACCGGCAATAAGTCCAATATATAAAGCAAGGCACACACAAACTCACCTTCCAAAACTTCAACTTCCTCTTTTATTGTTACCATCTCAGTAAATGTTGGTTTAATAATCTAAAAATTAGATATTTTAACATTTTATGCCTCTTATCTACTAATATTTTGGATCTTACCTCAGTAGCTTCAGTTGATTCCCATGCTCTTTGAATAAAATCTTCTGGTGTAAAATGTGTAATCACTTCTTCAATTGTAACGTAATTATTTTCAACCATTTTCATGAAAGCTCTAAATCCAACAGTGGCAGCTAATTGACTTTCATCAATTGTAGTTTCTTCTGTAAGTACTTCTGAAATAAGAGGTCCATATCCTTTCCTCTCAACTACGTTAACCAAAGCCGATTGAGCCTGAGGTGACTTTAAGGAAGTAAATTTATCGTCATCATACAAAATTGTTACTTCCTTAACGGTTATCCCGTTTCTTAGTAAATAACCGATCTCTGCTATTTCTCTTAGAGGTTTTTCACCTGGCCCAAATTCATTAGCTTTAATAAGTTCAAGGATTTGTGTTACTTCTTTAGCCATTTTAATTTCGCCTTTTTTAATTATAGTTTGACATCTTTCGATTATTTCTTCGAGTTTAACTTCGGATATTTCTGCAAATTCTCTCACGACTTTTTCAATATCTGTTTTGGCAATTTGGTCCTTTGGTATTATCTTTTCCAAATCTTTAATGGTTTCTTCGAGTTGAACTTGTTCAGAGTATGTAGGTTCCAATGGCGAAAGAAGCTCTGTCGCCTTTTCTTCAGGCACCTCAGGGATAGGCTTATCAACTTTCTTCGACGATGCAACAGATTCAACTTGCACTGGTTCTTTAATGTCCAGTTTTGGTTTAATTTTCTCTTTTTTAACAGTTGTCTCGCTTATTTCCTCAGTAGTTTCGGTCGGTTGTTCTTCAATAGTAATTGATCCGCCGCGTTTCTTTCTTCTTTCTTCGCGCTTCTTTTCCATTTTTATTTTTTCTTGTCTTATCGTTTCTTCTTTTTCTTTTGTTACTCTTTCTAGAATTGACTTTCTCTTTGATTCTGGTATTTCCTGTACGTAAAGTTTTCCTTTTGTGGTTGCAAACCCAATATCACTTACTGCCTTGCAAACGTAAGTGCCCACATGTTCGGTATCAACTTCCGAAATCGTACATGTTGATTTGTTGTCTTCTATGCGTATTTTCAATTTATCAGTATTTCTAACGATTTTATCATTATGATACCATATAATATCTAAAATTCAAAAACATTCGTTATAATTTTTCTTTTAAAACCAATTTTATAATTTACCTGGCTGGGGCGTTCCAGAAAATAGACATTCGAACTTAATTGTTTCAGCTTGAGTTGTTCTTATATCGGTCATTTCTTGAACAAATGTTGGAGCACTTTGTGCAGCTATAAAACAATTAATATAAACTTTGTGCAAAGGAATTTTAAATGGAAACTCATTCCTTGCAAAATATATCAAAAACTTAAATTATTAAACAAGATGCAGTAGATTAACATACAATACGGTTTATAAATAAACAGGCATTTTTTATAATAAAAAATGGGTAAACGGTTATCATAGGGCTTAATAGATCTTGCAAGAAATACATTCCAATATTTCTGGGATATTTAAAAATTATTTTATTTTAATTTTTTTTCAGTTAGGATGAATTTTGGAATTTACCTGGATTTGGAAAACGTTCTGCCTGGCCATGCTCATGGAAAATTTATTGGTCTGTTTAAAGCACAAATAAAAACATTCATTAGTAAGCAACACACTAAAAAGGGTTAGGTTACCTTTGCTTAATGATGTATTGGAATTAAACTCGGCATTTTCAGAAAGAAAAGCAGTCGCAAGGCCTCGACCTCTGTTGTCACTGATACATTCGCTTTCAAGTAACAAAAATTCTTGCAACTCTTCTTGACTGTCAGCGGTATGTAATTGAAAAAAAGCACTTGGATCAAGCTCCCGAGGTTCTAGAGGAAACATGGCATTATCATTATAGTACGTCTGATAACTTATTTTAGCTTTGGATGGAGATTCGTTTTTTACTCTCGGAAAAGTTTGACATTTGTCAGGTAAGTATTCTTTTTCCACAACTTTACTTGGAATAGAGGTGCAAGAACTGGAGTATTTGGTTAAAGTTACTTCGGGTACTATTTTCTTTTTGTCTGATCCATTGCTTCCTCTAAAGCTGCTGCTTCTAGTTGATGGTTCGCTTTTTTCTTCGATGGGAGATAAAATGTAAAAAGGTTCTATGCATTCAGTAGATTCACTTTCTTCATAAATTTGAACATCGTCGTCAGAAATTAGAAATTCGTGTTTTTTGTAATCGTTATCCAAATCATAATTTACTTCATCAAAACTCTCATATTTGGAAGATAATTTGTTTCTTTCGCTTAAGTCGATTAGTTCCATTACAGAACTAAGCGAATGTCTGTGTGAATTAAGATAGTTAGTCATGGCTGATTGTATAAATTCCACTTTGTCCTTTGAATGATTTGTTGGCTCACTTTGAATAGATACATTTGAAAGGGTGGAAGATTCCTGAATTTGGACATCTTGGCTTATGTAAAACGGTGTTTTGTCTTCTTCGATCGACGAAACAGAATTTATAAATACCTTACCTTCAGATTTATTATTTTTAAAATTTAAAGTTTCTAAGCTATCACACGAATAAGCATGCGGCAGTGAACATTCCTCTTTTGAATTACCTTTTAGCGCAACTTGTAATTCTTCCATATGGGTCACCCATTCAGGTTTTCTATATTCCTTTGTACCCAAAATTCCTAAAAATATAAATATACATTTATTAATATATTAGAATTAAGTAATCTATGGCAACGTATAAAGAAATATTTGTTTGAGTGTTGTAAAATTGTATAGTAATATTTATATAATAAATGTTAAAATTGCAATAAGGATAGAACGGGATAATTACAAAGCTAGCTGAAATAAAAATTATTAATTTTTTATTAAGTATTAAAATAAAATTTGTGATATTACCTTCTGCAGTTTCAACTATCAGTTGTGTTGTAGTTACTGCTACTCCAAGTGGGTTTTGTGCTTCGTATACTATATCTCCGGTGTCATCAGGATAAACTTCTGAAATAGTTAAAACCGATGTTCCATCCTCATAATTTTCTATAAGGAACTCATTGGAAGGAATAATCTCTTCCCCATGTTTAAGCCATTTTCCAGACGGTTTTGGTTTTCCAATGGCTTGGACTTCCAATCTGAAAATATAAATATATAAATTATAATATTTTTTTATTATTTCCTAATTGCAGTTGTTTACCTTGTAACATCTCCATTTTTAGTATTAATTATTTGAGGAAGTTTTTTTGTTATTTTAGGTACAGATTCAAATTCAGTATCTGACAATATATCCAAAGTATCATCTTCAGTTATAGTCTAAAAACAATAAATATGTATAATTTATTTTGTGTTTTAATTATTTTATATTACCTTATCAGCTAATAAGTCTTCTTCAGATCCAGTCATGTGACCTAATTCTGAATCGGGAACATATTCGTAAGCTTCAACAATTAGAGATGATTTACAAATAGATTCACCAATTTTATTAACTGCCCTACAAGTATATTCTCCTGCGTTTTCTGGAAATACTTCAGATATTGCCAAGCTGCAAACTCCTTCCGAGTCTTGATAAATTACGACATCTTTAGCTTCATTTACAGGAGTATCATTGTGATACCACTGAACATTAGGAATTGGTTTACCGACAACCACGCAACTAAATGTAACTTTTTCTCCATCCATTACCCTGACAGGAGATAACCTTCTAACAAACCTTGGATATTCAAGTTCTCTTGTTTCCTCCCATTCAGTTTCCTCTATAACTTCCAAAGTTGATGTACAGGTAACTGAACCGACTGCATTTTCAGCCCTTACAGTTATAAGCCCCGTAAATTCAGGTGTTACTTCTTTTATAAGTAAAACTGATTTATTTGCTATTGATACAACCCTTACATCAGGAGAAGAAGTAATGGGTAAAGACTGACAGTACCATTCAAAGGTTGCCGTGGGATAAGACTCTACTGTTGCTTCTAAGATAACATTATCACCCACAGCTACAATTTGTGGTTTAATTGGCTCTATAAACCTTGGAGGTTGAGCTTCCGTGGTTTCTTCAGAAATTACTACCGTTCCTGAAGAGCGAGCTTCGCCCTTGGGATTTTTAACGACAATTTCATATTTTCCTGATTTTTGTTTTGATTTGGTTTTCTTTTTGATTTTCAAGACACTCTTTTTGTCCTTAACTGTAATATCATAATTATCTTTGTCTAAAGGCTTTCCATTTCTTAGCCATGTTATTTCTGGTGTTGGAACACCTTCATAATCAGCTTCAAGTACAATATCTTCATTAGATTTGGCTATAGTCGCTTTAACAGGTTTGGAAATGTAAGGCGCCTGCATTACAATAGGCTGCGTCACTACAACCGATTTGGAAATGACAAGATTTGCACGGCATTCAGCCTTGCCAAATTTATTATCAGCCTTAACTTTAAATATTGTTTCGTCTTCAGCTGTTGGTTCCAATATTTCGAGGGTTGCTAATCCTGTTTCTGAATTATAACTTAATTTACGTGTTGCTGTGGATATAATTTCTTTGTCATCCTTATACCATTTTACATTGGGAGTAGGTGATCCAACAACTGTACATTCCAATATTGCTTTTGATTTTTCCTCTACTATTTTTGGCTTTAATGGTACGATAAAACGAGGAGCATCTCCAGTTTCCTCTTTTTCTGAAAAAATAAATTGTTTTAGTAACGAAACATATTATAATTTTATGTTACACAAAACCACGTATATATTACATAAAAATAGCCGCATGTTTATAATAAAGCATGTTATGCAAAATGAATAACTCCTAAACCGTTATCAGGCAAAAAACAAAATATTTTGTATCACATCAATAGGTACCTAATATAACAATATTTGCTGTTGAAGTTGCTACTCCTGCTGAGTTGGTGGCTCTGCAAGAATATATAGCGACGTCTTGTGGTTCTACCTTGGAAAATTCTAATGTAACTACATCTTCAACAATATTAATTGTAACCCTTTCAGTTGCATGGAAAATCTTTTCATTTTTGTACCATGTAATTTCTGGGAATGGATTTCCCGTAACTTTACAAATTAGTTTAGTGGGCTTATCTTTTTCTACGGCAACAGGCTCAACACGCTGGGTAAATTTCGGAGCAACTGTTTTTTTGATTACTCTTTCTCCTATTGTCTTTTGTACAATTGATTTTCTTACTATTTTATTTTCATCAAGTTCAATATCTTCTGTAACATTTTCGTCGGGTACCTTATCACTTATCTCAGTCAACCTTTTTTCTGAAATTATTTCCAATTCCGGTAACGGCTGATTCTCATTGAATGGTGCAGGTCGGGTTTGTTTAGTGGGTACTTTTTTGGAGCTAAATTTAACATCGGTTTCTTTAGTATATTCTTCAATATTTTCTTCAACTGGTTGCTCTTCTGGTTTAGACACAATTTTTGTTGTCTTCTTTTTCTTTTCTTTCATTGTAAATTGTGAAACTACCTCAGGTTGTTCAGATACCTCAACAATTGTATCTTTAACCTGAGTTGGTACAAGTTTGGGTTTCTCTTCTTCAAAGCTAGTTGAAGTCTCTTCTTCAAAGACAGGGGTAGTATCTTCTGCTTTCACCTCTTCAGGAGTTTTTACTGGTTTCTTTCCTCTTCTCCAAGATTTTGTTTTAGCTTGTTCTTCTGGTTTAGTATCTTCTGGTATTTTTAATTTTATAGTGTCGTCAAAATCGTTTACTGGGACTTCGTAGGGAATTTCAGATTTAACTTCCTCGATTACTACCTTTTCCACAGGTCCTTCTTCCTTTTCTTTCTTGATTGGTTTTAGAGCAATTGTATCCTTTTCTGGTTCTTCTTTGGGTTTTCTTTTACCTTTAGGCCAATCCTTTTCAAGAGGAGTTTCCTCAGTTTTGGGTTTTGGGGTGCGTCTCCATGGTGTTTTAACTTCTGGTACGAGTTCTTCCTCCTTAGGTTCCTTATCAGGAATAATTTCTTCTTTCGGTTCTTCGACCTTGGGTTTCTTCATTTCTTTTTCTTTTTTTGGAGAAAAGTCTGGTTTTTCAAATTCTTTGGGTTTAAATTCTCCATCTTCCAATTTTATTGGCTTAGATTTTTCAATATGTTCAATAGTTTCTGGTTTATCTTTTTTAACTGGCTTAAGCTTAATTTTTTCTGGTGTTTCTTCTTCTTGTGGTACTTTTCCTTTTCCTATTTTAATCCTAGGTTTTTCTTCCTCGGGTACTTCAGGCTTTTTCTTAGATTCACGACGCCATGGAGTACCAGGTTTGTCCTCAATTTCTTTTGGTTTCTCTTCAATTTCAATTTTTTCAGCGACTTCAGGTACATATTCGTCTGCATCCTCTATATCAGGTATATCTATATCTTTTCTGCGCTTAATCTTTTTATCCCTTCTTAACTCAATAACTTTAGCTTCCTGAGATTCATCAGGGATTTGTTTAAGAGTAACTGTTTCAAATCCTTCCTGCGCTTCAGGCTTTTTACCTTTTGGTGTTGGTTTAAGTTTTATTTTGTCAAATGAAATTTCCTCTAACTCTTCTTTTACCATCAATTTTGGTTTAATTTGCTTGGGAGCTTTTGGAGAAATGTCTTCTTCCAATGGCTTTAGAACTATGGTATCTTCTACTTCTGTAACTGTTTCTACAATAACAGATTCTGGAGTCTCAGTTATTTCACCAACTGGTTGAGAATCAGATACTTCATCTTTTTCTTTTACAATTTCATCTTCCTTCTTTGCGTGTTTTTCCTTTTTAATTTTCTTTGTCTTTTCTTTTTGTGTTTGGCCAATTTCGACGACTTCTGACTCAAGGGGCGTGACTTCTTCAATAGTAATTTTTTTAACTGGTTTTAAATCTACTGTTTCTATTTCTGCAGATTCAGGTTGCTTAGGAACTTTAGTTGTCTTTTTGAGTGTTATGGCTTCTTGAGTCCAAGGAACAATAGTTTCTGATAGTCTCCTTTCAGAACCAAGGTCAATGGTTTTAGTTTCTTCTGGTTGCTTTGGTACCTTAGGGGTTCTCTTAAGAGTAATTGCTTCTTCAGTCCACGGAACAGATGGTCTTCTTACTTGTTCTGCTGGTTCTTGTATGGGTTTATCTTTTCTTGGCCTTCTCCACGACTTTTCTTCCACTATATGCTGTTCATTAATATCAATTGATTTGGGTTTATCCTCAGTTACAATAACATCTTCAGGTTTTTTTGTTTCTTTTGATTTACGCCAAGTTTTTGGCTTCTCTTCAGTTACATCTTTAATTTCAGTTAATTGTATTAATTCAGTATCATCTTCTTCAGGTTTCTTTACCTCTTCAGGTTTAACCGAATCAATTGATTCAGGTTTATCCTCAGATACAATAACTTCTTCTGGTTTTATTGTCTCTTTTGGTTTACGCCAAGTTTTTGGCTTCTCTTTAGTTACATCTTCAATTTCAGTTAATTGTATGAATTCAGTATCATCTGTATGTTGCTTCAGAGTTTCGTCCATTATTGTTTCTTCTTCTTGAGTTTTACTTAAACGTTTAGTTGATTTTAATTCAACTTGTTCAATATTTTCTTTAATAGCTTCCTTTCTATGTTTTTCAGTTTTCTTAAGTTGTATTTCTTGTTTGTTCCATGGAATGGGTTCCGCTGGTTTAGCTAATTCTTCTATAGGTTTCTTTACCTCTTCAGGTTTAACCGAATCAATTGATTTAGGTTTATCCTCAGTAACAATAACTTCTTCTGGTTTTTTTGTCTCTTTTGGTTTACGCCAAGTTTGTGGCTTTTCTTCAGGTTTAACTGAATCAATTAATTCAGGTTTATCCTCAGTTACAATAACTTCTTCTGGTTTTTTTGTCTCTTTTGGTTTACGCCAAGTTTTTGGCTTCTCTTCAGTTACATCTTCAATTTCAGTTAATTGTATGAATTCAATATCATCTGTATGTTGCTTGAGAGTTTCGTCCTTTACTGTTTCTTCTTCTTGAGTTTTACTTAAACGTTTAGTTGATTTTAATTCAACTTGTTCAATATTTTCTTTAATAGCTTCCTTTCTATGTTTTTCAGTTTTCTTAAGTTGTATTTCTTGTTTGTTCCATGGAATGGGTTCCGCTGGTTTAGCTAATTCTTCTTTAGGTTTCTTTACCTCTTCAGGTTTAACCGAATCAATTGATTTAGGTTTATCCTCAGTTACAATAACTTCTTCTGGTTTTTTTGTCTCTTTTGGTTTACGCCAAGTTTGTGGCTTTTCTTCAGGTTTAACTGAATCAATTAATTCAGGTTTATCCTCAGTTACAATAACTTCTTCTGGTTTTTTTGTCTCTTTTGGTTTACGCCAAGTTTTTGGCTTCTCTTCAGTTACATCTTCAATTTCAGTTAATTGTATGAATTCAGTATCATCTTTATGTTGCTTGAGAGTTTCGTCCTTTACTGTTTCTTCTTCTTGTGTTTTACTTAAACGTTTAGTTGATTTTAATTCAACTTGTTCATTATTTTCTTTAATAGCTTCCTTTCTATGTTTTTCAGTTTTCTTAAGTTGTATTTCTTGTTTGTTCCATGGAATGGGTTCCGCTGGTTTAGCTAATTCTTCTTTAGGTTTCTTTACCTCTTCAGGTTTAACCGAATCAATTGATTTAGGTTTATCCTCAGGTACAATAACTTCTTCTGGTTTTCTTGTCTCTTTTGGTTTACGCCAAGTTTTTGGCTTCTCTTCAGTTACATCTTCAATTTCAGTTAATTGTATGAATTCAGTATCATCTGTATGTTGTTTGAGAGTTTCGTCCATTATTGTTTTTTCTTCTTGAGTTTTACTTAAACGCCTAGTTGATTTTAATTCAACTTGTTCAATATTTTCTTTAATGGCTTCCTTTCTATGTTTTTCAGTTTTCTTAAGTTGTATTTCTTGTTTGTTCCATGGAATGGGTTCCGCTGGTTTAGCTAATTCTTCTTTAGGTTTCTTTACCTCTTCAGGTTTAACCGAATCAATTGATTTAGGTTTATCCTCAGGTACAATAACTTCTTCTGGTTTTTTTGTCTCTTTTGGTTTACGCCAAGTTTTTGGCTTCTCTTCAGTTACATCTTCAATTTCAGTTAATTGTATGAATTCAGTATCTGTATGTTGCTTGAGAGTTTCGTCCATTATTGTTTTTTCTTCTTGAGTTTTACTTAAACGCCTAGTTGATTTTAATTCAACTTGTTCAACATTTTCCTTAACAACTTCCTTTCGCTGCCTTTCAGATTTCTTAAGTTTTATTTCCTGTTTGTTCCATGGAACAGGCTCCACGGGTTTAATAAATTCTTCTTCAGGTTTTTTAATTAGTTCTGGTTTAATAGATTCTTTATCCGGTTTTCGTATATCTTCTGCTTGTGTTAACTCTTCTTTTGGTTTACGAGCTTCCCGCCAATCTTTTTGTTCTTCTTTGGTATCTTCAGATATAAGTTTATTATCTTCAATACTTTGTTTTTGTGATTTGGGTTTCAAACGAACTTCTTCGATTGTTTCCTTTTCAATATTTTTTACTTCTCTTTGGGTCTTTTTAAGAATAATTTCCTGCTTATTCCAGGGAACAGGTTCATCTTTTTTAGGTGTTTGTTCCTCAGGTGCTTTAATTTCATCTTCTGTCTTTTTAGGCTTTCGCCAGCCCTTTGATTCCAGAGTTTCTTTAACATCAACTGTTTCCTTTTCGTTTAATTGCATTAAAGTTTTATCTTCCAAAAATGTAACAGTTTCTGGTGTTTTTGTGATGTCATTTGGTTTTTTATCTTGTTTTCTGGGCCTACGCCAATCTCTACTTTCTAAGGTATCTTGAATTTCAGTGGTTTCTTTTTCACCTTCTTTTATTATTGATTTATCCTCAAGATGTCTTTTTGGTTGTTCAGGTCCTTTTGTCAATTTTTTTGGTGTTTCTTCAGGTTTTTTGGGTTTACGCCATTCTTTGGATTCTAAAGTTTCCTTTGTATCAGTTTTTTCTTTTTCAGTTAATTTAATAAACTCTGAGTCTTCCGTATGCTTTTTTTGGTCAAGGTGTTCATCCTTTTTTAGTCTACGCCAGTCCTTTGAAACTAAATTTTCTTGAGTTTTACTAGTTTCCTTTTCATCTAGTTTTAATATACTTGAGTCCTCCATATGTAATTTTCTATCTAGTTCCCCTTTTTGTTTTTGTCCTCTCCAATCTTTAACCTTAAGTTTTTCAGATTGTTCAACTTGCTCCTTCTCTGAAAGAGTAAGAAATGCAGAATCTTCTATACCTGTTATTTTACTAATTGAAGTATGTGTTGTTTTACTACGGTCTGTTACATCTTGTAAATTTATATTTTCTAAAGTTTCAGTTTCAGTTAAGGATTTTTTAGCGACATGTCTTAAATCGACCTCTTCTAGTTTTTCCTTTTCAATTTCTCTTTTCTCAATTTGAGTTTTCTTTAGTGTAATTTTTTCTTCTGTCCATGGTTGAGCCTGCTGAGATTTTACGCCGTGTTCAGTAATTTTTTGTTTGTCAACTGATCCTTTCCTCCAAGTTACTTTTATTGATTTTCTCCAAGGTAGTGATTCATCGCCCACAGGCAACTCATTTTCTTCTAAAATTTGGCCTCCGCCCTTAGATCCATCGAGCGATGTTAAGGATTTGGTTCCAGGACCTCCGGGTCCCTGGCCAATTTGTTGCTTGGTAAATTTTTGATTTTTATCTGTGCTAGATGTGTCGGTTTTTGATGACTTACGATATGTTTCCGGTCGTCCTAAAATTATTATTATTATAACCTAAATACACAGCTAAATTACTAATTTATAAATCTTTATTATAAGGGTCGTTTTCAAAAAACACCCGCCTTCCGCTGTCCGTAAGTTTGAATTCCAATAACTTGGTTAAATATTATCGGATCTTATTGATTTAATAACCAAGTGAAAGCCTAACAAGCCCTTAGTAATCTCTTTCAGAAAATTTTTGTTTAGTTATTTCAGAATAATTTTTTTTAATTTTGAATTTGTGAAACACACATTTTTGCATGTACCATTAGCGTTTTATAAAACTTACATACATGTTTTTTTTAAATATTGAATAACCAGAACTTTGTGTTGCTTTATAGCAATCCATAACATCCTTAGTTAATACAGTAAACAATTTATATATAATATAAGAAAAAATTGAACCGACACCACGCCAAAGATTTTTGTTTTGAATGCGTTCCACCAACTTCGCATTCAAAACAAAAATCTTTGGCGAGGTGTCGGTTCAATTTTTTCTTATGAATATTACCAGTGATGGGTCAAGAAAGTTTCTTAAAGAAACTAAGAAAATTGAATGTTTATATATAATATATATATATATATAAAATAATTAATTTTAATCTACTTTTTAAATTTGACTTTGTCCCAGACATTTTTTCCGTTGCGTTACGTCCGTCGCGTTACCGATAGAATATTAAAAAAAACATATATATGGCAACTTTTTTGGCACTCACGTGATCAACAAATGATGTTCGGACGTACACATTACCCAGCTGAATTTATTTATTCAATCAGGAAGAAGATATCGGTTGAAACAGGTGCGGATAACGCGAATGTAATAATTGTTTGTCCGCTAAGTTACTCAAAAAAATAATAAAAATAAGGTAAGAAAAAATACTATTTTTCATGTTTATGTTTATTTTAGGGCACTAAAGCTCATTGAGAGTAATTAATGACTGTAATGTCTTATTATTATTTTTTAAATATGGTTTCACAAAACTTTTTCCACTGCGTTACCGAGTCCATTATGTTACCTTATGGTAACGCAATGGAATTTAGGGTAACGCAATAGAATTTTTCAACAACAAAGGGTATATTTACCGTCGCTTTTATTAAAAGTAGTTTATGATAAACCAATTTAAAATTATTTGTGATTACAACTCATGATATAGATTACATCCAAGGGAAAATTCCACGCAAGATACATGTACTAAAAGGGACCTTCACCAGCTTATAGTCAAAGAAAAAGGGTGTCTACAATTTAGAAATTGAAGTTGTTATTCTGCAAGTGAGCACCACTACAAGGGATTTTGTTTATGCATTACTCTAAAATCGTATACGATTTTAGAGGTATACCACCCTTTATAGTTTATTTTTTACGTTATCTGATTAAGTCCTTTGTGTACCCCAGTCCGTTGTGATACCAATATCTATTTCGTTACTTTTTTTTGTTAAAAAAATACTTAAAATGATTTTTATACACTAAAAGAAAATATTAATGGTATTGTTTTTTTAACAAAGAATCGGAATGGTTTCTTTTAAAAAGTAACTTAACGAACATACATATTTAAAAAGCATACAATTTTTAATAAAAAATAAAATAAAAAATTGGGACTCAAAAGTTTTTGAACTAACTACATTTTATTTCAACTTTTTTTATTGAATTAAATTTTGGATTTCAAATTGGTAACACAGTGGAGATATATAAAGCTAGCTAAACACATTTTTCTAAAAAAAAAACGTAAAAAAATTAAAAAGTGCACTGAATGAAATATAAGTAAACAAAACTCTAAACATTTATAAAAATCCAACCAAAAGTCAATTTAAGCAACAAAAATTTTTTGATCTTCCATAACCAGCTAAATAACTAATTAATAAGTATTTATTTTTAAAAGATAATATAATATTGTTGTATCCAAGTTTTATTAACAAATATATTGTATCCTTGTAACATATAATATTAATTCAGGTAAATTTTATATATAAATATTGCATTAAGTCTTTAACATTGGCTTACTTAAATTTGGAATTGTTCCAATTTTATTGAATTGCATAAAATTAATGTTTTTTTAACATTTATCATATTTAAGAAGCAGCATGTTTCAAATAAATTTATCTTTTTACATAGGTCAACTTTATAAAATAACCAAAATATATTAATTGTCTTAAGATTATTACTATTTAAAAACAGGAAAACAGAAAGTTAATTAGTGCGTATTTATAAAAATAGGTTTACGCATCTTGGGAATCGGCCAACTATTTTATGTTAATTTAAGTATTTGCAAAATAATGACATTGGTTTTGGCAGTGGTGATCTTTACTCTTACTCTTATAATATAAAAAATATATAATATATTTATTTTTCAAATTTATAGATGGATTTAAACGGTATGCCAAACATCCAGATGGTTTAATTTATTTATTTGTATATTTGATGTTGGCTCGAAAAAATTGTTGAACAATATTTATAAATATATTATAAAAATATAACTTCTTGTGGACACGTCTAATATTTTATTTATACACATTGTATTTTGATCTCCATACTATATTTTTATTTATTTTTTTCACCGATCCTAAGCAAAAATAAGTTTTTTAATTGCAATTTATCTGCAGAAGAATTTGCCATTGCCATTATTCTTCATCAAGAAGGTAGAAACCACGTTTACATTGCTTAACGTCTAAATGAGACACAGTTCACAATTAGCCGAGACCACAACGGTTTAATCAACAGATAGTAACGCTAGATCACCAGGACAGGGTCGCAAAATGATAACTACACCTATTCAGGATCGGTTTTTGAAAACAGAAGCACTAAGACAAAGATTTGTAACGAGTACGACAAAAATGACTTGTCTATGTCCATAATGTCAGAATCAGTCAAGATACCATAACCGGAAATTAGGAGAAGCAAATTTGACATATGATATATAAGCTCTAGATTACCCTCATTTAGAAAAAGCTGATTAAGGGCGAGTGCTCTTTTCAGCTTAGTCTAGATTGAGGGTTTACAGACGGCTGTCATTGCTAATTCGGCAAAATCTAGACTCATCTGTAAAGAGAACTCGCCTCCAATCGGCTTCTCTCCAGTAAAGGTGATCACAAACATATTCATTTTTGATAGTATGCAGCTAACAAAGGTCCTGTGGCGGGTTTGTGAGCCATCAAATTTCTTGGAATGTCTTGTAATATCTGCCTTATGGTATCTGGCTTATTATTATATTATTTATCTAAGTACTTCTGGTCTTAAAAACCGATCTTAAATAGGTGTAGTTATCCTTGTGTGACCCTCTCCTTATGTTAAAGCGTTACCCTAAACACGGGTGGCTTTGCACCCCGCGGTTGACTTTAACCTTTTTATGAAAAATCTTTTCGCGCTCGATAAAATTAACATTTATAATTTGTTGGTCTAAACCTGTCAATTGAGCGATTCTATTGAGTTTATATTACAGGAAAATCAGTGTTTTAAAGAAATAAATGGGATTTATTACACATTAAAATTGTTCATATTGCATCAGTGCAGAACTAGAAATACACGCGTTACAATTTCTATATTAGGCCCAATCCTTTGGAATGATTAAATACAGGTCGATTTTTTATTTTTTTTATCGGTAATCCCGTTGCTAACATGTGTCTAATGAAAATAAAATAAAATATTGAGTGAATTTTATACGGAAAATACACTGTGAGACAAAGTTACCCGCAACCAGGGGGTAACTTTGCACACCCAGTTTTTAATTTTTATTTTTGAAACTCAGCCCTAGGTAATATTATAACATAGGTTAAAAGAGCAACTCAAGACTCAAATTTTGGTATACAATATTTAATGTATATAATTGTTAAAACCACAAAAATTTTAAGCTTAAGTTTGAAAGTGAGCTAAAGCCAACCGTGTTTACGGTACTAAATGTTTGATTTCAGCATTACTAACTTCACTCGACTTTGTTTTTACCTTCTTGAATTAGTTTTTGTTTTTGGTTAGAATAGGTAAAAAATCAAATGAAAATACCATAATTTCGTTTCTTTAGTAATTCATCGAAAAAAACCCAACGGTTTTATCTAATTTTGTGAAGAAAAATTCTAAAGAATTGGTTGCGTAAGTAAGGTTTTATAAAAATATTTTAGATCTAAAATATTTCAGTTTTAAAAATTATTCGTTAATTTTTTTTTAATTCCCACTTATTTCAAATCAAAATAAATAATTAAAAAATATGGTATTATTCTTTGCAATTACATGTATAATTTTAAAGTTTCAAACAATAATACACTATTGGCGTAGAAATGTTATAAAAATATTATTTGAGTCATACTAATTAAATTCGGTTCTCGAAAACACTACCTGCTAATTGTTTATAAATACTGCTAACGTCTGCCGGGGTGACCCCCGCCAAGCCTATTAAAATCAACAATGATGATTAAGCCTGTTTAATAATATATTTGAGTGCATGTGTAAGATCAACGCGTTGGTACAAGAACTATTTCGGCATTCTCGACGCACGCTATTTTTAACAGGTGAATCACGTCACATAACAATGAGATCGGATGGACACACGCATTGCGTGAGATTTTTTCTAGAGGTGTGCTAGCAAACCCCACCACAAGATTAATCTCTGCATAGGAAAGGCCCACTCTGCGCGTTCTCATTACTCAAAAAACTTGCAGTTGGTGAACTGGCGGGACAGTGTGCAAACGTGTTTCAGTGTTTGTGTCGTGTTTTTGTGTTCCAAGTGAAGTTTGCTTATAACATGCCGGCTACAATTAACATTGCGATTGTTCATTGTAGCCGGCAATGGTTGAACCCTTTTTAGGGTCCGTTTAGTTGATTTTATTTGTTAAAGTCCCAAGCTTCAAGTTTTTCTAGAATGTTAAAGTGATCGGAGCTGGTTCTTATTTTAATTTTTGTTTATACTTATAAGGATAGTTTAAGCTGTTTATGTATGTATTTTTAATAAAAATTGTAATGTAATTGTATAAAGGTGACTTATTTGTAAAAATTGTTTAGGTGCAAAACGTTTGGATTTGTTCCAAACCATTTCAGACTATGTATAAATCCACTGACTCAACTCTATCACTTTGATGTCACTTTTTATAATAATGGTACTATAAACTCTACGTTTTTTGGCAATAGTATTGACTATTAATAAATAATTATAACCTTCGATTTTAGTCACATATTTTTAGAAATAATTGTTATGTTAATAAACTTTACCTCTATAAATGTTTGTTTTATTTCGATTTTCGGTTAGTAAAAGTCACATCTGGCAAGGTGTAAAGAGTTCAGAGAGGTCTCCAAATTTAGATTGGTAATGCTATACACACATAAGTTTAAAATAGTTTGGCATGTGTCATATTGCACACGGACCCAACCTCGTTAATATTCCTTTAAAATAAGATTTTCTGAAGTTTGCATGTGGAGCATAGAAATATATTCTGAGATAATTATGGCAGAAGCCATACGTTTATTTATATGCTTGTAGCAGGTGTAGAATTCGTATACACGCAGGTGCATTTTATATTCTATTTATCATTATTTTTGGGTTCATTTGTTTAAAAATACATCTTTCAAAAAATTTCTGCGAAAAATTGCAGTTTCTTAAAAATTCAGGTGTATAAAATATACTTGAAACTCAGGTATTCATAATAACAGCATTTTATTAAATAAATTATTGCATGTTCAATACATTTTTTTCTATGACAAATATAATAAATAAACAAAAGCCAGCATTTAGCAAATTAGTGCCAAAGCTGTATTCACTCCTAAAAATATCACTTGGAACTTTAACAAATAAGACTTTAAATCCACCACCAATAAACTAAATCTAAGGGCTGCAGTTTTCAGAACCACTCTATCAAGTGACTGAATGTTAAGAATTTGTATAAAATAGTGCAATGCAAATTAAAACTACAATTATTAGACTAGAATAAATAAATAAATAAATAATGTAATAAAAATTTTAAGGGGCGACCAAATTACCACCCCGTCGCAGTTTGTACACAAAAATAAATATGGAAGTGGGTTTATTTCTTACTTTTAACGATCAATTTTGCGGATTGCTCTACTTGACCAGCCGATGAAGTTGCCCTGCAGCTAAATGTTCCAGAATCTTCCTCATAGGTCGTTGAAATCATCAAGATGGCATTGTTGCCCTCTGTTATCATCTGAAGCAAAAAATATTGAAATAAAAAAGTTGTTTTGGTAAATAAATAAAAATGCTAAAGCTGAAGCCAAGTAAATAATAAAATTTCATTGACAGAATGCTCGGTGTTTATGTTTTCCCCTATAATACTAATAATGAAACATATAAGAACAATTATTTAAATAAATAAGTAATTAAAGTAATTTTAACATAGGTTTGTCATTATATTTTACAATTTTTTTTTGTTAAATAAAAGTTGCCCTTAGGCTTTTGTAAGGAGTACTATACACGGTGGTCAAAACTTAAGTATAGGACGAACAAAAATGCCAACCAAAACTGATAGCATATTTTGATTAAAGACCCTTTTGGTAACACTAACATGTATTTATCAAAATCCCAGCTGATCCTATTTTAAACTTTTGCAAACTTTTTTGTTTTTCTATTTCTATATATTATTTTGCAATTATTGTACTAAAACTACCTTTACAATTTTAATAAAATTAAGCATTTAAATTACTTTACTCCCCAGTATTAATTTATTGAGTTACCTATTATTTTTTACCACTCAAAACATAACAAAAAAAAAAGAAGATTTATATCTTAAATATTTTTTATAACAAAAAATACTGGAAGTATGAAATAATTACAACTCGCAAATTTTGTAAAACAATAATTAAGGTGGTTATGAAAAAAAATTGCTATACGTAACACAAGTGACATTTTGCTTTAGTTGTTTATTTAATGTATACTTTATAAAGTTAAAAATAGTATTTTTAAATGAAAATTAAACCGAAATTCAAGTTAAGCCATGAAGAAAATCGAAAGAAGGTATGTGCTGGCTGAGGAGACAAAATTGTTTTTGGTAATCGAAAAATTCAGAGTTTAGGGTTTCTGAGAAAATAATAAAAATTACTGCAGACTTTTTCAAACGAACACTTTAACTTAAGTGATTCAAAATTACCTACTTCAATATGGTAAAAACGGTATTTTTGCATAGTTACAATTGCCAAATTTTCTAAATTTATAAATTGCTAGAAAATTTCGCGGCAGCCAAGAATGTATGGCTTTATCTGCAAAATGGCAAGATATAAAGGGCATAAAACATTATTAAGGGAAGAGGACGGACGAACGAACTAAAGTTTTGATATGCTCTTTCTTTCTAGACGATATCGCTAGATGTAAGAAGCATGTTTGTACAGAGACTGAAGAATTTAAAAATAAGTTTTACTGAAAATTTAAGGCAAGCAGTAATCGATTTTGATTCAAAGAATCTTTTGTTATTTATTAGTTTTGTATTAGGTACCTTAAAACAATAAATAAGATATTGCAAACTGTATTTTACATTATTTTCTATTTATAATGTAATTTATCCATATTTCAGTCATGTATCTGCCAAATTTTTAAAAACATTTGATAATGGTACTTAATTTATCGAAATGGCATAAACAATTTTAAAATACTAAGAAATATGCATAACTTTAATAAAGGATCAGCTGGGATTTTGATAAATACATTTTTGTGTTACCAAAAGAGTCTATAATCAGATTATGCTATCAGTTTTGGTTGGCATTTTTGTTCGTCCTATACTTTAGTTTTGACCACCGTGTATAGTACTATAGGAAGCGTATTAAATTTGGTTAACTAGGGGGTGTTTTTTGGAAGTTTCAACTTTACACCTAGTGTGCTATGGTGAATATCTTAATAATCAATTTTAAGTTAAATATACCAGGAACTGCCTACAAAAGTATAATTTAAAAAAATAAAAATGGTACTGGTACATTTTACACCTGTCGAAAACATTTGATAATTCTTTAAAAATTAAAACCTGTTGAAGTAACGAAACTTATTTACCCAGAATTAAAAATTGACATTTTTTTATGGATTTTGATCGTAAGGAAATTGTGGGGTAATTTATATTATGATTGCGGGGTCCGGTGCAAGAAATTTATGAAGATACCTGGTTTTTTCACTGTACCCCTTAATTATAGTTATAATAGTTATTAGAGACCGGAATATGAAATAAGTAGATAAAGTACCTATATTAAAGAACTAATGTCATAAGACGTCATTTTGTAATGGACGAGTGCGACAAAAGGTCTTATGACATGAGTTCTTTATGCTTTTTTATCTATTTTGCAAAAATTCTATAAAAAAAATAATTTTATACCTTAAATTTAATTTGGTCGAATTTTACTTTAGATATTTGGTATCACAGTCATTGGTTTGACGGTTAATCTCAAAATCGATTCGCCATACCGTCCTTAATTAACTTATTTACAATAAGCGGCTGTTAATGTTAAAGAAGAATTTCATATTTATGGCCAGAAAAGTCTTGTAAGTACTAGAAAAGTCATAAAAATATTATAACCCATATGCAAAATATTATGCAAAATCAAAATTTTGGGTGGGATAAAGTATATTATTACAGCAACAAAAGCGGTGTTATAATGAAGTCATTATGAACGCAAAATATGTAAAATAGTTTTATAAATTGTAAATGCAAGTTTCACGTTCAGGGTATTAATTACTAGTTATTAGTGTACTTAAATTTAGGTAAGCACCTATAATGTCTAAAAAGTTCTGAAGCACGTGCCATTAATAAAACTATTAAATGACATTTATTAAAGTACAGTTAAGTTCATAGTTGTAGGGGAACATGTTAAACGATTTTGCCTTATGATTATTGTTTTGTTTTATTTAACACTAGGTGCCCAATAACAAAAACAGCTAATGATGTACTGTAAAAATAGTTAAAATAAACTATATTTTTGTAAAAATAGCTGAAATACTATCGGTCTCTAAAAATTATATTTCCCTTTAAAACGATTTAAATTAAATTAAATTATAAGTTACTAATGCATTATAAAAATAATATTTACTTTACATAGATATTTTGGAACCCATAAAAACAAAATGGTTTTGCAGGATGTTTAAATGAGTAAATAAGTTATACGTCAATCGTTGAAGACAAATTTAGTTTAGTGTTTTTATAAAACTTGTAAAAATATACAATTTTACAAACTTTAAAAACATTATTGTTTAGGTAAGTGTTATTATTACACTGTGCAACACAAAAAATGAACTGGGATCAAATCTGAAATAATCGAATCTAGGCAACCCCCAAAACAAATCCTTTAGGGGGTTTTACCAGTTTAGCTCGAATAATGGAGATATGCAGGGTGTTTCTTTTAACTTGAGACAGCTCAATATCTCGAGAAATACGCATTTCACGGAAAAATGTCTTAAATAAAAGGTTAATGTGACTAAAGGGGACATTATTTGGTGCTACCGCTAGCCACCCCCTACCCCTCCTTAAGGGTGAAACGGGGGGTAACTTTGGAAAGTCAAATGGAATGACCCGATTTTTTTCAGAGTTTGGTAGTACATAAAAAAATAAATAACTTTTATTTAAAACTTTTTTCAATTTATCAACAGATGGCGCTGTAATTGAAAATTTAAGAAAAATGAGTTTCCTTGTAAAATGTATTATTTGAAACGTTTGAAAAACAAAAATTAACATTAACAACAATAGTCAGGCTATGAAAACAATTTATAACAAATGTTCGAAATGTCGTCATTCGATTTCAACACATTTTTGAATGCGGGTAATGAATTCTGGCACACAACGCGCCAACATCTGGGCGGTATCGCCGCACAGGCGTTCCTGATCCGCTCCACCATGTCCTCCCAAGTTGTAGGAATTGCAGCGTAAACTTTTTCTTTCAAGTAACCCCACTGGAAGAAGTCTGGTGGCGTAAGATCAGGTGATCGAGCAGGCCAAATTACTGGACCAAGTCTACCGATCCACCGCGGTGCACCGGCCATTGAACTCACGATCCAACACCTCTCGAGCAATTGCCGAATAATGTGCAGGACAACCATCTTGCTGGTACCACATGTTTTGGAGCCGTGCTAGTGGTACATCCTCCAAAAGGTCCGTCAGATCGTTTTCTAGAAAATTCCGGTACTTTTCGCCATTTAATGCACCGTCAATAAAGAAGGGTCCGATTAATCGTTCGGGTACCGCACCAAACGTTTACCGACCAGGGACGCTGGTGCTCCACTTGGTGTCGAAATGGAAGGACGACATTTCGAGCATTTGTTATAAATTGTTTTCAGAGCCGACTATTGTTGATTTAATGTTAATTTTTGTTTTTCAAACGTTTCAAATAATACATTTTAAATTTTGAATTACAGCGCCATCTGTTGATAAATTGAAAAAAACTTTCAAATAAAAGTTATTCATTTTTTTATGTGCTACCAAACTCTGTGAAAAAAATCGGGTCATTCCATTTGACTTTCCAAAGTTACCCCCCGTTTCACCCTTAAGGAGGGGTAGAGGGTGGCTAGCGGTAGCACCAAATAATGTCCCCTTTGGTCAAATTAACCTTTTATTTAAGACATTTTTCCGTGAAATGCGTATTTCTCGAGATATTGAGCTGTCTCAAGTTAAAAGAAACACCCTGTATATCTCCATTATTTGAGTTAAACTAGCAAAGTCCCTTTAAAGATTAGTTTTGGGGGTTGCATAGATTCGATTTTTCCGCATTTCATCCCAGTTCAAATTGTAAGGTCAAAATTTGTCGCACAGTCACACAGTCACACATTCACACAGTCCAACAAAAATGAACTTTTAAAATACTTCTTGAGAATTATACTTAAATTATTTTAACCCGTAACTGGTGAGGTGGGGTTTCCCAAACCCCACTCATTCTAATAATCTTTACCGCGTATTAAATAATGGTGCGAGTCTCGCTACCCCCTGTGTAGCTTTCGATCAGTTGTCCGTCAGTACTACCGGTGTCAAAATTTTGTATTTTTGTACTACTTGGGGTTTGCGTAACCCCACCTCACCAGTTTTTTTAGTAGAGTTTACCAGAAATACGATTTTGTTAAAACTTTGTTCCTTTGTATGTTTTTTTAACCAATTTTAGAACTGTTTTTACTATATTGCAGTTGAGGAGGTGCATTCCAAAACTCGGCATATCCATATTAGTTGTTTTTGAGAAAAATGACAAAAACCTTACACGTGAGTACTAACGCATATCAGGCCAACACAATAATTTAAACGAAATATATAGTCATAAGTAAAACATTTATATACCTTGATTAAAAAAGTATACCTCCAATTTAAAATAATTTAAAATTACATACGTATATGCCGAGTTCTGCGTGATATAACCAATAGATAAGGCAAGTTTTGGAACGATAGTCAATTTGTAAATGCATTTTAAATGGAATAAGGTGAGTTTTAGAATATTATAAACTTTTCAGGGTGTTAAATGTACAGACACCACTAACTCATTTTTATTAAAAAGTGGATAAGCCGAGTTTTGGAATGGACCTCCTCAGTTTTTTTATTCTATATGTTCAGTTTGATTAGGTACTTATAGCAATTAAAAATAGGTTTTGAGGTAATTGTGTGGAGTCCCACAGTAAAATTAAATTATTGCTAATTGTTGTTTTTTATTTTTGTTAAAAGTATGTACCTACGCATTATAATCAAAGGTTACCCAAAATTAAATAGAATACGCGTTTTTTATTTTGATTTCGCAGAATCGCCGTTTTCATTTGGGGTTTGGTAAACTCCACCTCACCAGTTATCAAATTAAACAAATTAAGATTTTATTTAAATAAAAGTATTAAAATCCATTTACCTGAAAATCTGGTGATTCTGGAATAAGGAATCCTTCTCTTAACCATTGGATGGTGGGTTTAGTTTTTCCTGAAATAGTTGTTTTGAACTGGGCGGGGCTGCCTTCAGGTACAATAACGTCTTTCATGGGAGTCAATGAAGGAGCGACTTCCTGAGTTTCGGGAGCCAACACTTTAAGTTTTCCTTGCGCTGTGATTTTACCAGCAGGATTTTCAGCTAAGCATTTGTAAACACCTTCATCTTCAGGGAATGCTTCGGATATCCTTAAAGTGCAATAATCTCCATCTTTACTCATTTGGAAATATTTGGATGGTTTAATGACCTTGTCTCCTTTTTGCCATTTAATGGTTGGAGTGGGTTTTCCAACGATTTTGCACCTGAATGCAACAGCTTGACCTTCTCTAATCGTTTGGTCTTTAAGTGGCTCAACGAGAATTGGAGCTTTTTCCGCTCCAGGAGTGGTTGGTTTCGCCGGTTTGGATGGAGTTGACGGTTGTACAACTTGGCACTCAGCTTCGCAGCGAGCCTCGCCAGCGCTATTAATTGCAACGCATTCGTATTTACCAGTATCTTCAGGTACGATTTCAATAATTAGAAGGGTAAAAATTTCATCTTCTTCAAGAGTCTTGTATCTAATATCGGAAGTAATCTTCTTTCCGTTCTTTAGCCACATTACATCGATCGGTTTCGTGCCATTAATTCTGGCATCAAACCTTACCAATTGGCCTGCATTGGCAGTGGTGCTTTGGATGGTGGTAACGAAACTGGGAGGGATCAATCCAGAGCGTCCTAAACGTCTTCTCTCTTGTACAACCAAGTTGGCACTACATTTGGCAGTGCCTCCACGGTTTTCAGCAATTACGCTGAACACTCCAGAATCTTCCATGAAAACTTGTCGCATTTGCAAAATTGATTTTGTACTAAATGTATAAATCTTTAAATCAGGTGAACTGGTAATTGGGAAATCTTCCCTGAACCACGTGATCTTTGGGAGCGGATCTCCGTCGAATTCAACTTCGAATTTAGCAGAATCGTTCTCGAATGCTCTGCATGGCTTAATCTTTTTGGTGAAGAATGGTGGATTAGATGGAAGAACTTGTCCTTGGACAACACGTTCTTGAGTCTTGGCCTTGTGCTCTACATCTGTAGTTTCGGTCTCAGTTATATTTCTGGTAATTTCCAAATCTCCGCGTTGTTCTTTTTGAGTCTGTTTTTGCTTGGTCACGTGAATTTCACGGCCATGAACACCAGATTCAGTTGGATCTGGTGGATAAGCTCCCCTTTTTGAATCTATTTGTACGTCGCGTTGCACCTGAAGCTCCCGCCCTTTTTCAGTTTTTCTTAGCTGAACGTGATGTGGATGTTCTTCTGGGGCTTGTTCCCTGAAAAAATTATTTATTATTAATTTATAAGAAATATACTTTTAAGGATATATTACTCCTTAATTTTTTAATGATACTTACAAATTTTCTTGATATTTTTGAGCCATTCCCTTTGCCATAGAATTGTTTACAATTTTTTCGCCGGGAATAGCGAATTGATGACTAGATTCGCGAAGTTTAACTTCTTTGGTAACTTGTTGGTTTTCCAATTCTTGAATTTTATTATAATATTCTTGTCCTTTCTTGCTTTTGAGAGATTGTTGCCATTCTGTCTCAGGTACTGAGAATTCTTTAGATTGGACGTGTACTCCAGGTACTGTTAGTCCACCTTCCCGCAAAGCAGTGTTACGTTCGTCAAATACTTTTTCGAGTTCGGTTTCACTTCGCTCTTTTTGATACTGTGATAATTCGAGATCATACCAAGCTAATAAATATTAAACATATAAGTAAAATCAAACATTAAAATTTTGAATAACAAATACAACAAGAGACAATATACAATACACGTAATGCACAGGATTCGAAACATGCACTATACAATACAACGGAAAATAAAGAGCATACCTGACTCGTAATCCCTTGAGCGAAAGCATGAAAACATCCGTAGATAAGTGCTCCGAAGCAACAAGATGAAATGGAAATAGGGATCAGGGAATAAGGTAGGATAAGGCATAGTTTAATAATAATAGTGATTGTGCAAAATTGCGTTGCTTGTAGTTAATTGTGCATTGTGTATGGTATCTTAGTAAATGTAAATCTCTTATGTTTAGGTAGTATATGTGTAACTTACGTCTTGGCGAATTCTTAAGAACTCCTCTATAGTCATCGTGTCTAGGTATTATTTTTAGTTCGGTTTCAGCAATAGCTTCACCAACTGAACTGCGCGCGATTACTTCAATTTTGCCGGTATCATACTGGCGAGTCTTGGGTATGTCCATGTGGTACATTCCATCGTAGGTAAGCTTATATCTGGAACCACTGACTACAGTGTGACCGTTAATAAGCCACATGACACGTGGTTTTGGATGACCAGTAACACGACAGCAAAATCTGGCCCATTCACCCTCTTCTACTTGTACTGGTTCCGGTCTGCTAACAAAGGCTGGTGCAGATCTAGGTTTGGATTCTTCTGCAGCTTCTTCAGGTACCCTTTATTTAAAACAGAAATTAATAAAATGTTTATTTTGTAATTTAAATGTAAGCTTACGTTTGCCAGGCAGCTTCTAATTCGCGAATTCTTTCAATACTCTTCATACCCTTGGGCAATTGAGAATCATAAATGATTCCTGGTTTACCAGCGGTCTTAATTATAGCTCTTGTTTCATCCATGCCATACAAGTTTGTAGCACGGCATAAATATTCACCGCTGTCTTCAGGGTAAACCCAACCAAAGTTCATAGCGACATAACCAAAGTCATAGATAGGTGTAAATCTGTTTTCTGTAAGAAAAAATAATAAATACGTATTCTTAATTGATTTATTTTACAAAACTTACTATGTGGCAATGGTTTTCCATTCAAGAACCATTCAACTTTCATGTTTGGATCTCCAACTGGAGCTAATTGACACTCAAATTTGGTAACTTGCATTTCAACAAGTTCGGTTTGATCTTTAATTTGTGTGACAAATCTTGGTGGTTGTTTCTTCTCGATATCATAAAGATCATCTTCTGTGAGGTAAATTTCGGATGTGTATTTTTTAATAGCAGCCTCCATCTGCATAAGGGTTTCAGATCTCTTCATTCCTTTTGGTACTTGGTTTTGTAGGATAATGCTTGGTAATTTCTTGCACGATACACTTGCTTTAGTAAAGTCTTCGCCATGATCATTTACAGCTCTGCACACATATTCACCAGAATCTTCAGAGTATACGTACAAAATTGTTAGTGATACAAAGCCCATATCGTGTACGGTTTTGTAACGATGGCCTGAAGGTAATAATTTACCATTTCTGTACCATTCGATGCGCAATTTTGGATCATCTTTAGGTTCCACTTTACACTCGAATCTAACTGATTCCGATTCTTCAACGGTGCATGAATCAATTTGCGTAATAAATTTAGGTGGAGTAAATACTTTGTCTGCTTCTGGAGCTTGAGAAACTGGTCCACGTTCTAATTCCTTTAATCTTTCGGCACTCATACCAGATGGTAATTGAGTTTCAAAGTCAATGCTACGTTTAGATTTTGATGTAACAGTAGCTTTAGTAGTGGCAGATCCCCATTTATTAGTAGCTCTGCAAATATATTCACCAGCATCACGGGTGTAGGTATAGTCAATATCCAAGGAAATAAATCCAAAATCGTTGACTTGGTGTACTCTAGAACCAGTAGCGAATGGACGTCCATTATGGAACCAATCAATGCGCATCGAGGAGTCGTTTGTGGGCTCAACACGGGCATCGAAGTGTACTGGACTACCTTCTTCAACATCGAGGTTATCCTTAATTTCCACGATGAATCTAGGTGGGTTTGGTTGTTCCTCTTCAGTAGTGATTTCTTCCCTCTTGTAAAGTTGTTCTTCCAATTTTTGGATGCTTTCTGTTCCGGAACGGAAGTTGGATGGTAATTGAGGCTCAAGGATAATGCCTTGTCTACCTTTGACTTGAAGCTTGCAAGAAACGCTAGCTTCACCGTGTCTGTTGGTGGCTTTGCAAGTGTACAAACCGGAATCTCTCTGGTAAACTCCGGCAACTTCAAGTATAACGAAACCAAAGTCGTTGATGGTCTTAATTCTGGAGCCGGACCAAAGAGGTTTACCGTTGTGGAACCATTCTACTCTCATACTTTGATCGTTAACAGGTTGTAACCTGCATTCAAAGTGTGCAAGGGAATTTTCACCAAGTACCAAATCAGATGGTTGTGTGATGAATTCTGGAGGTTTGCCAATATCATCATCGGGTGTGGCTGGAGATGGAATAGCGCCAAGACCCTCCAATTCAGCAATTCTATCGATGGTTCCTTCCATGCCTTTTGGTAATTGTGATTCCAGAATAATGCTTCTTTTGCCTTGTACTTTCATGGTGGATGTGGTTACAGCTTCGCCATATTCATTGAATGCTCTGCATGAATATTCTCCAGAGTCTTCTGGGTATACAGGCGAAATTTCCAAAATAACAAATCCGAAATCATGGAAAGTTCTAAATCTTGAACCAGTTTTTAATGGTTTACCATTCCAGTACCATTCAACTTTAAGTTTAGGATCGTCAGTTGGAGTAAGACGCCCTTCAAAGTGAGCACTTTCCCCTTCCCTCAAACTATCGATGTTTGACAAAGGTGTGGTAAACACAGGAGCTTTTCCTTTTACTTCTACTTCCCTTTCATCTCTTGTTCTGACTAAAGAGTCTTCCAAGTTTTGTATTTTTTCTAATCCACCTTCCATGCCCTAAAGAAAAATATAATATAATATTTATAACATAAAAAGAGAATATTGTCTTACACGTGGGAGTTGTGAGTCCAGAATCAAATTAGTCTTTGAAACGCATTTCATTGTTGCCTTAGTGGAATCTTCTCCATATTTGTTGAAAGCCCTACATTCGTAAACGCCGGAATTTTCTTCATAACAATATAAAATATCAAGAATTACTATACCAAAATCATGGAAAGTACGGTATCTATGCCCATGAGGTAATTTTTTGCCGTTATAGTACCATTCTACTACGAGATCTGGATCAGTTACAGGAGTAAGACGCGCTTCAAAGTGAGCGCTCTGTCCTTCAACAAGTTTAGTAACATCTTGAATTTGGGTAATGAATTTAGGTGGCTCTGTAACTGGAGTATGTGGGGCCTGAGCTTGTTGACCTTGCATACTCTCAAGTTCTCTAATTTTAGCCAATGATTCAGGTTGTAAACTGTCGTAGAATACACCACCTTTACCTTGCGCATTGATGGTAGCTCTGGTAAAGTCTTCACCATATTTATTCCAAGCTCTGCAAACGTATTCACCAGAATCGTGATCTTGAATATAAGAAATATCCATGACAACAAATCCAAAATCGGAAACAGATTTAATGCGATTTTTGTCCAATAAGAGTTTTCCATTGTGATACCATTCTACTTTAAGATCTGGATCATTTACCGGTATAAGTGTGCATTCAAAGTGAGCAGATTGTCCATCTTTAAGTCCAACGATATTTTGAATGTGAGTTGTAAATTTAGGAGGTTGTCCCTTGAGTCTTTCAACGCATTCCAAAGTGACACTTTGTTCAGCCATGCCCCATTTGTTAGTAGCTTTGCAGGTATATGTACCGGAATCTTCAATTTTGGTACCCAAAACATCTAATACAACCATACCGAATGCATGTACGGTTCTAAATCTGTGCGAGGCTTCGATGGTCTTACCGTTGTAGAACCATTCGACTCTCATGGTTTGGTCTCCAATAGGTGTAAGTCCTGCTTCAAAGTGAGCAATTTCACCTTCAGTTAAGTCAGTTAAAGCGGTAAATTCTGATGTAAATACAGGCGCGTGACCTTCTTCAGATTCGGCGATCGGGAATTCAGGTCTGTTAAGAGAATCCTCAAGATTTTGAATCTTTTCGAGACCCTCTTGTCCCTTAGGATGTTGAGTACGTTCAATTAAGTTAGATTTGCTAGTGCAGTAAATTGTTGTTGACGTAAATGCTTCACCATGTTTGTTAGAAGCTTTACATGTGTAAATACCTTGATCTCTTTCGTAAATGTCAGTAAGGTCAAGAGTAACGAAGCCAAAGTCACTGGTAAATTTAAATCTTGATCCATGATCCAACGATTTTCCATTAAAGAACCATTCGATTTTAAGGTTGGGATCTTCTTTAGGCTCAACAGTTCCTTCTAAATGTAGAGGTTGTCCTTCAATAAGCTTAAACTCTGGATTAAGTGGAATAACCCATACAGGTTTAGCATATTCTCTATCAGTACCCACCTCCTTTGGTCTGTTCTTGGCTGCAAAAGCTTCTTCTACATCTTGGACAGCTTCCAGTCCAGCTTTACCTTGAGGATGTTGAGTATCAAGGTAGATGCTTTGCTTAGCAGTGCAACGAAGGGTTCCAGAAGTTGAAGCACTTCCTTTTTTATTGGTAGCTTTGCAGGTAATTATGCCAGAGTCTTCTTCGTAAGTGTGTGTAATATCCAATGCAACATATCCAAAATCATAGGTAGATTTGTATTTAGCACCAGTGGGTAGTGGTTTTCCATTTATAAACCATTCAATCCTCATAGTAGGATCTTTAGATGGTTCCACGTTGCATTCAAAGTGAGCGCTCTCTCCTTCCATGCACTCCACATTGTTAAGATGGCTAATGAACATTGGTACTTCATAGGTTGGTTCAGCTTTTTCTGGACGTCCCTCTTGTGGTCTTTCCAAGGCTTCCAATTTTGGAATAGCATCTGGGTGAAGAGTTTGTCCCAGGAGCCAGTGGCTATCTTGAATTTTAAGTGAGCAAGTGGAAATGGCTTCCCCAAGCTTATTGGTGGCTTTGCATGTGTAAATTGCTGAATCGTCATCCCTCAGACCGTTAATTGATAAGGTGACAAGGCCAAAGTCGAATGTGCTACGTAGACGAGTTCCTGTTGTCAATGAAACTCCATTCTTAAACCATTCGATTCTAAGGTTTGGATCAGCCCTTGGTTCTACTTGTGCTTCCAAGTAAACATGTTGACCTTCAGTAAGATTATCGAAACTCTTAAGGTGAGTGGTAAATACGGGTGGTTGTTGAGGAGTGGTATCAATGAACATTTCTGGAACTTTGTTCATTTCAGCTTCCTTCAATTGGATTTTCTGCCATGCATCAGGGTGCAATGGTTCTCCAACAATATTTGATTTTGATTTAACTTTCATTGAAATAGAGGAAACAGCTTCTCCTGATTTGTTAATAGCTTTGCAAGTGTAAACACCGGAATCGTTTGTTACAGTAGACATAATATCCAAGGTAACAAAACCAAAATCGTGAGTTACTTTAAATCTTGATCCCATTTTTAATTCTACTCCGTTAACGTACCATTCAAAACGTAAGCTTGGATCACCGACTGGGACAACTCTGGCTTCGAAATGGGCATGTTGACCTTCCCATAATTCAGTTGGACCAGTAAGCAACTGAGTGAATATTGGTTTTTCAAATTGACGATCTTGCTCTTCTGGTCTTGGAGCCAATGGTTGCTCTAGCTGAGCAATCTTTCTTTGAGCCTCTGGATGTTGTGTATCCAATTGAATGCTGGCTTTGGCTGAAAAATTATTTATTTATTAGTATTTAAGCAACATGAAAACATTACAATTTTTAATAAAAAACAAAATTAAAAGTACTTACTTCTAATTTTCATAGATGCAGTCGTGACAGCTTCTCCAAGTGGATTAGATGCTCTGCACATGTAGACACCTTCATCTTCTTCTCTAACATGTTGAATATCTAAAGATACAAAACCAAAGTCATGTACTTTAGTAATACGGGAGCTATCTTCCAATGGTTTTTCATTTCTGAACCACTCAACCTTCAAGGTTGGATCTCCAACCGGGATAAGACGACATTCGAAGTGAGCTGTTTGAGCTTCTAGAATTGAGTCAATGTTTTGAAGTGGTTGAGTGAAAACTGGACGTTGCCTAGTAACAGGATCTTCGATTTCGGGTCTTTTGTAGGGTTGGTGTTCTTCAAGTTGTCTAATCTTGTCCAATCCTTCTGGTCTTTGAGATTCTACAATAATATTGCTTCTTTCAATAACTTTTAGATTGATGGATGATACACATTGACCAAGATTATTAATAGCTTTAACAGAGTATTCGCCAGCATCTTCTGGTACAGCATGACCAATATCAAGGGCAACATATCCAAAATCAAATGTAATATGGAACCTGTTACCATGTGGCAATGGTTTGCCGTTGTGATAAAATTCAATCCGAAGGTTTGGATCATGAATTGGCTCAATTTGAGCTTCAAAGTGAGCAGTTTGTCCTTCATAAATTTCAGTAGTGCCACGAAGTTCTGTGACAAATCTTGGTGGTGATGGTACTGGTTCTTCAACTTCAAGTTTAGCTGGGTGACCTTGGGCTTCAAGTTCTCTAATTTTATTAAGACCCTCGGGGTGGTTGGTGTCAACTATAATTCCACTTCTTCCGCTGACCCTAATGGTACAGGTGTTGACAGCTTCACCTACTAAGTTAGTTGCCTTACACATGTAAGTACCACTATCTTCAGCATATGCGTAAAGAACATCTAAAGCTACATAGCCGAAATCATGAGTTGTTCTAAACCTATGGCCAGCACGGAGTTTGACACCATTAACAAACCAATCAATTTTTAAATTAGGATCGTTGATAGGTTCCACTCTGCATTCTAAGTGAGCATGTTCACCCTCCTTAAGATTTTCCAAACTTGTAAGTGGGGTGAGGAAAACTGGACGTTGTGGAGCTTGTTCTATTTCTTCACGTTTGGGTCTTTCATAGTTCTCTAAGTCTTTAATCTTCTTAAGGCGTTGCTCATCCATGGTCTCTAAATAAAGATTCTTTGCTTTAATAACAGATACATTGGCGGTTGTAACAGCTTCTCCAGCTGCGTTTCTAGCTTTGCACATGTAGGTACCAGTGTCTTCGGCGTAAGCATACAAGATGTCAAGAGCGACGTATCCAAAGTCATAAGTAGTTTTAAATCTATGACCAGTCTGAATGGGTCTACCATTACAGTACCATTCTACTCTCATTGTTGGATCATTTACTGGGGTTAAAGTGGCTTCGAGATGTGCACTTTGTCCTTCTGGAAGGTCTTCAATTGTCTTTAGACCTCTACCAAATTGGGGTTTTTCTAACATAATAGCATCTTCAGACGATACTTTCTTGTATCTGGAATCATCTTCCAAGTATTGAATCTTTTGTAAAGCCCCTTCATGTTGTGTGTCACGTATAATCGATGATCTCGCTATAAATTTAATGCAATTGTATTAAAGTGATTTTTACTTTAAAATAATACTTACATTTGACATTTGTAACGACAGACGATTGGGCTTGACCAATCCTGTTGGTAGCTTTACAGGTGTATTCACCAGAATCTTCAGCATATACGGAGAGTACATCGAGACTGGCAAATCCGAAGTCATGGGCTGTACGGAACCTGTGTCCTGTTGTTAATGGTTTTCCATTGTGGAACCAGTCTACCTTTAAATTGGGGTCTGGGTATGGTTCAATACGGCATTCATAATGGGCACTTTGACCTTCGACCAACTCGGCAGGTCCATTTAATTGAGTCGAGAATCTTGGAGCTTGAGTTACTTCGTATTCGGTTTCTTCACGGCGTTGATATTTAGTTGCGTCTTCCAACTGACGTAGTTTATGTAAGGCTCCTTCATGTTGGGATTCGAGTTGAAGAGAAGCTTTCGCTAAAATACAAGATTGTTAAAAATTATATCAAAATTTCGTGTTAGTAAACATACATTGTACTGCTAAGGTAGCAGAGGTAACTGCTTCTCCCAATTCATTTACAGCTCTGCATGTATAGGTACCAGAATCTTCCGGGTTCACATACTTCATGTTAAGAGCAACATATCCAAAATCGTGCATTGTGGTTATACGATTGGCTAAAAGTTTAAATTAAATTAATAAAACGTTATTTTATTACAAGTTCTTATTTTAATTACATGCTTGAATTGCCACTCCATTTCTGTACCATTCTACTTTTAGTCTGGAATCACCTACAGGAATAAGTCTGGCTTCAAAGTGAGCAGCTTGATTTTCAGCTACTCTTAAATCTTTAATTGGCAAAGTAAAAACTGGAGATTGATTTACGACCTCCTCTTGAACAGCATGGCGTTGATAACGAGAGGTATCTTCAAGTTCTGTGATGCGTTCCATGGCTCCTTCATGTACCGAATCCAAGTAGATAGATTTTTTGGATTGAACCGAGCAGGCAGCTGATGTAACTGCCTCCCCTAAAGCATTAGTAGCTCTGCATGTATAGGTACCGGAATCCTCAGGATAAGTGTAAAGAATATCCAAAGCAACAAAACCAAAGTTATTGGTTTCGGTAAATCTGGATCCTGATTTTAATGGCTGTCCATTGTGGAACCATTCAACTTTCATTGTTGGATCCGATACTGGAATCAATCTACATTCGAAGTGAGCTCTTTGACCTTCTTTAATGTCAATATTTTTTAAAGATGTAGTAAAAACTGGGGCTTGTGTAGTGGTTTCTTCTACTTGTTCAGCTCTGTGATAACGAGAGCGATCTTCAAGATGCTGAATTTGTTGCAAGCCCTGTTCATTTTGAGTGCTTGTGATAATTTGGCCTGATTGACGGCATCTTAAGGTACATTGAGTTTCATCTACACCAATAAGGTTAGTGGCGCGGCAAGTATATGTGGCAGAATCTTCAGCAATTAAATCAACAATATCAAGAGCGACATAGCCGAAGTCATGAATTGGTCTGAATCTATGACCAACGGTAATTGGACGTCCGTTTTTGTACCATTCGACCTTAAGATTTGGATCGGTTACTGGTTCTATTTTGCACTCAAAGTGAGCATGTTTACCTTCAATCATGTTATCCAAGCTCTTTGGTTTAGATACGAATCTTGGTTTAACAGTTACTTGTTCATCAACAAACTCTGTACGCTTATATCTTGAAGCGTCTTCAAGGTATTGAATTTTCTCTAAACCACTTGGATGTTGCGATTCAAACAACAAGTCTTTTTTGGCAATTACTTTGACTGAGCAAGATGTAACAGCTTCGCCAAGTTGGTTTCTGGCTTGGCAAGTGTATACTCCAGAATCTACAGGGTATACGCCAAGTAGGTCAAGAGCTACGTAATCAAAATCATATGCTGGTCTAAAACGATGTCCAGTTTTAACAGGCATACCATTTACAAACCAGTCAACTTTCATGGTTGGATCACCGACGGGTTGTAGACGGCATTCCATATGCACATTGGTTCCTTCCACTGTTTCAATGTTGTGAAGTGGTCTTGTAAATTGTGGAGCTTGTAATACAGTTACATCCTCTTGAATATGTTTACGGTATCGGGATGAATCTTCAAGTTGTTGGATTTGTTCCAAAGATTGTTCATGTTGAGTATCGGTAATAATGTCAGATTTGCCAATTACTCTTACGCAAGCAGATGTGTGCGCCGATCCAAGATGGTTAACTGCACGTACAGTGTATTCACCTGAATCACTAGCAGTAGCATGAATGATGTCTAATGCTACAAATCCAAAATCATTGTAGGTTCTGAATCTTGACCCTACAGTTACTGGTTTTCCATTACAGAACCATTCTACTCTCATAGTTGGGTCTCCCATGGGTTCCAAACGGCATTCCAAATGAACATTCCTTCCTTCAGATAATGGTTGGGGATCTGAGAGAGGTACCACGAAGATAGGTTTGGATTTTGAAATTTCTTCAATTTGATATTGTGGTTCAATAAATTTAGAATCTTCTAAATGTTTGGTTTTGTCGAAAGCTCCACGATGCATGCTTCTTGTATCAATACTGGCACGAGCTAAAAGTTAAATGGTTATTAGTATAATTGTTTCATCCACAAAATTGTCACTTACTTTCAACAATCATGCTGGCTGAGAGTTGGGCCTCGCCTAAAGCATTTCTTGCAACTACAGTGTAAGTACCAGCATCTTCTTCGCGAACACTAAGAATATCAAGAGCAACATATCCAAAATCGTGATAGGTTTGAATTCGGTTAGCGGTAGCAATAGGTTTTCCATTGAAATACCATTCAATTTTAAGTGTCATGTCGCTTTGTGGTTCGACACGAGCTTCAAAGTGGGCACGTTGTCCTTCAACAATTTTGTTGGTGCCTTTAAGTGGTCCCAAAAATCTGGGTTTTTGCCTGACAGTTTCTTCTTCTTTGGATTGGCGATTGTAACGACTTGAATCTTCAAGATGTTGGATTTTCTCTAATCCACCAGGATGTTGAGAGTCAAAGACAATATCCTTTTTGCTAACAACGCTTAGTTGAGCAGTTGTACTAGCTTGACCTATGGCATTCCATGCACGGCATGTGTAGTTACCAACATCGTGAATTGTTACGTCTTTGATGGTTAAAGCTACATAACCAAAGTTAAAGAAACTGGTAATTCTTGAACTGGCTTCTACTGGTCTGCCATCTTTAAGCCATTCAACTTTAAGAGTCGAATCGCCAACTGGTTCAAGTCTGGCTTCAAAATGAGCAAAACCACCTTCACGAACTCCATGTTGATCTTTAATGGGAGTTTTGAATTCTGGAGCTTGATAGCTTTCTGGGGTTTCTGATACGTATTTTTGGTGTTGTTGATGCTGATAAGCTTCAAGTTCTTCTACTTTTTCAATATACCTTTGTTGTTCTGGAATACCCAAATCGCCGGTTACAGTGGAACGAATAAATACTCTGATAGTGGCAGTGCTTATCGCCTCCCCTAAATGATTTACAGCGCGCACAGTGTACGATCCTGCATCTTCGGTCCGTAGGTGCATGATGTTTAGAGAAACGTAACCGAAGTTGAAGATGGTAGTGATGCGTGAACTGGCGGTAATCGGTCGGCCATCTTTGTACCACTCCACTTTCATTGTCGGGTCACTTACTGGGGTAAGTTGTGCTTCAAAATGAGCATTTCTACCTTCTTGTAACTCGCCAAGATCCTGGAGTGGACGGATGAAATGGGGTTTCTGATTAGTTTTTTCGTCCAAACTATCAGTTCTTTGGTATTTCGAATAGTCCTCCAATTGTTGGATGTATTGCAAACTTTCTGGGTGTTGGCTCGTTTGCTCAATGGAGGCACGGGGTTTGACGGTAAGCATTGCCCTGGATTCTACACATCCGGTGGCACTTGTAACGCGGCAGACATATTCACCGGTATCGTTTGTTATCAAACTGATTAGATCTAAAGCGATGAATCCAAAGCGGAAAATGGATGTAGCGCGAGAACCTAAAATAAAAACAATACATTAAGTTTAATAATTCAAACTATTACCACAAGGTAGATCAATAATATTCTTTAAAACCACTTACTGGCTGCCATAAGTCTTCCGTTGAAAAACCATTCTACACGCATGGTTGGATCACCAACCGGTTCAATTCTGGCTTCAAAGTGAACTTTACCTCCCTCAAACTGAACAGCATCCTGCAATGGAATGATGAATTGAGGTGGTGGATATACCCTATCTCCTTCGGAAGCAGGCATATGTGGTCTAGCACGTTCAACATGACGAAGGTAAATAACTTCTGGACCAGGTTCGGGTCTAAAATTAAAAGTGAAATAATTTTATTATATTTTTGGGTAAATACCTTACTTTGGTTTTATAAAAATGTTGGTCAATTAATTGTATAGAGTTAGGACAAAAATTATAAAATTGTTTTTTGATCAAATTTGGTTAGTGTTGGCAAAAATACCTTACTTTGGTTTTATAAAAATGTTGGTAAATTTATTGTATAGAGTTAGGACAAAAATTATAAAATTGTTTTTTGATAAAATTTGGTTAGTGTTGGCAAAAATTTAGTTTGATTGACGATTTAAAACTAAAACTAACGAAATTAGTTTAACTAACGATTGACGATTGAATTAGTTTTAGTCATGTAAAAGATTGAAATAATCGATTGAATTAGTTTTAGTTTTCAATCTTGATTAAAATTTTGATTGAAATAGTAATGTCGTGGAAAACGCAAAGTAAACGATTAATTAAATTATACAAATGTTTATACATTTATACATGGTGTGCAAAAAAAAGTCCTATACAGAGTGTTTTAGAATATGTGGGCAATCTCCTGGATTTAGATATAACACATAAAAATAATATGACAAGTTCCTATACATTTTTCCTACGGCCCCCCTACGGAGATACCGGCCCATAACGGACGCCCCTGGAAAGAAAATAAAATGATCGAAAATTTCAAAACACTTTATTTTCAACTGACACTGACATCATTCAAATTTTTAAATCGGTATATGTAAAAAACATTACAAAAAAAATAAATGTAAAAAACCCTATTGTACAAAAACATTTTTTTTCGTATGTACTTTACATTTTATCGTTGTCGATCAGGATTACCTTTTTTTACTTTAAGGTTTAAGCTGACTAAAAATATTATTGTTGTGCCTTTATAGTACAGGGTGTTAAAAAAAATAGTATTGCTCTGTTAGAGCTAGTCCGTCCCTGGCAAACTAAATAAGCCAAATGTAATTAAAAGTGTCCATTTTAAGGAAACTTTACTAGTAAACAATATATTTAAAAATTATTCAATTCCACAAAAAAAACGATTTTCAGGGGTGTCCGTATGGGACCGTACCTCCGTATAGGGGAGCGTAGGAAAAGAATATGAGATTATATTATTTTTATGTGTTCTATTTGAATCCGGAAGATTGCCCACATATTCTGGGACACTCTGTATGTTTATATAAATAATCTTTTCTGTACTTATGCTATTTATTTATTTATTAACATATAATTAAACAGATAATTTTTTCTAGGTTAGGTACGTCAATGTTTCCGATTAATTATAATTATAATTTATATATAATTATATTTAAATTATTTTTCATGACGACTCTTTTCTCAAAAATCTCATCGGATAGTTTTTGTGATTTTGTTGCATGGGAAAACATTCGTTCTATGACGGCATAGGCGTATTGTATTTTACAAAGACAGTTTTCATAATTTTTTATAACCTCGCTTACAAATACGGAATATACATTTTTTAATTAAAAATTTCAATCAAACTAAAACAAATAACTAATGATTACTTGATTTTAGTTGCGACTAAAACTAAATTTTTAATCGTGATTGATTTAGTTATAACTAAAATAATCACTAATTTTTTAGTTTTATTCGTCAATCGATTGAAAATATTAGTGACTAATCCCAACTGTATTGTACGTTAATTTTGAAAAATTCTACTGATTTTTATTTGCTTTCATTATAAAATATATTAATTATCCTGTGTTGTTTTAAGTTTAAATTAAAAGTTTTTGATAAAAATTCATGTTTACTTGATACTTACTCAGGTTCGATGACTTTCGTTGGTCTGGGTAGATGAAGGCGTCTTGGTTCGGGTGTTGGGCCTTGGGGTGTTTCGACGAAAAGTCTTCCTCGGGTAGCAGTGGAGCCGGCGACATTTTGAGCGGTACACTGGTACCATGCCGCATCGGATGCTTTGGCCCTCGGTATGTCCAGGGTTGAGGCTCCACCATCGATGCTAATGCGACAATCGGGGCCGCTGGCAAGCGGAACACCGTCCTTCTGCCAAGTGATTCGTGGGGTTGGCGTACCAACAGCTCTTGCATTTAATGAAACAGGTTCTCCTTCTTTAATGTTGACAGTAGTGAATCTTTCAACGAACTTGGGAGCAACGACTTGCTCCTTTTCGATTACGTTCAAGTTGCATTGGAAGGAGGTTTCTCCTGATTTATTTCTTGCGACGCATGTTACTACACCAGAGTCGTTTCGGCTTACATTGGTTATCATGAGGGCATGATTACCGGATTCATTGACTAGAATTTTATGATTGTGGTCATCAACAACTTGACGACCGTTTATAAACCAGGAAACTTCGGGGTACGGGCGACCAGTGACTCGACAATCAAAACGAGTCATTTTGCCTTCGGTGACATCTCTGTCTCCGCAAACTCGTACGAAGTTGGGAGCCAAGGTTTTTCCGGTTTCCGTGGATTCTACTTCCATTTGTTGTTGAGATTTGAAGGTGGATTCGTGAATTAATCCTTCAGTAGTGCTGACAGGTTCCACTGCTAGAACAGCAGAAGATACAACGCATCCTTGTGGGTTCTCAGCAAGAAGGGTATAGTGAGCAGAGTCATCTGAACCAACTTGCTTGACACGCAAAGATGCCTGGTTGTTGGAGAAAGTGGCTTCATATTTCTGGGAGTCGGTAATTCTTGCTCCATTTTTAAACCAAGATAATCTAGGTCTGGGGTTAGCGGATACTTTAGCAGTAAATACGGCATCAGAACCTTCAAGCAATTTGGAATTGCGAGGTTTTTGTGAAATCTGTGGTGGAGCTGCAGGACCCAAGGATCTCTCAATAGTGGTCGAAATTTGAGAATCTTTTTCATAAGCAGTTCTTCTAGTAATTGATTCCCTAAAGGAAGTTTCCCTTAAAAGTCTATATTCGAATGTTTCTATTCTAAATTCTTCGGTGATGGTTCCGTTAGAATATGTAGTTGTAGAGCTTTCTTGAATATTTTGTTGGAACCCTCTTTGCATTTGTGGCATGGGCATTCCTTCCGGCTGAATGAACACAGAACAAATAGCTGCTCCATATTGATTTTTGGCCGTGCATACATATTCACCCTCATCTCCGGGTCCTATTTGGCTAATCTGGAGCCTGATATCTCCAGTCGATTCGTTATATGATAGCTGATGCTTTTGTGAATTTAATAGGGGTGCCCCCTTTCTAGTCCATGTGACTTGCGGTTGTGGTTTACCGGTTACCCGGCCTTCAAATGTAGCTACCCCTCCTTGTGCGAATCTCGCATTACTAAACACTTTCTCGAACACCGGCGGTTGCGCATTCGGTCCAAAACCAGAGATTTGCTGAAAACCTTGCTGGCTTATTTGACCTCCTGAAAAAAATAAAATATTTAAATAAAACTAATTGAATATATAAATTTAAACAGATATTAGTAATATTACTTATGAAGTAAATGATATAGAATTTAAAAATGTCCACAAAAATCAATTTTTGAGTTTTTATTTATTTTAAAATGCCGTATTAAAGCTCAAAGTTAAGAGTGCTAAAAAGTGTAGTAAAATAAATAAATCGTTTTTTCTCGATTTTGTGATTTTCTTAGCCTACATATTAAATATTAAATGGTAGATAAATTATTATTATTATTAGTATTATTTGTGCTTAAATTTCTACATTATTTCGTATAATGTTTAATTTTCAGGTAAGTTTTATTTATTTACATTTAATTAAAATACAGTAAGAACGTAAATACATTAAAAATTATTTCATATATTTTTATATAAGCGTAATAGTTTACTTAAAACAATAATAAATTAAATTTTAGGCCAGTGACTACCTACACAAGGAATTTTTTAGATGGCGACGAGCAGTGGTCCGGGAGTGTTACAATTTTAGATCTTGGATCGCGTTTCAATCCTCCATTTTAGGAGCAGCTATTTTTATCGCACCAATAACGCCACTTGCTTTTCAGTTTGCGGATATATTTTATTTACTTACAATATTTTTATATATTACCAATTATTTATTTATTTTTGTTTTTATTATTATAATAATACTTATATTATTTATATTATTTATTATTTTGTTGTTTTATATATTAAATAAAATTAAATTGTATATAATAAAGTTTATTTTTTTAATTGCAATATGTAAAATATTCTCATAACATTGCCAACGAATAAGCAAATCAAAATTGTATTAATAGATATAAAATTTATAATTTTTTATTAATTAAATCAAAATAATTATTATTGGATACTTTTATTTAATAAAATAATATTTTCTCTCAATTAAAAATTATAACTCTCTTTTCTTATTATGTTTAATATTTTTTCCATTTTACCACGGTAGAGATTGCCGTTCAAGTAGTTAAAACAGAAAGGTCTTCCTTCTAAAAACAATAGTTTTATTGTTTAAGAAATGATTTCTTAATTATAAAAATAAAACAAACAAAATATATATTAAAGCAATTTGTGTTAATAATAAAAAAACGGCTAAAAATGATTTTAAACAAAAGTTCTCTTTTGACGTAAAAAAATTAGGTAAAGTAAAATTTGTTATTAAATATTAATTGATTTGTTACCACAACGAGATAACATATATGTAAAATTGAATTACTTACTTTTAATTTTTATGTATTTATAATACATGTAACTGATGTAATGCATTTCTAAATCATTCTTAAAACTATTTATAATATTTATTATGTATCCTTTAAATTAGATAAAATTTTGTGTATTGTATAAAATTAAACAATTTTTTGTTAAAATATCTATTTTCGTTTAAGACTCTTTTATTTGGTTTATCTTTTAAATCAATCTATAGGATTGCAAAAAGCTTTAAGAAGTAAAGTGGTGATCTATCTAAGAATAAATTAATGCATCCCCTTAAAACTCTTTAGAATACAACTCAAGAAAAGTTACTAATATTTAACATTCCGTGTCTCAATTTATTTACAGTTTGCCATTTGGATTTATAAAAAAAGTTATTATGATCAAAGATTTTTTTAGATGAAGTATGCCATGCAATACTAATTGACAATTTCGCTAAAGATGTTTTAAAAATTAACTGTATTCATAGAATTAAAAACAGCAGGAATTAGAATTTAATTAGCTTACGGTAAGTTACATGCAGGTAACTGGAGTATAAAAAAACACGTAATTCTCTTCGCTTCAGTTATACTTGTTAGTAACAAATAATTCATTGAATGACTATGTTTCTCTTTTGGATTATATTTCAGGAAATCAATCCCAAAATATAATTTACGTTACCTAAATATATTTTGTTACAGTATTTAACATTTATTTATAACTATTAGTAGTATTAAAAATGACCATTTATATGTTAAGGAGCAAACTTAAATTTATAAAATTATTCATGTTTATGAGGTTTAAAATAAATTTAATTTCTCCTGACTGAAATTAGCATGTGTTCACTGTATATTGTACAGTGTACAATGGACCCTTCCCAAGGGTCTATTTAAGCCTTCTTTAAAAAGGAAAAAGTTCTGAAAAGTCGTAATAAATTTTCAATGGACCACCCCATATTGGGACCCAGTCAGCAAATTAGTAAATAATAATAATTATTTTTATTTGACCACCATTTGAAAAACATTTATGGCAAGTCAATACATTTAAGTTTGCATTTTAAGTGTCAAGGGGTAACCCTAACATGATCCTTAGTCTGAGGTCTAAAGACATTAATAGAGTTTTTAGATTTACCCCAGAGTAGCTGATTTGAGAATGAAAAAGGTCATGGATCTTTTAAATTCCCTTAGTTAATATAGGGTTTTTAATAGTTTTTGAGTTAGGAATCCAATATGGGTGGTCCACGTTAGTAATTCATTGATGTGAATCCCAAAAATTAAACACTTTTTACATTTTTGTGTATTTTTTAAAGCTACAACAATTCCCTTAGTAAATATAGGGTTTTTGTGTATTTTTTTATAGCCACATCAATGTTTTGAGTTTTTTCATTAAGGACCACTTTGTTCATATTAAACAGGATGCCTGATCTGTGTGCTTACCTGCCACTGCATGTGTATAATAATAATCAATTTATGGCCCATCATAACGAAACAGAAAGGTTTTAGACTAAAAAACCCGCAAAGATATGGTAATCTTAGTTTCGAGAAGGACATATTTTGCAATAGATCTTACTCTGCGAAATGGTCACAATAATAGGGCAAGTGATACCTCATTTGAAAGGTTTTCATAAATGAAAATAACGCAATTCTAGAAAACCATTGTTGATTTTTTTTGTTCATGATACTAAGGGAAGCAAGACCATTCAAATGAGGTAAATCATTTGCCCTATCATGTCATTTAAAATTTCAGGGGTTGTGACCATTGCGCAAGAGGTAAAGCGATATACAGTGGCGGACACGGAATTTTGAACGACTAAAATCCCGTTGAGACTTTCTTTATGGACTTAACATAACTTTAAGGTAATTACTTCTGGTTATCACTAGATTTGTCATTTTGGCAGAAAAAGCAAAAAAGTCAATATTGTATCTTTGCTATTTACAGATTTATACATGGTCAATCAAATTATGACGTTCAAAATTCCGTGTCTGCCACTGTACAAGTGACATCTATAACACACTGGATATGACGTTTCCTTGCGTTTTTTTTTAAATCACTGATTACTGTCCGAAAACTTAATTTTTAAGATACAAAGGATGAAGTTTTAAATAAAATTAATTGAAATTTGGTATAGATACAAAATGGATAATAAAATATAAATTAAAAAAAAAACAAAACTTTAGAAAAACTAAATTATGAAAAAAATACAATGTTTGTTAAGCAGCATAAAACCACAGTTTTTTTGAAAATTTATTTTAATTCCAGAAATCATAATTAATAATGTCAAATTACATACGAAGAAAAAAATTACACAAATGAATATATTTTAATTTTAAATTACCTAAATTATATATATTTTTTAAGCAGATAAAAAAAGGTATTTATTTTCCGCTCGTCGAATTATAAAACATTCTGTATATTAGGTTATATATTAGGTTTTAAAAATATTAAACAATACCTGGTACCTAGTTAGTTTAATTTAGATTGTACTAATTACATAAATTAATTAATTGTGTTGGCATTTTATTATAAATCGAAAACAATTAATTTAATACTGGACTTAATAAATAACAATTTACTATATTTTATTTCAAAGAAAGTTAATTTTATGTTTTCTTTTATTGAGATTATAATAATTATTATAGAACACAAATCAGTATTGATACGTGTATAATTTTATTATAGGTAATTTTAATTGGTAGGTTAACTTTTAAAATTCATTATTTCTTATTAAAAAATTATCCACTACAAAAGAGTATGTGAAATATTAGTACTATTTAACCAACAAGATATAAACATTCAAAACTACATTGGAACGTTTTATTAAAAAAATAAAATAATAGTACATTAACATTTATTATAATAGATGTTTATATATGGAATTGACACAATTACATAAATTGATATTGTACTGCTTATTGCAAGAAAATAAAGTATAATCAGCATTTTATAAAGAAAATTTAATTTTCTAGGTATGAATATTTTGTGTTAATTGTTTTAAATATCGTCAGTTTGAAACAAGAGAGTCATAACAAATTTTTGTTTGTTTTTAGTAATATTTACTACGACCAAAATTTTATTTAATGTCATCTCAAAATATGGCTACCAAATATGTACAGGTAAAAGAAGTTTGAATAATGTTTTTTTAGGTTAATTATATCATTTTTAATATTTGAAGGGTATAATATTAAACTTATAGAACCACGCACGCCCTTTAAATTTCCCAGAACTTTGCGTACCAGTTTATAAAAAGAAAAACAAGCTATACACTTTTTATTGGTTTACGTTTTCTATATTAATTTGAAAAACAAAAAAGGACCTATAAATATAAGAAAACTTGAGAGAATTCTGGAATAAATTATTTTACATTGGATTATGTACTTATAGGTGAAGAGAAGTCAAACGACACATCATTAGGAAGTTAATACATTTAGTTAAGATTTTTTTAAATTTTAAAATGAAATGCATTATACTGTTTTTTAATCTAAAAAAACAATAGTAAGCAACCGATATTGGCGTCTTAGACATTGTGTAATTTATTGAAGGGTAAAAGTCGAAATGTGAATAGATTACATTTAAATGGTTTGTTAAAAAATAATTTATCATAAAACACTGAAGATATGACTTCGAAGTGCTACCTTAATAGGTTATGATTTTCGACTTATTTAGGTTTTTTCCAAATGGTGCAAATATTATTTTGCTCTAATGTTATTTTAAATATACCAAAAAGGAAATGATATGATATTTTAGGTATATGTGTAATTTGGAAATATTGTAATGCACCTACAGGTATATCCTAATTTTAAATTTTGAATTTTAATCTTCTGCTGGATTTTTTGGTGGGGGGCTAAATTTGTCCCCACCAACTGCTATCAGCGACATCTATTATTTTGAGATATAATATTTTTGGAAGTAAGTTATGTGCATGAGTATCTTTTTGGCAGCGTGATTATCCAATATAGCTTGGCCAACTATCGCAATAACGTTTTGTATTATAAGAAGCTGTTAAGATGTTGCGAACTGAAGCGTAATATTTATTTTGGGAAAGTAATATCATGCAATGAATTTATGTGGATATTGAAAGCTTTAATTTTGATAACAATACTGACATGCATAAATGCTGAATTTGGCGGATTTTATATTGATAATAGATACTTTAAAAGCATGAATTAAAAAAAGAAAATCTCCTAACCTGTCGATTGACCAGTGACTTGTCGAGTGACGTGCTGTTCTGTGCGGATCACCCTCTGAGTAGACGATTGCTGAGATTGACTCTGCTGAGTCTGTGAAGACGTTTGTTGCTGTTGTCGATTCATGTTTCACCACAAAAAATCTCACAGATCGAAAAATTTGCGTCGAATAAATAATAATCAAAAATAGCACAAAACACAAAATCACAACACGGGTTAAGAAATAATAAGTGTCAATAGGAGAAAAAATTCGTAAACTAGTCTCTTTAATCTATAGATAATAATAATCGTTGCCTACCACGGCTTCAGTTAGCAGAAGTTCAAGTCATCATCCCCGATATCTACCAAGACGTCGGTCGTTTGCGATTTGCGAGCGAAGAATGACGGTACGGCGGTCTCCCACTGCGGACGCCCCTGAAAGTAGACGTGGTGGGGCCCAACCGCGGACACGACTTTCGACGAAGCTTTCCACGGCCCGTGCTATTTTAAGATGCGTTTTGGCTGCGATACGCGACACTGACGCCCCGCTCGAGCGCGCTTTTGCAAACAAATGCAGCCTACCAACTCTATAGCCTAATTTCAAAACCAACTAATTCTTAATTTTACCTATAAACGTATTTTTCTACTACCTTACTGGGTCATTCTCACGAAAATGTTCAATTTACTGTCCCTTAATATTAATTTACATACTTACGGCAAAATATATATTTTTTTGTAGTAAAATTAAAGAATATTACTGCCTTAACGCTAGTCCACATGCATTTTGACAAAATTTATTAAAATCTTATAAAAATTGTATTTAACAGTACGTGAGATCTCACGTTTGTTAGTTGTCCCCGCGAGAGTCACTATATTTCAATTTTCTTATTTATAAAATTAAAGTTTTAACCACAAAAATAATAAACAGCACGAAAATACCACAAGTTTTTTCATCTTATTAAAAAATATTTGTAAATGTTTTTTATATCCCCACAGATAATTGTTTTATAAGTGTCCCTGGATGACTTTCTCACCTCCGTTAATATAGACTTAAATTGTAATAAAATACCATAGATGGCTCTTACGTTGCCAGGTATTTGTTAACCTAAAAAAATAGTTACTGTTTAGTTGAATTCTTGGTGCGTGACATATTATTTTTAAGTTTTTTGGAACATTTTCGAGAATATCAAGTATTAAGTGTTCTAACGTGGAGCATAACTCTCACTGCTGTTAGTGGTTATCAAGAGGTAACCAATTAGATATTTATAAATATAATTACATATTTAAATAATATGAACAGGCAAGCGTTTATATTGTCTGGGACCGGGGTCGTTATAACCAGTAGACAGGTCAATAGCGGGAAATTTGAATAAAAACCTCACACCCGTTAATCTCACTGATGTTAAAAGCTTTTATAACGAAGGTGAGACATGTTTACGTAAGTGAGGTTTTATAGTACCTATTCTGGTATATTTGTATAATGAGGAGTTCGTTAACGTTTTCTGTTAAATTAATCTGAAATTCTTAGTTCCTAACACCTCACAAATAATTAGCAGTCAACAAAGTCCTGATGAGGTCTTCATTATTGAGATGTATACTCTGACTGTGATGACAATTTACCTGTATCATCAAGGGTTAGCAATCAGTGACAAGGAAAACCGATCGACGATTTTGTGGTAGTTAAACTGTGCAGTAAAATAGTATATTAAAGAACTAATTTTCTTAATTCACTCCTCCGTTAATATCGAATTTAAGTTTTTACAGATATTTTTTAAATTTTTTTTTAAGCTTAGAGTATTCGTGTAACTGATACATATATCCAATAATATACATATCTGATTATTTAGGTAAAATCTAAAAAAAATTTTTTTCAAAATTAATACCGGGAAAATCCACAAGTTCATGATAATGACTAGTACTAGAAAACTTAATTTTCCACCCCCGAGGGAGGTAGGAAAATGCCTCTTTTCCTCCCCGGGAGGAAAAAAATTTTCCTCCGTCTTTTCTTTTAACAATTTTACATTAGGAAGAGTTTTTGTACCTTGTCTACCCCTATTTAATTTTGTAGGAAAAAGCTTTACTCCGCGCTTGTCCAACCATTCTTTTATAAAACTATATTCATTTTCATATCGCTCTTTCGATTTTTAAGGAAGGAAATTAATTTCAACTGTTCTTGCCTCTTTAGCAAGATCTTGCAGCAGGTCTTCTTCGCTAGAACTCATTTTCAAAACGTAGGAAGAATTTCAAATTTATGATAAATATTCTGACAGCTTATAAAAACTGTTATATTTGTATTACCAAAAATACCATAGCAACAAAGCGTTGTTAACATAACGTCGGCGACGCAACACCTACTTAATATTTTTTCATAATTGTATAGCCCCTTAAAACCGATAAAAGGTAATAGAAAAAACTATATACATACCTCAGGAGGAAAATGCCTCCCTTGAATATTTAATGCCCTTCGCTTCGCGTCGGGCATCAAACTATTCGCAGGAGGAAAAGCACTATTTTCTTTCCATGGTATGTAAATAGCTATTTTTTCATGTTGTGTGTTTTTAATTAAAAGCAAAACCTTTATCGACAAAATAATTAAAAAAATTTAAACTGTTAATTTTTGCAACAAAACCTCGACTAATTTCGATTTTAAGTTATTATTCAAGAGATTTACTTTTTTTATATCGAATTTAATTATTTTATACAGTGTGTCCCAGAATATGTGGGTAATCTGCCAGATTTAGATATAACACATTAAAATAATATAACAAGTTCCTATACATTTTTTTCCTACTCCCCTACTGGCCCATAACGGACGCCCCTGGAAATCGTTTTTATAACTTTTGAACTACAAGGTGGAATTGAATAATTTTTAAATATATTGTTTACTAGGAAAGTTTCATTAAAATGGGCACTTTTAATCACATTTGGCTTATTTAGTTTGTCAGGGACGGACTAGCTCTAACAGAGTAATGCTATTTTTTAACACCCTGTACTATAAAGGCACAACAATATTATTTTTATTTAGTTTAAACCTTAAACTAAAAAAAGGAAATACTGATCGACAAAATGTACTGTTTACGAAAAAAAAATGTTTTTTACATTTATTTTTATTTTTTTGCAATGTTTTTTTTACATTTGCCGATTTAAATAATTATGTCAGTGAGTTGAAAATAAAGTGTTTTGAAATTTTCTATCTTTTTTTTCCAGAGGCGTCCGTTATGGACCGTTATCTTCGTAGGGGGGGAGTAGGAAAAAAAATTATAGGAACTTGTCATATTATTTTTATATGTCATATCTAAATCCGGGAGATTGTCCACATATTCTATAACGAATTTTTCCACAATATTTGTTTAAAACGTTATTAGCGATTATTAAAATATCACAAAAACGAAAAACAACTTTTTTTACAAGACAATCTTTTGGATTTAATAAGGAAAAGACAATGTCTTGAAATAAATTTAAAATAATTTTTACGTTTTCAATAAAACATAAAAATTTATTATTTCTTATAAACGTCATTTAAGTCACGAATTTAAAAGTTTATAAACTAGTTGCATACTACCTATACTTTTTCTACCACAAATACCTACTTTATTATCTAAAAATTATTTAAATTAAATATTTGTATTATAATAGAGCAACATCTATACAAAAATAGAGTAACCGTAAAAATCGGAATCTATTATAACGGCGGTAAATGTCAAATTTGTCTGTGTAAAGCGAAATTTATCCCTTGAAAATGGACTAACAACCGTTTAAATCCGACATAGAAGCAGGTTTTACAGTAAGTAAAGAGAATGTTTTATGAGCACTCCACTGTGGTCTCCACGCAAATTTGTAATGCTTTATCTAGTTTACTGCTCTTATATAAGACCGTGCTGTCGGCGAAATCAAAAGGTCAGTACAAACGTAAATATAAACTTTTTAAATATTGGCGTTAATTAATAATACTTTTGTATGTGTGTATTAAGATAATACAATAATTTTAACTTTATTTTAACGATTGTATGACATTTGACAACTGTCAACTAACTTAAAGCTAACTTCAGCTGGTGACTAAAGCGCCATAAAGCGTATAAAAATATATTTAATAAAATACAGGAAAAAAATTAATTCATAAAAATACAAATTATAAAATAATAAAGTTTTTAGTAGGTAAAATAATCCTTATTGTAAAAATATCACCCCCTCCCAACTTTTCCGGAGTCGGCATTTTCCGAGGTTCCAAAAATATATTCCAACATTTCTAATGAATGGGAAAAACATTTCGGTAATTTTGAAAAAAATCGGCATTTTCCGAAAACTATTTAGTTAAAGATTGGTAAAGATTCCAAATTTAATTCGAATACTCATTTTAAAGAGAATTCACTAGTCGGCCTTCTGAACAGTTTTATTACCTGCCGACTAATGTCGACTGCAGCTTCAGCTTATCAAATTGAATATTGTAGACAAAAGAGTTTATTCGTTTATTTTGGGAAGACCTATGAAGGAATATTCGGCAAATTTGCGGTTTTTTTTATTAAAAAATCAGCAATGATTGAAAGATCCTCTTGTAGGTATTTTAAACAATAAATTGACAATTTGCAGTGACTTAGGTCTTTTTTGTGATTTAATTTGTCACAAACTCAGAATATTTTGATGCTGCTTAGGTAAATTTGAATGTCAGTGAAATGTTTTAGTTAATAATAAAGACTTGATTAGACATTCGAACCATTATCGTCATGTTTGATGATTTTGTAAAATTTCGTTATTCATTCGTGAATTTTGTAAATGCCGACTAATTAATTTTCATTCTCGAGTGATTCCAGTTAACGATTTTCGTTAAATTTGAGCCTTACTTTTAACGGAATTAGTATATATAATGGATTATTTTTTTCCCTGGGCGAAAAATGTTCTGGCCACGCCATTGATCTTCAGACAAATTGATTTTATTGCTATTCGTGTCCCTTATGAAAATGTTTCAAGTAGGTACCTAGTCAAATGAATCAACGTTTAAAAATATATATGTACATCATATCTCAATTTTTGACAAAAATTAGTTAAAACTATTTTCCCATATAAAATCTTTTTACTTTAATTTTTGCCAAAAACTGAAATACGATGATCTTATTTGCAAAGGTCGAAATATCAATGCCTCTTTGATTTTTATTTAAAAAAATATGCAATTAACCTTAACTTTTAAGGTTCAAAAGTCGGAATTTTAATGACCATCATTATGCCCCTGAAAAGTCACCAATTAGAGCGCAGTACTGCAGACGATGATAAATAATCATTTATATTATATTGTTGGAAAAAATTTGGTGTGTTTTAAGTCAAAAGGCAGGGCTCGTCCAATAGAGCAGAAACACTGCGATCTCATTGGCGGCCTTAAAAATTAAATATCTCCTGCAATTTGGCCCGCCAATTTTTTGACATCGAATATATAATAATTTGGTACTTTCTACTTTTACTCAATATGTGATTTTTTAAATTTCGATCAAGATTTGTTTGTAACTTTATAGATACTTATGTAATACTTGGCAAATTTAGCTAGAGCTAGATCTCTTAAAATCGTCATTTGAATTGAGCTTTAGGATAAAGAACGCTCCTCACTGGATTAAAATGAAAGTAAATCAAGTATAAAAAATGTATTATTATTTTTTTAAATCACACGTTTTGTGCAGAACCGCTGCATACAGAAAATGACATTAGCTATCACCTCTCTAGCTTGACCTGACAAAACTTTACACTTTAATTTTGATTACAAATCCATTATCAATAAACTACTAGGCTCTTTAAAAATAATTATCAGTTTTACATCATTTGTTAATAATTATATTAATAAAAACATACCTAACCCTAACACACATTTTTAAAAGGATTATAACCTACTTTTATTTGCATTAATGTTACCTCTTTTAAACATACCTTAACTTTATAAGAAATTCTTGTTTACCTTAAATACATATAATTCTATTCTAATTGTATAACTAAATCGAAAATTTACTATTTTTTACTTTTAAATAACTTTAGTAATGTTGATATTTAAATCTTTATTAGTCCTCTGTGCGGCCGAGATCGGCCGTATCATGCATCTCTTTTTTTCTGAATGCGTTCTCTCTTTAAAGTTTTCCGCACACTGCAAGTTTTTAAAGTCTCTAGCTAGATTTGTCGAGTTGTACTTCTGTCATTTTTAAGCGATTTGAAATTTGTATTTTATGTAATTTATGTTTTGGCCTCAATTTTTTTAGAAAATTCATTTCGACGAAGAAAGTAGTTGTATGTGAAGAAAAAATATTAAATTGAAAATTCAATTTTTACTAGTTTTTATATTTAAATTAATTTATATTTTCTACGTTTTTTAGTCGATATTTGAATTTTTCAATTTCGATTAAAATTTTTTATAACTTTATAGAAAATTATGTGCTTTTGGCATTTTCAAGCGATTGGAAATTTTTAAATTATATATTTTATGTATTGGTCTCAATTTTTAGAACATTTATTACAACGAAGAAAGTAATGAAGATGAAAAAAAAATGAATTGAAAATTCAGTTTTTACTAATTAAATTTTTTTTTAAACTCATATTTGTTTGTATTTGTTTGTTACTTCAGAATTGTATTCAAGTATATACAATATTTTTTAAAATTGTAGTTAAGTTAGTTTGTTTTGAAAACAGAAAGATTTAAATCAATAATAATTAAAATTACATTATTTCTTAAATTTGGGATAGTTTTAAAAGCATCAGCAGTATTATTTAAAAGTTTTTAATAGTTCGGGGTGACTTATTTGCTATTGTTTATTTTCCAATTACCTACCTATTTATTTAGTATAATGTATTTTGTTTGTATGTATTTAAAGTTCATACTTAATATTCCAATTAACCCCTAACTACTATCGTTAATTTTAACTATTATATCGTGGGATCCCACTTGACCCCAAATAAAAACTGATATATGATTAATAAATTAAAAAAAATAAGAACAAAATTTTTACATTTTTTTTTTAATTTATATTAGGCCAATGTGTCATACCTAGGAGGTGTATTAGTTCTGGCCAAAGTAAGCAAATTTTTACTCACTTTTGGATTAGTGCTATAACAGTACTCTCTTAAAATTAATTAGTCAAAAATAACTAATTATAAGTCATATTTGACTAATTGTCATAGCGAAAAAGCAGTCTTCTAAATGAAATAGTCAAATTAGTAGATTTAAATTAAAAAAAAAAGTTTTGACCCAGCCGGGGATTGAACTCAGGTCTGTTGTCATAACCCATTTATCTATCAGTCGCTCTTATAAAAATTAATTTTATTTCTCAATAAATATTGTTCATAATATTTTAAAGTTGAATAGGTATATTATTTGTGTTGCTGTTTTGAGCTAAACTTTTTGCATCTTTGTTTCTTTTTATGGGCCATTTAACCACGGTGCCTATGTATATGCATTTAATTCAAATAATACTTTGTTGTTGGCCGCAAACGATTAAAGAAATTAGTTACTTTTAACTCTCAGAAATAGTTAAAGATGGTGACTAATCTTAAATTAGTCAAACTTTAACTATTTACGTAGTAAAAAATAACTATTTAAAAGTGAAAACAACTATTTTATTAGTAAAAAATGCTGGTACTAATTCAAATAGTAGAATTTTGACTATTTCATTTTAAGAGAGTACCGTAAACACGGGTGACTGCACCCCGCGGGTGACTTTAGCCCTTTTATGAAAAATTTTTTCGCGCTCGATAAATTTATAATTTTTTGGTCTAAACCTGTCAATTGTTTTAAAAAAATAAATGGGATTTATTACACTTTAAAGTTGTATATATTGCATTAGTGAAAAACTCTTAAAAATACACGCGTTTCAATTTCTATATTATGCGCAATTCTTTGGAATGATTATCCTTGGTCGATTTTTTATTGTTTTTATCGGTAATCCCTTGCAATTGCTATATGTCGCTGCTAACATATTATGTCTAATAAAAATAAAATAAAATATTGAGTTAATTTTATACGGAAAATACACCGTGAGACAAAGTAACCCGCAACCAGGGGGTAACTTTGAACACCCAGTTTTTAATTTTTATTTTTGAAACTCAGCCCTATGTAAGATTATAACATAGTTATTATGAAAGAGCAACTTAAGACTCAAATTTTGGTATACAATATTTAATGTTTATGATTGTTAAAACTACAAAAATGTTAAGATTAAGTTTGAAAGTGAGCTAAAGCCACCCGTGTTTACGGTATACTGTTTTTGAATTAAAAAATGTACTTAATTCTTGGGCAGCCACTGCTGTGGTCTCGTTTGGGACAGAACTATAGGGCCGACTAAAATCATCGACAGCAGTACCGATAAGAACTGGCCGACTCTACTTAGTCCACCCTGTATAGATAAAAAAATAGTGAGATCGGTGAGCGTTTTGGTCAAAACATGTGAAGTGGAGCAACAAAAAATTAAATTTCGGGTTCATATCTGACCCCATGATAGTAGTTACGGGCTAATATTAGTAACTTGTTAAATTTTTATACATATTTACAAATATTCCAATTAATAAATTAATTACTTTGAACATAAAATATATTAACAAATTAAAGTCGAAATTCTATAAACAACATTTTATTAGTCCATTCCATGTACATTTTAATAATAATATTAATGAATGTATTAATTTAATTAAATTTTAGTAATTAGTGTGTGTTTCAGTTGTAATTTTCTAGTCGGTATCGTAGACCATTTAACTTACCGACTTGCTGTGGCAACGATTCCGGCGATTCCGGTCGCGTGTAAAATTGCATTTCCGGGGAAGAGCTTCTTCTCGTTGTGTTCAATTGCCGGTAAGTACCGTACATGTGGGAGGGAACTCCTGTAAAATAAATAAATAAAATTATGTTTTTAATTTAAATATACTTTAAGTTTAATGTTTTGCTTTGTATACACAGAAAAAAATCTAACTTAGTACCAAGAACAGCGCTGTCATTGGATGCATTAAAATTGAAGCAATCTAAATTGTTATTTGCTCAATTAATTACTATTAAACCAAAATAGGGAAATATTTTGCCTAAATGTCAAAGAATTTATTGCGTTAAATGTATACATAGTATACATACAATAGTAACGTTATTAAATAAATCAAATTAGTATTTAACGCAATAACATTCTAACTTTCTAACAAATAAATATCAATATGAATATCAATAGATTTAGGAGCGATAACTTTTGTTGTTAATTTAAAAACAGTAAACGATTATAAACCAAGTGCTAACTACCTATTGGTATTATATACCGTACCTTCATTTGCAAGCTAAGCTAAGCTAAGCTTATAGGGAAAATACATTGTAACTGGACCAGATAAGTCTTAGTCAGCACGAAGCGAAAAACGTTGTAGAAATGATTTGGACGCGTGGACGAGTACGCTAGCATGCGCCCTAACAGTTGACCTTGCTTCATAGTAGTTCATACATCGATGCTTTATTATTGTTTTTTATTTTGTGCGGTGTAAATCTGGTAAAATTTGTTTTAGTACGCATGTCTCGACGACGCATCCAAATCATTTCTGAAAAGGTTCTCGCTTTGTGTTGACTGCGACTTATCTGGACCAGTTACAATGTATTTTCCCTATGGTTAGCTTGCAAATGAAGGTACGGTATAGGAACCATAGGAACTGTTATTCAGGAATACGGATTACAAGGTCCCATTGGTTTAATGGCTCACCCATTCATGCTATGCTAGCGTTTTTTCTGTGTGGTTATTTATTGCACGTGTAAATTAAGAAGCAAATAAAACGCGCAGAAATGTCTAGAGACGGGGCCAAAGGCCGTGTCTAATTTGTTTAAGTGTTTTTTATTGCTTGTTAATCCACAAGTGCAATACAACATTTTATACACCATTCACATATAAGGGAATAATTATACGGATCTCGCGGGACACTGTATATCAGCACAAAAAAGCTAAGCTAGGAAGGAAGTCTTGAGATTCTTACTATAAATTTTTAAAAGTTGCTTATAAGTTTTTAAAATTTTAAATTCGTTGCTTTTGATTTTTTCGAGCGACCTTTAGATAATATTATTAAGATTTAATTTTTATTTTACTTTTATTCATATCATAATGAATACAAATACAACACGAGGAAAAAAAAAATAATCACAGCAGTAAAATAGGAATTAAGTCTGAATTTAATATTTAAAAATGTCTCGAAAACTTCAAAATTAATTAACTTGAGCGACCTTTAAAAATTCATATTTTGAGCTGAAACTTGTAATTTCCGTGTACAAAAATTTAACGTAGGAAGCAGGAAAATTAAACAAAAAAAATGGAATTTTAACTATTTTTTGAACTTCGTGAGCGAACCCCAAAACATTTTTAATGACCTAATTTTTTAAGACAATTTATTTTTCACTAACAAATTTTTATTGAAGACTAAAAAAATAATTTTTTTGGGCCACCCTACTATGGATGATAACAAATAATAAATCGTACAATACGCTAAGAAAGCATCGGGTTTTCGCAACGCGCGCGCCATCTGGTGGCGCTCGATAGCATTATTGAACTTGTCAACAATAAATTTAAAGCATACGAACTGCACACTATTTTTAAATAAAGTAAGGCGGCCATTTTCTTTAGAAGTAAATAGGTTTCCAGGTTTAACCCGCGTCTCATATGAATAACTCTATAGTAATTCGGTCCTATGTTTTGACAGCCTGTTTTGTTGCTGTCTTCATCAGAAAACTGAAACTCACACTAAGTGACCTTTTAAATACACGTTTTAGTCACGTGCTGAAGTTAATTTTAAGTTAGTTGACAGTTATCAAATATCATACAATCGTTAAAATAAAGTTCATTTCTTGTAGAATAATACTAAATGTGAAAATAATTTTATTATCTCAATGCAAAAATACAAAAAAATTAAATAGTTTCTTAACGCTAATATTTATATATTATAACTTAAATTCGGACTGGGACTCCACCGTGAAGTGCTCATAAAACATTTTGTTTACTTTCACTGTGAAAAACTTAATCCAGGGATACAGTTCGATTTATAACACGTAAAAATTTGACATTTGACGGTAACACAGATTGTTTTATAGATCGCTTTATATAAATATTTCATTTAAATTATTTTTAGATAATAATAAGTATTTCTTGTAAAATAAGTAACTTGTTTAAAGCTAAAAAAATTCAAAGGAAAATTTGTGTTAAAAAATAGCGCAAAATAGGTAGAAATGAAGAAAACCATTTTCCAAAATAAGTTTTTTAAATATATTTAATCGGAGAGCAAAACAGATTAAAAAAAATGTATCTATAAAGAGGTAAGAGAACGAGTTTTTTGCCTATGAGACATTCTTTTACATATCGTACGGATTACAGAAAACATATTTTTTCAAATTTTTAAAATGACTTAATTTTTTTTTACAGCATCTTTTCATAAATTTAGCCGACCCCTATATCGGAATTTTTGCAGAAAATTTATTTTTCCAAAGATATATTGATTTAAACTTTTGATAAAATTTGAAAAAATGCTGAATTCTTTTGTACTTAAAATTCATTATCTCCGGTTCTACTGATCGGATCGATTTCATTTTTTTTTATTTTAAACCATATTACATAGTCTTTTTAGATAAATATTTAAAAAGTTTGTGTTTTGTTTATTATATGAAAAAAAATATGTTTTTTTTGTATAAACAGATTTTTTGTGTTTGCCCCCTCTATGAAAAAAAATTAAAAAAATACTGTTCTATGCACTATTTATTACTCTACAAAATGAATTTTTCAGAAAAATGGAGACTTTTTTGGATCGGAAGATATTAAATATTTTCGAGCGCGTGACCGGTACAAGCCGTAAGGGGGCATCCATTAATTACGTGAGGCGTTTAGGGGAGGGAGGGGGTCAAGCCAAATCTCATCAATTGTCACGTAAGGGAGAGGGGGGTCTCGGCAAATATCACGTAATTTTTAACAAAGTATGTTTTTTTAATAAATCCAACAGAATCAAGCAGTTTAACGTAGGTATAAACATTAAAAATAAGCATTTTTTAAAATCTCACGTGAGGTTAGGGGGAGGGGGTTGAGCCAAATCTCACGACATCTCAGCAAGGGGGGAGGGGGTCAAAAAATCGCTAAAATTGACTCACGTAATTAATGGACACCCCCTAATCAGACATCTTCGAAACGCTAACACATTTAGGATTAGTGATGCCGCCGATACGAGAGATTCTCGCCTCTCGTCTTGCCTCGTCTCGTCTCGACGAGACGAGAGGGAGATTTTCTCTCGAAAAAAGGCTCGAGACGAGACGAGAGAATGCCCTCTCTCGCTCGAGAATTTCTCGTTTCTCTCGATCTCTCTCGTTCTCTCGATTATTCCGGTAATAAGTAAACAATTTTTTTACATAAAAATTTTAATTTTGCGATATTTATTTGGACCAATGAGAACATTATTCGCATTTCATAATAAACAAAATTTGTTCCTGTATAACGTTTTATTATTTTATAACACAACTTAAGGTTAACCAAGAAAAAAATTACTTATAAAATAATATTAATTTTTAAAATTTACCCTGTATAAGCACATTTATGGCACTCCTTATACTATTAAACAACCCGTATGCTTAATAAGCATTGCTTATTCAATGAACTTATCAACAACATGTGGTTTTTGAGGGGCTGATTACAAATTTGATATCCATTTCTTCAAAAAATAAAATGGCTGATCCAATATGACGAAAATTTGTCGTTCGGCTTTAATGGTTTGGGTAAAATTTAGTATTTAGATATTTATGGGGTCCCTGATTAAGAATTTGATATCCATTCAAAAAACAAAATTGCGGATTCAAAATGACGGACATGCGCAGTAGGTACAAGATGGTTGGATCTATGTGGAGTAGTTACATCATATAGACGCAGTACCTAGTTTTCAGATGGATGGATGATTTGATCCATCCATCTGAAAACTACTGCGCATATATACTACACTGAGAAAAAAAATGGGACAAATAAACTGTGTAGCTAATCCTTTTATTAATAGTGAATATATTGTTTATTACCTCTAAATAGTCGAAATAATAACGATAAATATACTTTAGTAAAACTTTATGTGTCGGGAATAAAAATATATTTAGGATAAATATACTGTACCCTTGTCCCATATTTAAATAGGTATTTTTTTATTTGGGAGCAATAAACTTTTTTCTCAGTGTTACAGTTACATCTATAGATGTAACTACTCCACATAGATCCAACCATTTGATTCAAATGTGCGACATTTTCGGCGTAAAAAGTCTTACTTTATCAGTGTGGTCTTGGCACATTTTTTTTTATTTCCAGTTTAAATTTATATAGAAAAAATATAAACGAATACGTATTTAATTGCAAATAATTTTTGTATTCATACATAGGTACTTTTACCACGAGAGAAACGAGACGAGACGAGAGAAAGGCACTCTAGAGCGAGAAAAGAGTATTCTCGACGAGACGAGAGACCCATTTTCTCTCGCTGCACGAGACGAGACGAGAGAAGGACTTTTTTTGTCTCGTCTCGTCTCGCGGCATCACTATTTAGGATAGTGTAAACTCATACATCGTTTTAAAAAAATACCAGTGCTTTTTGTAAATTAATTCTGATTTTAAAGGTTTTCAATAATTTTAAATAAATTAAATTTTAAATAATACAAACTCCAATTAATGAGTAAATTTATTAACTGGCAGAATTGACATTTGCACAAATAAGTCACCTATTAAAAGATGTCGAATCATGGCACTCTTATACAAAATATCACGTCACCCGCCACATGCACTAATACGTTTGAATATTACGCGCTTGACAGTCCTGTCACGCGCTCGAAAATGTTTAATATCTTCCGATCCAAAAGA